AGCTACACCAGAAAATCCAAAGTCAAATATAAAAAAAAGGTCAAATATCAAAAAACAAAAGAAACCAACAAAACAACATGCATAAAACTGAAATCTTTAATAAATTCATAACCTACAATTCCTAACGTAAATGAGAAAAACATAGCTTATCAAAAAATAATATGCATAAAAAAAAAAATGATGATCGAAACATAACACTAACATTTAGAAAAAACCTATCATTTCAAAAATACAATAACCTCGATGAATGTCTTTCCTCTCTTTTTTACCTAGAAACTTCTAAATCTAGAAATTGAAATCAAAATAACAAAAATACTAAAAGAGTTAAATGAAGATTAAATAGAAAAGTTAAAAAAAAAAAAAAGAAAAGAAGAGAATGCATGTTTTAAATTTATTAAAATACAATTAAAACAAGTGAAAGAAATAGAAGAGAAAGCAAAATGAGAGAATTGGAAGTAAAGAGAAACCTGAAAGAAATTCAATAAAAAAAAAGATTGTAATTTTGTTTCCTTGAAAAGCTTCTCCCATTCTCCAAAAGCTTCCTACCTTTTCTTGGTTTCTCAATTTATCCTTCAATTTTTTTTAATGACATTAAAGATGTGTACTTGAAATTGAAGGAACAAAACTTCTGAAACAGTAAGGAGAGTCCTTTATTATATTAGTATAAATACTTATAAATTGATACATTATAAATATCAAATCAAAGTAAATCAGCAAATGAATATAGTGTTGAATAAATTGACAGAAAATAGGATTAAATTCACAGATATAAAGCTATCATACTCACTCTCCATTGATAGTCTGCTCCAATGCATCATTGTCTTCAAACTATTCAAGCAGGAGTTTTGTTAGTTTCACCCTGCTTAATATTCTTCCAATTGAAATGGCAATTGAAGGCAATTTGTTCACCAATTTCATGCCAGCTTCCTGTTATGTTTAAGCCCTAAACTCCACTCTTCTGCCGCCACAAAGTTGCTGCCAGCCATCACAAGGCCACTCACCCTCCACCAGTGCCACTTTCTCTTACTATCAAACACAACACCCTAGCCACCATCAGCCCCTCCGTAACTGAAAGACACCTTTGTCGAGATTATCACAGCCTAGCCGAAGCCCCTCTGGTATGTCATGTAAAACCTTTCTGTGCTGAATTCTGTTTTTCTTTTCTTATTACCTGGTATGCACCTGTGCTCTTTGAAACATAGGAACAGGGGGTTGGTAATAACAAGAGATGGCCGCCAGGTGCCAACTGTTTTCATGAAGCTAGACGTGGCTGTCAGCCATTTCACTATGCCACATCCCATAGATCCTACATATTAACAAGTATACATATAATTAATTAATTAGTAGGTTTGTTTTAATAGATTAATAGATATAAAAATGTAATCTTAATATAGCAATAAATAAATAAATAAATTATTTAATTTAATAAAAAATAAAAAAAGCATAAAAAGTTCAAAGTTAATAAGAAAACAGATAAAAAAAGTTAATCAATATTTAATTAAATAAGAAAATTATGGAAAGTTGACTTTGACAAGGTTTTCAATGTTAATAAGAAAATAAGATAAAATTAATCAATATTTTGATTTAATAAGAAAAGCATTAATTAATTCAAGAGGAGCAAGCCACTCATGGAGAGAGAGCTGGGATCATCATCAAAACAGCATCACCAACAGTGCAACCACAAATAAGGCTACATAGGAATTACAAACCACAATTTCATCCCCTAACCCATCCTTCACCAATGATAATAACAACACCCGACCCACCAAAATTATAGCTAAACTTCACGCCCTTATTCTTCTTCAACTCCAGTTAAGCTACCAACACAACCTCCTTTCAAACCACCACCACCTATATGTAATTAAGCTAATTAGTTGAGAAATTTAGGATTATATATCACATAAAAAAGCAACCGTGCATTTTTCTTTTTCATAAGATATGCATAATCCATGAAAACAAGGAGAGGAGATTAGAGGCGTAACCGAGGGTGATAGGCAGGGTCACATAAAGATGTAATTGAGCTAAGTTAATGAGAAATTTGAATTTGAGTTTGATATAAAATATGTTGTTCAAAACTCAGTTTAAACTTAATCAAATTTTAATTTTCAAGCTCGAACTCAACTGAAAACAAAAATCAAATTACTAAACTCATTCGATTAGATTCGTTTAATAAAAAATGAACTCAATTCTTGTACTCTATTCAAAGTTTGATTATATATTGAAATTCGAATTCAAACTCAAATTGATATATATAAAGGTAAAATAGTAATTTTTTAATTAAAATAATAAAAATATTAAAATTTAAAAACTCGATTAGTCTCACAAACTATTCAAGTTAGGCATTAAGTTATTTGAACTCGATTTATTCGATAAATTAAATTACTTAAACTCGAACTCAACTTGATAATAATCGAATTGAATTCAAATTTTATTTAAATTAAACCAAAATAATTTATGAATATTGATATATCATTTATACTAATAAAGCCATTCCTCTTCAAAAATTTTAACTCCTTTCTAAAATGGTACTTGGTGTCACCAAATATTATACGAGACCTCTTTCCCTCTTAACTTTGTTATCTGGCTCCCTTTTTTATTTTCCTAGATTTGCTCTTGGAAGGGATCTTGGTTTAAAACCAAAACCTCTATATCATCCTAATAACTCTATCTTGTAGGCCAAAAATCTAAACATATTAATTTATCTATTGTTTAGAGCAGCTCTTTGTGTAATAAAGCTAAATTTCTCAACTTAGCTTAATTATCTCATAATTTTTTCAAGTGTATGTAATTAATTAACACCTTTTGTTTTTTTGGAATAAAATATTAAGAGTGAATGTATAGCTCCTCCACTTAGGATATATTGTAGAATTTCTTACTTATTTTATTAAAAGATTTTTTTTAACACTAATGAAAGATGATCAACCTCATTATTAGATTCAAGATCACTCCTTATCAAAAAATATTGATTGAATCAACTTACCAACAATTTTATTGATGAAATTTTAGATTTTTAATTTTAATTATTAAAATTTAAATTTTAATAATTCTAGATTTTTATTCTCACATTTCAATAAGTTACTTTTCAAATAACAATTCCAATAAGTGAAGGGTTTTGTTTCAAATTAAAATTATTAATAAATTATTAGCAATTAAATTGAATTCATTCAATCTTAGCCTTATTTCATTATGATTAACTTAGTATTGATTTTAATAAGTAAATTCAAAAAAAAAAATTTGACACAAAGTTACAATTGGTTGATTATAATCTATTTCTTTTCACAATTTCAAGCAAATAAAAAGGTTAATTTACAATTATTATCAAAATTAAAAATTTTTATATCACTTCTATGAAAAAAAGTATAAAACAAAAAAAAAATTAACAGTAGTAAAATAAGTGGGGCTAAGGCATTATTAAAGAAAAGAAAGAGTGTGAATTAAATTTCAAAAGATTTCCACTATCAAATCAACATCAAAGGAAAGAAAAACTTGGTCCACTAAAATGTCTAAACCTAGGGTCTATAGGTATATAGGAAGTTAGGTATAAGATTAAAAGTCTAGACCCTAACCTTGACCCTAAGGTCTTAGGGTGGCCACAACCCTATCAACACTGGGGTCTCTAATAGACCTCACCTAACCTCCTAGGCCAATCGCCAAAAAGATTACTTTGATAGTAATTTTTAATTTTTTTCCTTTTTCTTGAATCATAAGATTTCTATTATTTGCTATAATAGTGAAAGGGATTTTTGATTAATCTAGTGATGAGATTAATGACATTTGGTTATTAAAGTGTTATTATTTAATTTTATAAAATTAAAAATTATATATATAAATTTTATTAAAAATTAAATTTAATAATTTTAAATACAATATAATGATATGATATAATATAAAATTAATAAAATATGTATAAATTTAAAAAATTAAAAAATATGTTTCTTAATCTATTGACAAAAAATATTATATAATAATTTTTATATTTGACACAAAATAAATATGTCACAAATACATAAATTTTTACATCAATTAAAAGATATGCCAATAAAATTAAAATATTTGGTCTTTATTCATTGTTATGTCATATTAGCTTTAGATTTAATTGAAAAATGTATACATATAAAGATTAATGAATTAAGAGAAATTAAATTATTCTCTCTGTTTTATTTTTTTTAATCTATCTTATTTTTTTTTAAATGTATCCAAATTATGTTTTTTTCCCTTTTTAAACATCTAAAATTTTTATTTTTATATTTAAAATTATTTTTTATAATTATTTTTATTTTTTGATATTAAAAGTTATGAAATTTTAATTTTATAAAAAAAATTTGATTTTCATATTTTTTAATATTAAAATCAAAAATTTTTTTCTTAAAATCTGTCAAAATCAATAACGTTCAAATAATTTACATCGAAAAAAAAAATAATTTCTAATACCAACAACGGAAATTTATGACTTAGCTAATGCTTTTCAAACTCTCTCGTCATTTCATTGATTAACTCTTTTTCATAAAACGTTTTCAATGAAATCAATATTTTTTTTTTAATAATTAAGGTTTGAAGTCAATTCTGATTAATTCTTCAATTTAAAATCTCATTATTTTTCTCATTTTAATTTTTTTCCTAAAAGAAATCACAATTTAAAAAATAATGAAAGAAATAATAGATACTAAAATTTTAATTTTAAATTTATTTGTTTTTTTAAAATATTAAATTTATTAAATATTATTTTTAATTGTAATTACATAAATAAATTAAACTAAATTTAGAATTTTAATTATTTTAATGATTAAAAAATTAATCAAACATTTAGTGTACTTTTTAAAGGGTTAAATTAATAAAATAAAAAATAAAAAATCATCATTGATGATTATCGGCAAAATCAACATCATGATTTATAAAACTCCACTTAGCAATATATAAATCTATTTGGATTAATAAAAAAAAATAAAAAGAAGAAGAAGAAAATAAAACCATTCTTAAAAGAACACATAATTATTGGCAAGCCTAGCTATAAGCTATGGGAGTTGGATATTAGTAATACAGTTTGCAGCGGCGAAGCTTCTCTTTCTCTCACAGATTTCTAACTGTTTCTTTACTTACTGTCAGATACCAATAGCTTCAGCTTTTTCACATATAAACAAAAAACTGCTGTTGTTATCTTTGATTCATTCATTTTTATTTACAAACTTTTTACTTTTACCCTTTCCTTAAATAGCATTTTTCATTGCATTTTCACTCCAAAAGTTTCCAATTGTGGCCACCCCAACAAGCTACACCACCACTAAAACATGGCCACCACCACTACCTCAAGCAGCTCGACCATTGCCAGCACCACCACCCCATGATCACCATCAAAACCCAACCAACATGTTTGGCCTCCATAACATCTTCGTTATAGCTCCACCACCATCACAACAAAACCAGCAACAACCTGCCCCGCCGCCACCACCACAACAAGCCTTGAACCAAGACTACAACTTGGCTGACACAAATCTTTGGACTTTAAAAAGGGGCTCCACCCAAGAAGCACCAATTTGTCAAAAGAAATATGGAGTCTTGAATAGTGTTGAAGATGATGATGATGGTTGTTTTAAGGTGTGTAGAGACTGTGGGAACAGAGCTAAGAAGGAGTGTGGATATAGTAGATGCAGGACTTGCTGTAAGAGTAGAGGGTTTGATTGTGCTACTCACGTGAAGAGCACGTGGGTGCCCGCTGCTAAGAGAAGGGACAGGAAGGTGGTGGTTATTGGTGATGAGGAAGGTGGTGTTGGGGGTGGTGATGGTGGTGGAGGGTCTTCAGGCTCCTCCTCTTGTGGTGGTAAAAGGCCAAGGGTTTTGAATTCTATTTCAAATGGTACTTCTAGTTCTAATGCTGCTTCCAAGTCCTTGAATTTTGAAGCTGGCACTAATCACCAGGGTTTGTTTTCTCCATTTTTTAAGTGTTTTCTGATCCTGTCTTCAAATTGTTGTGTGATTTTAGAAAGTAATTAAAAACTGGGTAATTTGCCAATTTCCAGATTCAAGATTTAAAGAATCATTACCAGGTCATGTTCGAGCCCCAGCAGTTTTCAGATGCATTCAAGTAACAACCATTAGTGATGGTGTAGCAGAGATTGCTTATCAGGCTACTGTGAATATCAGTGGCCATGTATTTAAGGGGTTTCTCTATGATCAAGGAGTTGATGTGAAAAATGCATTTCCTTGCATTTCAAAAATGCTTTTCGAGAGCAGCAGCAGTGGAAGGGATAGGGATAGGGATTCTTCTTCTCCAATTGTTGATCCACCAAACACCTTTGCTGCCTGTGGTGACTGACGGTCAGTTTTTAAGGTACAAGCTTTAGCACTCTACATGGAATATTTTTGCTTTCAGGACGAAATACTGGTTGAATATCTAAATGTGATAGTTTATGTGCTTGCTTGAAGTAAAATATTAGACTTATGTGCTTGCTTGAAGTAAGATATCACATCTGACAATTCGTGTTTTGTGCTTGCTTGAAGTAAGATATTTTAAATCTGACAATTCATGTATCAGTGTCGATTGGTTTCCCGTCCAATTGATGTGATCGCACCAAACATAAAACACGCTTTTTGCCTATTTTTTACTCGAATTCAAAGAGAGCATCAGTGTGAAGCGTCAGGAGCAAGCTGAGGTTCTTGTTCCAATGTCGCTATCCATCTTTGGTACAGAAGAAAAGATAGAATGTGCCATGATCTACATTCACTTTAGTGCTTGACACATTTCTACTATAGCCACATTAATCACATAAATTGTCGCTATCATTGTGTTCTTGCCTCTGCTGTTAATAGTCCTTAAAATTTCTTTTGGGTCCCAATGGCAGCATAGGATCCCAACATCATTACATGAAATTTCATCCACTTCATGTTCGAATTTCCTCAATAAAGTTTGTATAATCTTTCCGTCTTGAACCAACACATGCACATCTATTATGTTTGGAATTATTAGCATGTATGTGAAAAGTCCACTGTCTGATGTACTTCTGCTATGCATTGATGCAATCTGTCTTTTGCTTGGTATCATTGCCCTGTTTCTGGTTTGCTTGCAATGATGATTGAACAGTTGATGTAGCAAAAAATGCAGTATATCTCTTCTTTAACTGATTTTCCCGATTCCATCTTGAGTCTGTTAATATGATTTCCCGGTATGAGGGATAAATTGCTTCAAATGAGAACTATTCAGGATGCTTGTGACAATTACTTGTCTTTCATTGTCCCTTTGACTCCAATGAAAATTGATTCCTTTTTCTTTTTCTGTCTCACAGTCCCACTAAGAGTAAGTATCACTACTTTTTTTTTCTTTTGTATTCAAATTCCTGCACTTGCAACTCTTCTGTATCCCTAGGATGGAGCCTCCTCTGTACCAAAAAAAGAAGGATCAGTGTGAAATGCTTTACCACTTTCTTTCGTTCTACTTTCCAAAAAATATGATTGTTCTATGATCCAATATAATAGTAAGAGAGGCAGAAATACTGTAAATGATTGCATAATCACTTTATCAAAGTTGTAAAAAACTTAAGAATGCAAGTCTTAGCAAATAAATGCTACTGATGTTTGTTAGTCTTTGTTGATTGAATCTCACCATGATGATAGGCAACAGGCCTCACATATCGCTTGCTTTCTGGGTTCTGGATACAAATTCTCTTCCTCTATAATGGCTAGTTGAAGTCCTCTACTTCAATCATGAAGACACTTGAGATTGGCTGCCAAAAAAGATATTTGTCATAGTTGCAACTACATAATCTCCTTTTTTGTGAAAACCTTGGCAACATGTTTATTCAATTTTGAGTTATTTTTCTGGTCTCTGGTGTTGATGCTAAGATATAATCAAGTATATCTCAGCACGAGCATATTAATCTTTGAGCCATTAAAATAAAATTATTTTCTTCTTAGTGATGATCTTGGAATACAACAGTTTGAGTTTCATCATCTTATATTATTTTCTTTTCTATAGTCCTTATATGCACTTTCATATTGAATTTTTTATTTCTTTTCACTGTTTCATGTACTTTGAAATCATTCATTGTTTGCCTGTCAGTTTCTATTTTACGAGATTCTTTCATAACTTTTCACCAGAATGTGTATGTATGCCAGGTGATGAACAGGATTCAACCGTTCCAGTTTTTGGTTGAATGCACATATATCAGACTACAAAGCATATGCATTCCTGTTCAACCCTGTGAAGAAGTTGGATGCCATTCTCTTCTCTATAGACCATCGATCGCAAACGGTCGTTTATCAACTTATTTTTCCTAGTCACAAGCACTGCAAATTGCATTTTGCTGTTCTTGAAGCCGGTTTCAGTTGCTTCCTGCCCTCTGCAACTATCGATGAGTCTTTATATAAAAAACTAAGCCGTCAATCTATACAGAACATAACTTTGAAAGTTCATTTTCTCCCATTTTGAAACGTATATTTGAACAAAATATTAGTTAGTATAAGGGTCTTTAAGGCATTGGAAGGTTAATTCCAATCCTGTATGCAATGAGAACATTTTAAGAAGTGTACAACCTGAGCTGGTTTCTTATTCTGTACCAATGTTGTAGGCAGCTTTCTTGTGCTAGAAGAAAGACTTTCATCTGCTAGAAGTGCTGCAATTATTGAATAAGTGAAGACAACACTTCAAAAAAACAGATGAAACTCTTGCCGTTGAAACTAAAATATACATCTGATAATTTTAAGCATGACACACAATAACAGTAACATTTGTTGGGGATACCACAGCTCTGATATCATTTATTGAGCTAAAAAGCCCAATCCAATCACACCAGTGGAAGAATAATCAAACAATCAATGATCACACAAGAGACAGTAATTTAACGTGATTCAATCCAACTGACTTACATCTACGGATGAGAAATAAAATCCACTAGTTGTAAAAAATTACAAATATACATCAAATCAAATCAAACACTTATAACTAATACCCATAGACCCTCTCAATCTCTTTTAGTTCTATGGAGTATTTTCAACCCAAACAAACACATCCCGTGTGCATCATTTCAACACAATCAAATACATACCCATATACACTCATACATTATGCCTATATGGACCCTCTCAGTCTCTTTTATTCACTCACAAACAAACATACACATTCATAAGATATAAAGCTCCAATACTCTTATGGGGTATCTATCTCACAAAATCCTATAACTCTCTTATATTTTTTTCTTATGCCTAACCCTGTAGAGACTTCATCTATTTATAACCATACAAACTTGCCTATTAAGAATTCCTTTCCTTTTAGAATTATTCTCCTACAAGTCAAACTTACCTATTAAGAATCTTCTTTCTCTTAGAATTCTTATTTTGTAAGTTTTCTTATCTATCAAGCAATATCTGGCCAATCTCAAAAAAATCTCTTATGGGATTTGAGTCATTATTCTCAACAATCTCCACCTTGACTCAAATTTCATCAAATCATCTATCTTTATGCTAGACATACTTGACTCCACCTACAATAAAAGTCTCATAATCATCTTCTCTTGTGTGCCTTCACGTATCACACAAATCGATCCTCAATTCTCAAAACTTGAACTCGAATTTTTCTCTTGAATCAAGCTCATTTGGACTTGCCTCTTCCCATAGCTTGAATCATATTCTTCCCACATCTTGAACCTTCAGCTCTTTCAACGTCTTGAACCTTCAGCTTTTGCTATATCTTGAGCCTTCGACTCTGATACTACTTGTTAAGGATCACCACAGCTCTGATACAACTTGTTAGAAAATCACCACAGCCTAATACCACTTATTGGGTTAAAAAGCTCCAATCCAATCACACCAGCAGAAGCATAATCAAACAATCAATGAATCACACAAGAAATAGTAATTTAACGTGGTTTGGTCCAACTGACCTATGTCCATGGATGAGAAATAAGATTTAGTAGTTGTAAAAAATTACAAACATACATCAAATCAAACACTTATCCATAAACCCTCTCAATCTCTTCTAGTTCTATGGAGTATTTTCAACCCAAACAAATACATCCCATGTGCATCCTTTCAACACAACCAATCACATACCCATATGCACTCATATATTATGCCTATGTAGACCCTCTCGGTCTCCTCTAGTCTACTCACAAACAAACATATACACCCATAAGATATAAAGCCTCAATATTCCTATGGGATATTTATCCCACAAAATCCTATAACTCTCTTACATCATTTTTTCATGTCTAACTTTATAGAGATTTTACCTATTTATAACCATACAAACTTGCCTATTAAGAATTACTTTCTTTTTATAATTCTTCTCCTGCAAGTCAAACTTACCTATTAAGAATCCTTTCTCTTAAAATTTTATTTTACAAGTATTTTTATCCATCAAACAATATCTGATCAATCCAAAAAAAATTCTCCTATAAAATTTGAGTCATTATTTCTAATAACATTAACGTATTTGATTATCTGCAGAACTTATTTCCAAGTATCAGTAACCATTTAACCTTTTCAGTTATCATTCCACAGCCAACCCAAAATTGCAATGCTGAAGGCTATGGACGGTGGGGACAATCTCTTGCAACTAAAATGAGAGAATTGCTTGAGCTAGATCAGTTTCTTGTATCCATTTTTCAATTAACGAAAATTTCCGTTGCCTTTGGCCTAATTATTTTGTTCTCAAAACCTTTCACAATAATCCTTCTACGATAACAAATATAATTAGTCCATTATTAGAAACTGCATTTTGGTCCTACCTACAGATGGGCTCCAGAAGCCCAGCCCCAAGTCCACACCCTCCCTTATTATGAATAATTGGATCTTATGTGTAAATCAAATGGCAATGACTTATTCTGATTTAGTGACAAAATTGGCGCATTATCAAATTCTATTGTAGATCAGATGTCAATGCCTATGATTTTCCACAATAATGACTCAAGTCCATAGGGAAAGTCATAAATGGCAGCCATGAACAGGACTGGCTTGACAGCCCAACCTCCTTGACTTGGGGACTTTTGGCACCCATCAAGCTCATTAAATCTGTCAAATTGCACTGATTTTGTTAAATGGTCCCTTATCAAAGACAATGGCCTTTGAATTGGTTGCTGCCTCTAGAACAGACAATTTTTTGGCATTGCTGTAAATGGGATAGACTTTGATGTACTAACATAACTGATGTAGGCCATATGTGTACTGGAAACTCCCTAACATGATGTGCTTGTTTGTTCTTCTTCCCTGCTGCAAATGCAAAGGTAGATTTAGAGTTGATTGGCCCTGGAGGGCGATTGATGGTTAGCTTTGGAATAAAGAGAATGGTAGGTTGATGCATTAATTTCCTCAACAAAAACTTCTAAAAAAAGTAAGAGAACTGTACAACAATTAGATTTTGCTAACAGTTAAGCTCAGCTGCAGGGGAAAATTCCTTAGCCTGACAGGCTGACAGTGGGCAGGAAGCACTTATGTACCAAACATACAAAGTAGGCAGGGAGCAATAAACTATGTCCAGCTAGTATGTTGTACCCTTAAATATAGGGAATTGTTTGTATAATGATCTTTTCCCACTGCGTTGGCAATAGCAGACCCTCGTATCCCAAAGCTCACAATGGGATATTGTGAATTCTTGGTATGCTTCAGATCATCCCATATTTTAGTTGTCTGTTGCTTGGCTGGCTGGAAGTTGCAACCCTTAGTAGAGGAGGATTTACACGTAGAAAGTGTTCATGGACACCCCAAAGATTGCAAAACAAAAAAAATGTGAAAGAAAATTTTTTCCAACACTTTTTTTATCAAGAAAATTGATATATCGTACAATTTTTTATATAATATAAGTGGACAACTCCATAAAAGAAAAAAAAAGTCTTAAATCCGCTGCTGCCCTTTACTCTTTAAGCTTTAGACCTTGGTTATACTTACAGTGTACAATTATATGAGAATGAGACTATTTTTATTGAAGAAAACATTTTTATCTGCAATTATTGGTCTTCTAAGTGTCATCCCAGTTCATAACTGACCTGTTCTCAGGCAGATGCTCTCATACAAAGAGAATGGCTTGTAGTTTGAGTGTAGATATGATAGATCAACTTCAGATGTCATACAAACACCAGATACAAAGAATAGAATAAAAAATTTTCATCTTCAATGTAAGCAACTAAAAGTTAGTTTCCTTCCAATAACTTTCTGTACATTATTATTTCAAGCTGAATCCAGAGACTCCTCTCCTACGGGGCAAAAATTATAGGTACAAAAAGAATCAATTCCGATGTAATACATTCATCGGATGTATGTTTCACCATTTGGCGAATTCATTTACAATTGAAGCAAGCTTTAGTAACTTTGGTTACAATGTTAACCTACATCTCGACTGTAGCATATCATATATCTGCAAATTGATAGGAGATGAAGAGGGTGAGAAACTAACCCTGAATTACAAATGTGTGTCCAGTGCTGCCATAAATCATCGTCCATGGCCATGTCAATGACCAAAATGATAACCTTTAGCTTTTAAGCACTCACATCTCCAAAAAATGATCGAATGTACATGGACACTGGTTCCAAGTTGAAGATCTGTTCGAAATGTAACTTTCAAGTGTCCTCTACAAAAATTTTGTAAATAAAATCCCGAAAGCGTTTTGAATATTGCTTTGGATCAACAGCAGAAATTGAAGTTGGATCATACTGCATTGATTTATATGCATGCTCAAGCTTCTTGCTAATATCATAGTCTTGTAGAATGTCTATTATACCAAAGAAGAGGATGACATCATATAATACACCAGTTGGTTCTCCAACCAGCTGAGTTTCACAATCACTTTTTCTCACCATCTTTTCAGCCCGAGCAGGCATGTTTATACCTAATCTAATGGAAGACCACCTGCATTGTCAAATTGAAAGATCATCAGTAGAACTAATTTCTATCACCTCATATAGACATCATATAACCTTTTTAGATCGATTAATTCTCATGGCCATGCCAATCGAATTGGATCTCTTTTTCCTTTTTTTGTTGAACAAAAGAAAAGGAAAAACACTAACACACAGAAGCACACATCCTAGTGAGATTCATATACTAATCAGTTTAGATTCTGACAGCTGAAGAAACTAATTATTTCAGTGTTATGATAAAAGCGGGGAGACAGCAGTAATGCCTACTTAGCTACAATTTCAAGCTCTGAAGTACACTGAAAATATATAAATGAGTATCTAAACTTGAAAATATTCATTTTACCGAGAGGGATCGATAAGAAGCTGATCCTTTCCAGCTTGAGACAGCCGAGGAGCTCCTTCATTTTCACAATCTCCATTTCCTGCAAGATAAGTCCAAAACAATTCTTAATCAGCTAAGCAACCACTATTTCAAAGTCATGAAAAATTTTAATTCCAGAGATTATCAGAAATAACCAGTAGGTGTGAGAACTCCTGAAGTAAGATGTGTGGAAGCTTCTCGAAAGTGAAAACCAATCAGCAGACTGTAGTCCATAATTCTCTCATGTTCAAGAAAGTCACAATCACGGTCAACTTGCCTGAATGAAGGGCAACTTAGATTAAAACAGAAAACTCAAAAGTTACATGCTTATAATTCCAAAAAAACCATATATATAAATGGACTGTTGCAGAGAATGATGATACCTTAAAAAGAAAGAAGTTATTAGAAAAGATAATCACCTGCAAAACTCTTGGAACCACATTTTTTGCAATCTAAATATATAATTGAGATCAAGGTCTTTGAGGGTTGTCGTTGGATCAATTTCTGATTCAGGTTTAGCAGTTATGCGACCGTGGGAAGAACCTTTCAAGTCAAAGCGCCTATGAATGGTATAGTCAGTACAGAACAGATTGCCCATTATAACAAATCGCACCTGACTCATCCATATCGAATGAAGAAAGTATGAGATTGGTTTCTGAAATTTATGACTTTGAAGAATATTTATGTTTGAAGTTGAAATTGTGTAACAGTGAAATTACCTTTTTCTGCGCTGTCCCAGTTAGTTTCACACAATGAAGACCATAAAATTTGGTGACTAGAGTGTTCTCAAAGGACCGAACATGATTATAGTAGGCTGGAAGCATCCTTATAAGCACCTGCAACAGTGTCTCCATTTGGATTAGTACATTTTTAAAGCCAGGTAAAGCAATGCATGTGTTTTCAGAAGCAAAAAAATTATGACATGATTATTTAGTCATCAAGAGTGATTTGTGCACTTTATAAGTAATACAGACATTGTTTGAAAACTTGAAAATTCATGAACAAGTGAACTGCACGGACCGATCATTGTCACCTAGGAATATTTTCAGGATGTACAGCGCATACCCTTATGATAAATAAAAGTTGTGTTTGTAATACAAACCCTACAAGAAATTGCAGCTGGATGCAAAGCTAGCTTATAATTTCTGAATTCAACTGCAAAATGCAATAGAAACAACTATAACACTTACTTTCACTTCCGCCTTCCTCACTGTCTTTATCATGTACCTGTCATCATTGGTCAAGTAAAAAAAGCTTCCACTTTTTCCAGGGGATGATAGTTCCCGAAGGGCATCATTCCCACATATTGAAATCATGTAATCAGCTGCATCCACATTGAACAACTTCCTAAGGGTCCTGAAAATGTAAAAATGATGACATGTCAGGAACGACTTGTAACCCTGCCTATCAATGGTATCGGATTCATATCATATGGTTCTGGTATTATTATCATGTAATGAATTGAACAAGTGAATTGTTTAGTATGTTTCCATTTGCATACAACTGTTATCATAAGTGCATTATATTGTCATACCATAGTAGCATGATTAAGTTCTGCAAAGAAGGATTATCTGTCATGAACAAGTAGATAATCCAGTCTCTAACCTGAATACAAGTGGACAGTAATCCTTCCACTTGAATTCACAAGATTGATGAGGTGGAGTGTGCTTGGATCCTTCGGGTGGAAATTTGGTCCATACTTTTTCCTTAGGATCAAAAGCTGAAGACTTCAGATCAAGGGATATAGCAGGACCAGGTCTTCCAACAGAGTGTCTACAATGTCACCAGAGGACCAATACATGCATGATTAGAACACTAATCATTATATCTCTAAACTGAAATGAGTTGGAGATCAAGAAATATGCGAAACAAACTAAACTGTGAGCAATGACCCTCTAAAGGAAATGAAATGAAAAAGTAAATAAGAACAAAGACTATATTAGATTGATACAAAAAACAGACGGGGAAGGGAAAAACTTTAAAAGTAAACAAAAAATAAATGGCACATAAACAACAGAAACTCCCATTCCTCCTTCATATAAGCTAAAGATTGATAAACATAATCTAGAAAGCAATGCAAGTAAACAAATAATATTTACATTCAAGTTTAAGATAATTCAATTCTCTTTAGCTGAGCATAGTCTATAACTTCAATACCTAGAAAAACAACATTCAAACTAATAACCAGAGGAAAATACAGGTAAGAAAACATTACCTGATACCCAGTTGCAAATTGAGCATGAGCTCATAATTTTTGTGGCCTTTCGATATCGTCTGCCCCTGCCTCTTCATTGGCATCTTAAACTGTGGCCAACTCGCTCTTGTAACTGAATCTTCAAGATTCCCAACTCCTTCATCACCATCCCTGGAATCCCCTTCAGTAGCAGCAGAAACATCATTCATATCAGAACCCCAACTACAACTATTTAACTTCCCATCAGACATTCTCCTGTGTCTCCCCTCATTCCCTTTGCCCGTTCCAGGCCAATGTGGCATCTTTTGTGATGGTAAAATTGACACCTTCTCACCAGGACATATCTTGCAATCTTTCAAGTCCTCCAAAAACACCTGTTGAGGATCCCAATCTAGATTCCCGGTTGCAGAACCAGAAGGATAATAAGTTCCATTCTGGTCCTTGCCATCCTTACTCCAAACACCGACATAAAAACTCCCATCTGCCCATCTAAAATTCCCATTCCCTTTAGGAAAACCATCCTCCCAAAAACCATCATACCTATTCCCATTGCTCCAAATCATTGTTCCATTGCCATTCATCAACCCGTTCCTCCATTGACCAATATAATGGTTCCCATTCTTCCATTGGTACCTCCCATGTCCGTCCTGGAATCCGCGGCGCCATTCGCCTTCATAGTAATCCCCATTGGCATAACTCTTAGTCCCTTGTCCATGTTTAAGGTTCATAACCCAAGAACCTTTATATGTATCTCCTGAAAAACCTGTATAAGTCCCTTTACCATCCATAAAACCACTCTTGAATTCACCTTCATAGGTAGCACCTGAAGGCCAACAAAACTTGCCTTTTCCCATGGTCATTCCTTTAAACCATTCACCAACGTACATACAACCATCAGTCCATAAATACTTTCCATTGCCATGAGGCAAATTATCACACCATTGGCCTGTATAAAAGTCACCTCTTGGAAGGACTTTTTCAACATGGCGAACTTCACCAGGGCCAGGCTCTTCATCATCAACATGAGCTACAGACATTGCTGTAAATATGCTGATTGCCTTCTTCTTTGCAGCTAGTTGTGATTTCTTTACTTTAGTTTCCAGGGCCTTTCTAAAGCCAAGCTTTTTGCTCATTTGCTCATTCTATGTATAAACAAATAAAAACTATATCTTCGTTCAAACTCTTCATTCCTTTTTCCTTTTCCTTTCTTTAACCAATAATCCAAAGATCAAAAAATGTCTCTATCCATCTCTCTTTGTCTCTTTCTCTTGCATCAATGTGGGGCTTTCAAGAAGACCAAAAAAATAAAGAAAAAAAGCATTTCTGAAACTGACCCTGAAGAGAGAAGAATTGGAGGGAAATGGAATCATCTAAACAACCAAAAACCAACACATAAAAAATCAATCTTTTCTCTTTTTTTTTTTTTTATGAAAGTTTAAGCTTTTTGTGTTCTAAGTTGGTTTTAAGAAATGGGTATTTTTAAAATTTTGAAAAAAAAAACAAAAATTTACAAAGAAATGGAAGTTGTTAGATTGATGAGGAAAGCAAAAAAATGAGAAGGCAGGAATAATGAATGGCTTTTTTTCTTTTTGTTCCTGGGAAAATTTTTGTTCTTTTTGGTTTGTTTGGAGATGGAACAAAAACAAGTTTCCTCTGATCCCCGGACTTGGCTCCTAAAATGACTAGCAGACCAAACAGTTGGAGGGAGGAGGGAGAATAGAAAGAGTGGTGGTGAACGATGTGATTGCCATTTTTAGTGTCTGAAATGTCCCAATTACCACTAATTTTAGTACTTTGGTCTTTCCAGGTTGTTTACTTTTGTTTGTCTAAATTGTAAATTACTTAATCTTCTTTTTATGTTGATTTTGCAGTTTTATCCTTGTACTTCTACATAATTTCTTATTTGTATGAATGTTCTTCAAAATTTAAAGATAAATCCCATGAATATTCTTTGCTAATTTTTGTATCTCACCTCCAAAATTATTAATTTTTGCACTTTTTTAGATTGAGTCATTGAGATGAAATGCTATAAATCTTTATAAAGGAAACTCAATAGCCTAAGCAATATTATAAAACAATGATAGTTATTCCATTGCTCTAAATCATTGTACTACTCCCATTAATCATCCCATTTTCCCCTTTATTGACCATTGCAAAGGCAATTATATATGAATTTGGATGCCATTTTAATCAAATATGAGTAATCTTTTAAACTTTTTTTTCATTGATTGAAAGATTTAATGTTTTTAATGAATAATATTATAATTTTCATATAGATTTATTGCATTTTTATATCGGTTCTATATCATTTGTAGAGTTTTAAAATTTGATATCACTTGTATTATTTTTCTACAAATTTTGGATGTTTTTAACCTTGGTTTGTCATGTTGGTTTGAAAATTATGTTGTACAAGATAATTATCATTGTAACTCATGAATTGCAATTACTCATAATTTATGATTAAAGTGGTAACAAAGTCTTCCATAATTGTTTAAAGAATGTTGATTTTCATGGATTTAAAAAAAAAAATTGTTTTGATTTTAATATATTTAATATTATAATTAAAAATTTTTATAAAATTAAAGTTCCAAGATTTTTAATATCAAAAAGTTAAAAAAAATTATTAAATATAATTTTTAAATATAAGAAAATAAAAATTTTATATGTTAATAAAAAAAAGATATAATTTTGGAGTATCTAAAAAAATTACGGATAAAAAAAATGAGACAGAGAGAGTAATAATTAATGCCCAAAAATAATTCACTCATTAAAATTACAAGTAAGAGGATATTTAGGAAATACAATTTTTTTCATAAACCTCTTTAACTTTTAATGCTTCATTTAGATTTTTTTTTTTTTTACTATTTTAACCTAACAAAAAAAAATCTTACTCTCTCACTAAAATTCAAGCTACAAAAAGTTAATAAGGGATTATTGAAAAATTGTTGGTACCATCTATATATTTTAAGGTAGATAAATTATTATTAAACTCAAAATTGATCATTACAAAGGTAAAAGGTAAAAAGTAATAAATAAGTACTTGATTATTTGATTCAATAGTAATCACATTTATTTTCATTTTTAAAAATTAAATTCAATTTTTGTTTTCAAATTGTTGGAAGAAAAATTCCAAATAAAAATGCAATAAATAAAAACAATGAGCTAGAAAATAAAAATTTTAGATACATAAAAATGAAAATTGACAAATAAATTATTAATTTAATAATATTAAAATTGATTGTAAAATTAAAATTTTCGAATCCAAACATTTTTTTATTTGAAATTTTTCGATATTTAATAATCATTTTAAATTTCGATTAATTTAGAGTCGAATCAGATCAAATTTTATAAAAATATAAATTTATTTAAATTTATTTTTTTATTTATAAGATTTAAAATTGATATTTTATTAAAAAAACTAAAATTTTTGTCTTTCGGAAAATAAACATAGTAAATCCAAAAATTAATCCCTAAAAAAACACAACAACAAAAAAACAAGTCTTAATGTTAACGTGCTTTCTTTGACTCAAGCTTGGTTGGCCAATATTGCAGCACGTCGAATGCTGTTTTTATTGCAATCGTGCAGCCTTGCTCTATGTTTCAGCTTTAGACAACATCAAACATTAAATAAAATTTAAAAAAAAAAAATCCAAAAACCTGAAGGATTTATGTTTTGGTTGGATAAGAAGGTGACACTTGTCACTTTCTTACACATTTGTCTATTTATTTAAAAAATCAAAATGATTAAGATTTCCCATATAAAACAAAGCCAAAACTATTGTGATTTCCATTTTATGTTAGATACATAAATTTATTCACTTTCTTTTTATCTTACCTTCCTTTCTTTTTCTAGAGTTAGCATTTAGAACTTTCTTTTTCTTTTCATTACTTTTTTTTTATTTACTTTTCCTTTGGGTTTGGATCTTTGGATGTTTAACATTAATGTATTTAATCTTTAAAACTTTAAAGTTTATTACTTTACTTTTAAAAATTAGAAGGTACTCTTTATAAAAAATAATAATAATTTCAAATTATATTTTATGCATAAGATGATAGATATGATAGGAATATATCTATTTTATATTATATTTAATTTGTATTTAAAAAAATAAGATTGTAAGAAAAATTAATCATTTTCTTTGTATAAGATAATTTAATCTTTCCAAAATTAAAAATTATTTTTAATTAATGAGATTTTATTTATATATCTTATTATATCATTAAAAATTACATCAATAATTTAAATTTATAAATTTTGAAAAAAGATAAATTTTACTCATAAATAAATTATCATATCTTAATCTTTACACATATCAAATATAAAATAAAATGATATTATTTAATCTAATCTTATTTATAATATCATTTTATCTTATCTTATCATAATTTTATTCATTTATCATACCGTTAAGATACACCTATTACGTAAGTAATAAAATAGTGATAATATGAATGATACTAATTTTGTTATTATATTTTTATTTCATTAAATTTTATCATTTTTATTTCAATTATTAATTTTTGAATAAAAAATGAAATTGACGAAAATTTGTCATGTTGTTGTAAGTAGCAAAGCAAATTTTCGTTAATTTTATTATTTTTATCTAAAAATCAATAAAATCTAAAACGTAGTAATTAAATTTAATAAAATATAAGTACAGTATCAAAAAAATATAGTGGTAAATTTGTCTTTGATCCTTAAAATAATAAAATATAGATGAATTTAATTTTTTTTAAATAGGCACATATTTTACTATTGTTCTAATAAAAGGTGGAAGACCAAAAGTTAAAAAAAAAATGCATAATTATTTATGTGAATCATAGGAAACTTTAATAAATGAAATTCAATAGATAAAATAAAAGACTAAATCATTTTAAATTAAAAAAAAATTGACTTTAGTATTGGATAAATAAACATTGACTTGGTATGATGTACATAGCTCATAAACCAACACAATTGCACTCCAACTCAAGAAGCATTAAAGCATAAATGGATTATATTATATATTTAATATCAACATTGACATAACATGATAATATATATTATCAACGTTGACATAGTTTTATTTATCAACAACTTTTACAAAAACTTTTCAATAACTTATTCATAACATGATTTAATGCCTGTTGCTCCAAAATAGTTAAGGTTTTGTTTGACTGATATTTTATTTTTTTATTTTTTTGTTATTGGTAAATAGTACCTATCATTTATAAACAAATGACTTTTTGAAATATACCTTTAAAATAAAAGATTAATGAATAAATAAATATAAAATTACATCAAATTCACACGTGTTAATTAAGATATTAATACTCAAACCTAGATGTGAAGAATTTAATATCTATTGCATTGACTATAAATTAATTAAATAATTAAATTTATTTAAAAATACTCAAAATAAATTTTTTAATTTAAGGGAATTAAAAAAAATTCAAGTATTACTCTTTCAAATCAAAAAATATATATAATAATCATTGAATCAAATATTTGAATATAATAAAAATAAAATAATAGCATGACTGTTGTCATTTTTAAATGGTAAGGGGAGACAAAAGGGTTTTCATAGGGTTTATGTTGTTAACATAAGCATGGGCAAATGTAAATGATAAGGATCACACAATCCCCACCTATGCATTCATTTTATGCATTGAAAATATGTTTGATGTTGCACCATGTTAATTCTTGGTCTCCCATTTGGGTGGCTCATCCCAAACTTGAATGCAATTGTGTCTCTTCTTAGCTTCTATAGGCTCAACTTTGAGTAGAGACAATAGGGAAACATGAATTTAAAGCTTTGGTTTTATCAAACTTGGAATTGATAGATCAACACAAGTCCTAAATTTCATCAATTTTTCATTTTTTCTTTGGAAATTATGATTTGATTTGTCTAAAAGGGAGAGCTTCCAATTTTCTATGCTTTGTTGTCTTTGTAATAATTATCCACTTTGAATTTTTTTTCTTTGAACATTGAATTTAAGATGTTAAATTTGAATTATTGCCCACAAAATCATCCACCATTGACTAAAGTGAAAATGTGGTAAAGAATAGTGGTAAACATCATTTTTATGAATATCAAGAAAATAATTATTTTTTTCCCAATGAAATATTGTCTTAATGGCAATGAGCATCCTTAAAAAAAGGCCAAAAGAGGAGGTATCGGTTTAGTAAGTCTTAAATGGATTTGGTTCAACTTTTTTTTTATGGTATATTTGATCCAATTATATGTTAGTTTATTTGTTTTTTTTATACAAAAGAAATTACAATTTAAAATTATTTAATGTCATATTTTAAGAATTATTATATAAAATCAAGTAAAATAAATTTTGAGTTCAATTCATTTGTTTCATTGAATTCCTATATATTCGATTATAATTGTAACTTCGATTTATAATTAAATATAACTTCATAAAAAAGTTATTTTCACATTCCCTTTAGTCAAAATTTAAAAACATAACATGCCTTTTAAATAGTGAATTTCAAATATGTATTACATGTTTATCAAAGCATATGGTTCAATATATAGTAAGTATATGTATTAAACAAAAAAAAAAAAAAAACTAAAATCTTTGCTTCTTATGGCCAAACAAAAAGTTGGGTTTCAACCTCCCTTCAAAACTATGTAAAGTACTTAATTATTTTGAAAGGTAAGAGAGAAATTAAACTTTAGATCTCCAATTTTGACAAGATATGCCAATAATGTTTGTAACATTCCTTTGAGCTTCAATTACATGTTTTAAAAAAAAAAGAGCTTGTCCTCCATTGATTGGTCAGATGACATGTGTTTTTTCCCCTCTTAAGTTGGTATGAATGTGCATCCAAAGCATGATTTTTAGTTGATATTGTCAATCATGTAAGTTGAGACTTTCTTAGGAAAAACTGAATAAATGCTATGCCACTACTTCATGGCCTAATCTATATTTAGATTTTGAGTAGCTTACAAGTGATCAATAGGTAGGTGAGCAACATTTTTAGCATTGGAAGGGGAATTGCCATATCATTGAGATTATATTTATAGGAAGAAATAAACTCATTAATATATTGTCTTTTCTTGAATTTTTTTATAAAATAAATCGTAGTTTGAAAATAAACAAATATTATAAATGTTAATATTTGAATTATAATCTTATTAAATGTCACTTTTTAAAAATAAATATATGAATTAATTAAATTAAATATAAATTTTTTTTAATTTGATCCATCATAAATATTTTAATTATCTTTTACTAGCATTTATAAACATCGATAAACAATTCATTCCCTGAACAATTGTATCACTGGCAAAATCATAACAAAAACTATAGTAATAAATTTCTTTGAACTCATGCTATAATTATGAAGAAGCAATGTATATTTAATTGTTGGTGATGAATTTCTACCACACGACATTCTGTATCATTGATTCCCTTTAACTAATTGTGACTCTTGGTAGTTGATCAATAGGGCAGTAACATAAAATGAACTATAGGCGATATGAAAAAGTTATGATATTTTTTATTTAAAATTGTTAACAATTGAATTATTAAAAATAAAATTTAATATTTTTAGAACATATTATATGATTATTGGCAGAATTATGATCATTTTAAATCTTTTGTTATGCACAAAATTCATTAATTAAACATATTAATTGTGTCAACAATTAATACGTGCGATTTTTATTTATTTATATTTATTAAATTTAATAAATGATCATAAATAATATTTTAAATTTTATTAATAAATGAATATATCACGAATATAATTGTTTTTATTTATATTTGATTCATTTATATTTTTAATTACAATATAATATGAAATTTGATTAAAAAAAATATTATTAAAATGCTAAAAGTTAGATGTAAACCAGGAGATTAAGGACAATTTCAAAGCATAGATTCTGTAATTTATCTCAAAAAAAAAAAAATTCAAGAAAAATTGTTGATTGTTGAAGCCTGAAGGTAAGGTGGTTCTAAACTTTCTACTATAAGAGTAAGGTTGGTAGCTCAATATGCTTCTGATGAATTTTGATCCGATATGATATTTTAGGGTTGATTGTTTTTTCAAATCAAATTTTGGATCATATTGAGTAATAATAAAAAAAAATCAAAATCAAATTTTAGATAAATGCGATTTGATTTGATATATATAAAAAAATTTTAATTAATTATTTAATTTTATATTTATATTAAAAAATAATATTTTATATTTAAAAAATAATATTTTATTAATTTCGAATTAGATCAAATTAAATATAATTCATACAATATCAAATCAAATTAAATTCAAATATAAAAAAAATAAAAAATTTTAAATCAAATTAAATTTAAATATTATAAATATAAAATTAAATCGAATTTTAAATGAGCAAAAATTCTATCCATTCCGATCCGATTCTATCACTAATCAAGAGTTGAGCATTAAAAGCAAATCATCAATAAATACTATCTGACACAAAACCTTGTTAAAAAATGGTAACTTTGCCCAGTTTCAAATATCCTTATTGTTTTCTTTATTAATGTCACCAGATACTAGTCTCTGCAAGTTAACAGGCTAGCCAACCATGATCATTTGACAGTCCCGTTTCACAGACGTGGGTCGGCTGAGCAGCAGCAATTCCAGCTGCAACACAGCCAATCAAACCTATTCATGTAGATTAGCTCTCTAGGCTTTTTCCATGATTTTAAGATTTTGAGCATATCTAAGTTCATTCAGACATCAGCTTTTTCTTTTAAACTTTCTCACTTTTGCCCCAGCTTATTGGCCATTCCATTCTTTTTGCTGCGTAGCTTTGTACTGTATTGATTCTCTTGTTTTTATGTTTTCATTTTATCTGTCATAGTTTTCAACCAATTTTCCTGTTTCTTTTTCTTTTCCTCTTTTCCTGCTCTGAACCGTGTTTTCTTTTTCTCCCTTCTCTCTGTTGAATGTTTTTTGGTCAAAAGAATTGAGAACTTATACAATGCGTCGTTGTCTGTCTATTTTGTCACCTATAGCTAGAATCAATTCCTACTAGATATTTGAATTCAATCTGTTTATGTTCTTTTGATTTTTGCTGTCTAACCCACAATTCTTATCCTTTCTGGGCAAGCCCAAGTACCAAATAGCCCAATGGATAGGTCCAAATCTTTCATCCTTCAACACTATAAATATGGAAAGAGATAGGGGTGATGAAAAGAAAAAAAAAATTGATTCGAAATTAATGAATTAAATCGAATTGATAAAAATTAATTTGAATGAAATCATATGAAAATAAATTTTAAAAATTTATAATATTATATATTACTCAAAAAATCAAATCAAATTTGATCGAATCATTATTAATATTATTTAAAAAACTGTTATTACCCATAGAAGAAGAGATTAAAAGTTTTGAGAAGTATTCAAATTGAAAATGTTGTCAATGGCACTCGAAGCATGAAAGATTAATGAGTTGGCCGCTCTGCTCATAACAAACAAAGTGCATTTCTGCCTCGTAACCTGACTTTCACTTATGCATTCTAGACAGTCGAGGGACGTAGTTCGGAGTCTCAAAGTGAATGAAAAGCAAGGCTAGAAGAACTTCCTTTTGACTTTTCTTTGGCCTCCGCATAAATGGAGTTGCCATTGTTTTCAAGCTTTGCAGGAGGGTCATATGCTTTCAAGTATGGTTGATTAATGTAATGAAAGATCAAGATTAACTCCGATTTGCCATTGTAAGGCATATTGGAGTTCTACACTTCCAGATAAGGCATAGGGCACAGCAGCACAACACTAACCTCACAAGTACTTCAAGAGATTGTTTAAATGCTCAAGCAATTATATAGCTTAATTTCATTCTGGCTATGGTTTCATGCAAGCTTTCACATAGCATGACCACAGTTGCCACTGCGCGTAGAAGTTTCTCCTTCAAGCTAGTTAAAGCAATTCAACTATAGGCCAGCGAGCCAGAGATCAGGCTCCTGCCAAACACATTTCTCTCGCAGCAATCATCCACAACAATTTTAATCCAATAACTGAGCATGAATAAATGAGGAAAAACACCCAAGATGCAACCAATGCCATTTTGTACATTCTTTCCCGAACATTATGATTGTACTTTTATCCGTGAGCTTGAAATACTTGTCTTAAAACTGACTAATAACTCTTCTTTCACTGTTGCAGGTTTCCATATCATACCAATCATAAGGTTCGGATGTTCTTCCAAGGTTGTATCGTGTGCTAGCATGGAATCTTTGTCCCAGACTTTCTTTGGTGAATGGTGTTAAAACTTGTCCTTTCTCAGATACTCTGCCTTGCATCAATAGATTAAAGAGGCCAATTAGCAAGTGAAAGAACCCTGGATAGATGTTGCATTAGAAACTGAAAAATGGAAAATAAATCCATAAACAGAATCTTCACCTCTGGAGTGCTTTTGTCTCGGTCGTATTGCTCTCCCAGGAACTGCTGTCAGTAGTTTCAAGTTTTAACCAGATCTTGTTAACAGATTGAGGAACATAGTCTGGTAATGCCTTCTCTCCCATTAGAAGAGAACAGAGAAGATATAATCTGTATGTATGTTCATAGAGCTCTAATTTTATTAAGCCACATATTTGGTGCATACGGAATAGCCAGTTCAACATATTTGCACAGCTAATCTGTCATGGTCTTAAAGAATAGACATAAACTCGCATCGGCAACTTGGAATATAAGTATTCATAATATCTTCAACTTGTGAAGTAATTTTTGTGAGATAAAACCGTAAAATCCGATGATCCGATGCAAAAAATACTTCCCTAAGTTGGTATGGACCTTGACATAATGCCTATCTTTGCATAAAGAAGTAGCTGTTTGCTAGACAGTGACTGTCAAATGTGTATTATTGCTATTACAGCAACTTTTTTTGGTCTAGGTAAGCACATGTACTACAAGTACATAAAGTGAACAGGAATTACTAGGTTTGAATTGCACCTGCCTTATTAAACAAGAAAATCTAAACAAAAACAAAATTACAATTTCAAACAACAAATTCTTATATGTCACAGTAATAATCGAACCATCGACAAAGGCCTGAGTGACTCACTCACTCAGCAGTTACCTTGGAGTCGCAGAGTAAATGCTTGCAAGGCAAGAAGAACTTCCTTTATTTTCTGCTTGGATGCTGGGTCAATAAGGTTGCCATCACCATCAAACTTTGCTGGAGGCTGAAATGCACTCAAGAAAAACTCGGGCTTATTGATAAAATGAAGATCAAGATAAATCCCAATTTGGCGAAGATGATACTGTGACCGCCCACCACCAAAACCTCCTCCGGCGCTTATGATGGCAGCAGCTTTATCAGCCCAAACATTTGGTGGTCTTGAAGCCCAGTCAATTGCATTCTTCAGAGGAGCTGGTATAGTGCAGATAATAATATAATATGAACAGGTTTATTTAGCTACCTAAATCCTTCAATGCTGACTTAAATACTACAAAAAAAAAGGGTCAGAACAGTTTAACAAACCTGTACCCAAGTTAATGGGATGGAATCCAAAAGTGAGAGATCCTACTAAACCATCTATAGTATTAAAAATCTGGCATTTAGAGCCTACTTCCTCTAGCCAAGCAAGGCAGTAGCATTCTTCAAATTGCAGTATAAAGTGGTTTTGAACTACCTGACTACAAAATTTGCCCTAAAAATGGCTTATGTTGGATCAAAATTCTTCAAAAGAAAGAATTCCAAAGAAAAGAATTTAACTTAGGGTACCTATACTAATATTTGAGTATTTATTATCCCTTTAATACTTTGAGGCACTCTTTTGAACATGTATCATATTACCCCACATCTATATTGGAAAAAAAGTATCACATAACGATATTTTTAAGATTAATCAATAGTTGATCTATCGTGAATTGCATCTTAACAAGTGCTTTAGCAAGAACTAGATTTAAGGTGAAGGAAATGTTGTTTGCACTGATTGAAATCACAACTATGACCAAGCACAGAATTATCCAAACAAAATATGGGAAGGATATCTGTGAGGTGCATATGAATCTAACCAGTAGAAATAGCATTCCATAATATCATCATAAGGGAATTCTCTAGTGAATGCCCTAAGAACACTTGTGAAGCTCACAATTTTATGATTATTTCATAATTATAAAGTTAAACTGTTTAGCCTTTAACCAGAATATTTCTAAAACCAGTGAGCATAACAAGTTTCTTAAGGCACCCTCTAGAAAAGCCCTTGTTATAATTATCCCATCGATTAGTAATTAGCATTACTTAAAAAAAACAAAAATAAACTGTTTAATTTTTGCACATATGCTCAAACAATATAAATACACTTAGGCATATCCTTGCACACATACACAACAAACACATATAAGCATTTGCAGCAAAAGAATGAGGAAATGAGAAATTGTAGAACCTTTTGGTCATGTGGAGGAGATCGCAGGACAAAATAAAGAGAAGATGGGTTAGAGAGACTGAGAGAGAAGAGAGAGAAGGCAATGCACTGGTCTGTCAATGGCAAAAGAAGGCAATGCACTAACAATGGCGAAGTGAGCAATGGAAGGCTGCCAAGTCACAAGGAGGAGAATAAAGAAAGAGAATGAGACACATATTAGAATATAAAGGATAGAAGAAACAAAGAAACAAAGACGACATCATATAAGTCGGTATTTTTTGGCCATGGCAAGAACCAGCCTAATGGTTTTTGTTATCAATTCTCCTAGATTGAACAAAATGAAATAGGTCAAATACTAAATTGAACAAAAAAATAGATCAAGTTTAGTTTTTCATTCTATGTCAAATATTAGTCCAAGTTTTAGCTATAACCACACTCATTAAACTTCCTAAGTCAATTTAACAAGGGACTCAAAACCAAACCAACAAAAAAAATTTTTTCGGTCACATTATTTTCAGTGTGCACACATAGGTATTTCATCTATATAAAATTTTCAAATATTAGAATAACCAAAAACTAAAAAAAAATCATAAAAAAAATACTTTCAGAAACTGAAGTTACATGTTTTAGTCCATTAAGCTGGTTTTATTTGAATAATGCACACCCCTGACATGAGGCAGCTATGGGTTATATCATATGTAATAAAACCTTCGACAGTACTTTAGCTTTGAATCCCACTCATACAAAAAATAAGCAGTAAGTTAATCACAAATCTCACATAAATAGGAGATAGCAAGCATCTGAAATAGCTTTCCTTAATCACACAATTTTCTACCAACATCTCTTATTTCTTTATTAATTAATAGCATATTGAATAATGACATTCAACATGTACTGAATCTACTGATTAATGTGTTAAGGTAAAACACAAGTAGATCCCTTGTGAACGCAAGAAATGTTAAAACTTTTCACTCCTTACATCTTCAGCTAAGGATATTAAACTTTGTTACTCTTTGCATTCACAAATTTTTTTCCTTTCCCTTAACCTATGCACTTAAATCAACAATCACCCTAACTTTTTTTTTTTAATGTTAAAAAGGTTTACGAAGGAAGGTTGCCCCATGCCGAGGCCAGAGTATGCCGCATATCTCTTTTGAAGACTTACATTGAACTTATAAATTGCTGACCAATGGGAGACTGTTGACAGCTGGAATCGAACCTAGATCTGCCTCAAGGAAGCAACCAATACTTACCAACAAAGCCAACCCCTATTGGCAACAATCACCCAACCTTACAAGTTTCATATCTTCAAATAAAAGAAATACTCCTACAACTTTACACTTTAATACACCCTCACTAGCTCCCACTTCCTCCATTTCAAAATTAAGACTTTTTGACAGAGATTTAAATTTTGATGAAAAGTCAAACTGTCTTAATTTACTGACAATGAATAGAAAACTTGCTCCAGCTCTTCAAAATCAACATTTCCAATGATGACATAAAAATTTTTTGACTAAATGGGTAACTATTGTGATTGATTGATACTGTATAAAGTTCTAAAAATTATAGAAAATATAAAGAAATGAACGTCAAAAACATTTTACCAAAGAAATACAGTACAATACAAAGGAGAAATCTTTGGGATGAGAAATACCAGTAACAGAGTAGTTGTACTCAGGGGAAGCAAAAAGGATGCTATCAGCCTCCAAAATCTTCTGCCTGAAAGCCTCAATAACAGGCGGATACTTCCCATCAACTTCGAGATCGGTGTTGAGCATAGGAAGTGGTAATATGTCTATGTACTCCATCTGGATTCCACTAATAGACTCCCTACTTAACTCCAAAGCTGAAAAACATAAACCAATCAATATTCCCAGAAACCAAACACAAAAAAAAAGAAAAAAATCCCAAACTGAAACAACTCAGACATTAACAGACTTAACAGAAACATTACCAGTACGTAGTAAGCCTCTATTGTAAGAACCTTTCCTTAAGGACCCACAAAGGGCAGCAATTTTTATCACAGGTTTTGCTGCTGCCATTGCTTCCATTGCTCTCTAATCTCTTACAACTCTTCTCTTCTCAGCTTTGCGTAACCTGCTTCACCTGTGTCATTATATAGAGAGGGTCAAAGGGTGAGAGAGGAATGATCAAACGGGTAGGTTGGTAGTGAGATTTTTGACCGTGTGATTGGAATAATCATTGTGTCATTGTTTGGACCACTGAAATATAATAAGCAAAGATACTTTTGTGTTTTTCCAAGTGAGGAATTTAGCTTTGATCCTTCAGCAATTGGTGGTATATGGCCATAGATAGCAACATGGGAAGTGCCTTTCAGGCCGCCAGTAATTAGATTTTTGTCTGTAGTTCGGCATGAATATTGTTGCACATCAAAAATTAAGGCCTGGTCTTAAATTTTAGTCCCGTAATTTTTTTTAAATTACGATTTTTTTGTGCAAAAATTAAATTATTTATACATTTGCTCTCATCTTACTAAGGTTTCGTTTAGTAAACCTTATTGTTTTTTTTTTCTCAAAAAATAAATGGAAATAGGCAAGAAAATAAATAAAATTTGAATTAAAAATTAAAAATAAACCTAAAAGCATTTATTTTAGTTTAGAAAAATAGTATTTCCTATTTAATATATTATTTTATAAATTAATAGTAAGAAACAAGAGAATAAACCTAAAAGCATTTGGCTTATTAGTTCTTCATGTATCCATCCCTTATTCCTCCACAAGTTTATTTTAATTTTTTTAGTGATAAAAACTTACAATTAAATATTTGATTCAATAATAAATATATATATTTATTAAAATTTGTTATTATATGCTTTTATTTATTGGTTTTTAATAAAAAAAAATTAATTAAAGGAACCAATAAAATTCAAATTTAATTAAATAGTATGATCCAAATAGTATTAGAGTTAGGATCATCACCACTTATTATTATATTATTATTGGATATGACATGAAAAAGATGTTGACAAGATAACAAAAATGGGTTACTATTGCTTATAATGAAAAGATGTTTTAAGGTTTTAATTTATTTTTGGTTTCTATTTTTTCCCCCAAAAATTAGGGTTTTTTTTTATTAAAATTTAATATTAAATGATCACTTCAAAAATTATAATGATTTATTTATGATAATAATTGGATCACTATATTTAATAAAAAATTAATAATTTTATATGACAATGATCTTAATAAATACATAAATAAAAAAGCAAATAATAAATTAAAATTGACATTTAGTTGAATCTATTTATTACTTGTCAAATTAAAGAAGCAAGAAGAATATAATCAGAAAAATAAATTTAAAACATTTTAAGTTTTAATTTAACATTTTATCATCCAATTAAAAATCTAAAATTTATCATCCAATTAAATTTAACATTTTATCATAAGTTTTATCAACCAATTAAAATTTATTTGGATGATAAAATGTTAGATTCAACTTATGATAAATAAATTCTAACATTTATATTTAAATTTTAGAATTTATCATAAATTTTAGAATTTATGATAAACAAATTCTATTGGCAAATTCTAAAATTTATCTTTAAATTTTAGAATTTATTTATCATAAGTTGAATCTAACATTTTATCATCAAATTAAAATTCTATTTGCAAATTTATTTACTTTAAAAAATGCACAAATTTGCACTTCATTATCCCTAACAACCCCAAATGTTTTATTAAGATAAATAAATGTCAATTCTAATAAAGAAAATTGGTACCAAGTTGATCCCTTGCCCACTTCCAATCTCAAGGTATCTTATCTTTTATAACATTATCAAACATTCCTTCCCTCAAATGATAACATCTTTTGCTTTTTTCCACTTTCTCAATTCTTCTATGATTTTAAGGTCATTTTCTCAACCTAAGAATCATTCAAGAATCATTAAAGAAAAAGAAAAAGGCAAAAGAGAAGAGTCATATATCCTAAATAGTTACTTTTTTTTTAATTAATTAATTATTATTATTATTATTATTATTATTTTATAAATGAGATTGTAATTTGAAGTTATCAGAAAATAGTATTAGTAATATAACAATAAGCTTTGTGTGAACTTCTAATGTTTGAGTGAAGAAATTTTAAAGTTTGTAAACTTAAAAATATAATAAAAAATATATAGCTAGCTAGGATATAATTTTTTTTGGAAATCTTTTGCATTTAGGGGTTAGGGGTTCAATTGCTGGTTAATGAAAGTTTAATAATAATAAAGCCATCCCTTCCCATATTGGTAATATAATTGCTTTTTCATTTCATAAATCTTTCCTCCCATTTTAATATTTAAATGGGAAGCCTCTAAATTGAAATATCACTCGATTAGAATTCAAAATTTAATTCAATTAATTCATGTATCACTCTTAAAAATATAGTATTATATTTAATTGTGATTAAATCTCAATCCATATAATTTTTTTTTATATTTTAAGCTCCAAACTCTTTTATAAAAAAATAAAATAGAAAAAATCAATTATCTTATGAGTTAACTTGAGCAAATTTGTCATTTTATTAATTTAAATCTATTTAACAAGCTAATTTTTATTTTTAATTTAATAGTACTTCTTTTAAAAACTCTTCATTGGCAAATTCATATAACTTTTACCATATATATTTTGTGTTAAAAATAATAGAGCAAATTGCGAACGAACTTTTGGTTTAATAGTAAGGAGGAGGTTTTAAAATCTTCAAATCTTAGGTTTAAATTTAACTATATATGAGTTTGGTTATTTAGTTATATTCTAGTTTATTAATTGATTATGTAATATTTATAATTTAATTATTATGTAATAATTGATCATTCAGTTGATTAAATGAATGTAAAACTTAATTATAATTGTAATTTTGAAAAAAATAAAAAGATAATAGAGTAAATTATATCATTACTCTTTAATTTTTTTTTTAACAATGTTTCATTTACATTTATGTAATATTTTGAATTTGTTTCAAATCTATCCATCCATCAATATTGCTTCAAAAATTTAGATGAAATATGGATGGAATTTGTCATCTAATATTTTAGTGGATGTACATATAGCAAGTCCTTTAGAAATTTCAACGAATGTTGATGGGTTAAAATAAATTTAAAAAATAATAAATTAAAAAAAAATCTAAATTTTTTTAATTCGGGTGAAAGTAAAATTTTATGAATGAAAAATGTCAAGGACTAATTATGAAATTTACTCATTATACATGAAGAACTTCTATACAAAACACCTAATGGACAAACTCTCCGGTCCAAACTCAATTATGTTGGATTTTTTGGGGACAGATTTTGGACTTGTATTTTTTTTTTTTTTAGTATTATTATTTAAGATGTTAATTTTATTCATATCTATATTTGATTATCAGGAATGTCAATTTTATAGAATTTAATTTTTTTATCAGAATAGAGATAAGTATTATATTATGAGTATAAGGATAGAGATATATATGATTTTAAATGTTTATTGGGTACAGGTATACGGATGGGTAATATAGCTATCGTCCCCTATCCGTACCTTACATATATATATATTTATATATAATTAATAAATAATATAAATTATTATTTTAGATTAATTAAAATTAATATATTTTTATTATAAATATATATTTATAAAAAAATTGCATAAATATACAAATTAAAAAAAAATAAAAAAATATTTTTATTTTTTTAAATGTTATGGGCTATTATAAGGATTACTTATATCCTATTAAATACCATTAGAAATAGAGATAAAAATAAATTAAAATATTCATTAAGTATAAGTATGAAAGTAAATATAATATAAAAATTTAGAAATAAAGATGAAAAATATTCTATTCTCTCAATACTCTATCTATTCACATCAATGGTATCACATTTCTTGTTAAAATATACTATCAAAATTTGAGGAATGGCAAGTAATGATATGATATGTTATTAAAATGTTAAACTTTTATTTTTAATAATCTATATTTAATTTTTCATAATTTCAAATAAAAAATTGAATCTTATAAAACTGGATAATTCTTTTCCCTTTCATAAATAATAATCATGTCAAAAAAATAAAAAATATATAATTAGAATTTAATTCGTTTTTTATGCAATAAATAAGGAATAACAATTCTTAATTGTTAGTAACAAAATTAAAGTAGCTAATTCAATGGTGCCGGCTGTAATAAAAGGTCGATATCATTATGTTAATAAAAAATATTCGGTGACATATTAATTGGCCCACTACAAAAACAAGGTTTCATAAGTTGAGAGACTTGAGAACAGAATAAAAGATGGAAACACTCAATCATCTTCCCAAAAGAGATGCAATTATGTTAAAGAAATGATTATTTCGCTTGTAAATATATCATGTCAAAATTAAATATATGATAAAATTATTTCATATTATTATTAAGTGATTGATTATTATTAAGATATTAAATTTGAATTTTGTCGGTGAATGTTGTTGGTATTATCTCACATGCATAATTCACAATCGTCTGTCTTAAATTATCAAATATGATATATTTATTTTGATATGAAAAATTAAATAATTTATTTATTTTAAATTTTTTTTATAAAAAAATTATTTGATATTGTAATTATTATTGATTAGCAAAAAAAAAAAAAAATTTCTTGTCCCATCATCAAGCTTATATGTAAATTATAAAACAAATTGAATAAAACTTAACGGAAAACAAATTTACCATAAATTTCATATTTTTTTGTTTATTATAAATTCACCTTTCTCGTCTCTACGAAATAAGAATACAATATTTTTAAATTGGAATTTTAAATTCTAAATACGATCCAATTTAATTATCTCTTAAATGCTTTGATATATATTTTTTTATCTCAAGAAAGAGATTCAAACCGACAGATTGAATCATTGAACAAAAAAATTATATTTTTAAAAAAAAGTTTATAATTTGAAAAGAAATTATAAATATTTTAAAAATATATATAAAAATTAACTCAATGAAATCTCGATTTAAAAAGTTCATGTTTTTGGACACTTTGGTTATCGTGTTAAAAAGGATATATTGACCAAATAATTGATAATCAATTCCGTTAGTGGCGCATATTGATTATTGACCAAATAACCCGTTGGAAAATTGTGAGCAAATTTTCCATAAAAAAGAAAGGAAAATTGTTAACCTTTTATGGCTTCACTCTGTTGTTCATGGAATCCATTGCTGATGGGATCTTGATTTACAACTTTCATACCAAAAATAAGTGTAAATCTAAGTTTACCAACCCCTCTGGGGACAGAAAAAAAAAAAGAAAAAAGGACTGTACTTCCTAGCTTGCAGGCAACCAGACTTCAACTTTTCACTTTTCAAATCTCCCACACGATTCTTGATCCAAAGCAAAAGAAAAACAGATCCTTTCAGAAGTTTTTTTTTTTTTCTTTTCTCTCTCCCTCTCTGCTCACCGCTCACGTCACTACTGTACGTTTCTCTCTCTCTCTCTCTCTCTCTCTCTCTCTCTCTCTCTCTTGTGAAAGGATCTATAAAAATCAGATAATAACAATTAGTGTTTTTTGTTTGTTTGTTTCCATGTTTTGTGCCATGTAAATTTCATGAAACCAGGAACATGGGTTTTGAGCTAATGTGCTTTTAATACTATATTCACTCCCAAAGTTCTTAACTTGCGTCTGGGTTTTTCTTATTTACTCTGTCTTTGCATTAAAAATCATTGCTTTGCTGTCAAATTCTCACTATTTCTCAATTTTAATGGATACCCATTTAACAATTAGGTTAAAGTTCATGAAAATTCCATTTTTTAATTCATTTATGCATCTTATATATATATATATTGTGTGTTTGACTTGTATTTAGTAAACCTTTTCTAATAATAATGACTAGTGGCGGGGTTTTGTTTATTTATTTAGTTTGTTTGATCTAAATTCTGGCAAGGCAGCCTGTAAGTGGGTTGTTCAATTTTAACTTGCTGGTTATGTCTTGTTTTGACTTTCTTGTATGCTTCCTGTTTAGTTCTGTTATGTCTGAAGATTGCTTGATCGTAGGGGCCTTGAATTTTGTTTGGTGTGTTTTTGAAATTTTTTTATTTAAGTTTGATCCTCGTAGAAACTGTATTTAATTCGGATAACTGCATTGTTGTTTTGACTGCTGTTGATGAATTTGAAGGTTTTGTTTGGTTTAATGGAATTTGCACCCATCTTTGTTCTTTTTGGATGTCTTTGATTCTTATATGGAGAAATTCTGTTATTTCACTTTGAAACGGTTCTTGAATTTTTATATGTAGCCTTTTTCTGGTGTTTCATCTCTGTAATATTTTGTCTATTTTATGTAGATTTCTGGCTACTCTCTCTACATTTTGTAGCAACATCAGTATAATTGATATGAAGTACTTCATATTTTGACTTATGAAAAGTCTTGCTTGATTTTGATTTCCCATGGATTACTGTAACCTTGTGAGCTTCTTGATCTGCATCGAATTGATTTATGGTAATTCTTCTGCGCAGGTGCTATTGGAGCTTGCAGTCTACTGCAAGTCAATTGGAACTTCAATCATGTTAGGAAACTAATGGATTAGTGGCTGTTTCGTCATTAACCAGTTTGGACACTCTTGGAGAATAGGGCTTGTCTTTAAACAATTTAAACTAGAACGGTTTTTATAGTTTGGAGGATCGGAGTCCTCATTTAACTACAACCATCAATGATAGTGAGAAAAAACATGGGGCGCGCTTCACCACTTCTTCTGATTACATTAGTTCTTGGATTTTGTTTTGCAACATATAATCTTGTAACAATGGTAATGCACAATAGATCTATATCAAAATGGGTAGCCGATGACTCCAATGATGGGATATTTTTTGATCCTGTCGTTGAGATGCCTGAAAATGTGAGGAAACCGAAGAATATCAAACTGCCTTTCCATGTTGCCTTGACAGCTACTGATGCTCCTTACAGCAAATGGCAGTGTCGCATTATGTATTATTGGTATAAGAAGCAGAAGGACTTGCCTGGGTCTGAGATGGGAGGTTTCACACGTATTTTACACTCTGGAAGTCCTGATAACTTGATGGATGAGATTCCTACAGTCATAGTAGATCCTCTTCCAGCAGGGCTTGATCGAGTGAGTTTTTTTGCATCACCATTTTTTGGTTACTGCTAGTCATTTCTTTCATTCACTGTCACCTCTTTTATGTGTGTTAGAAGGCTTAGGATGGTCTTAGGTTTTCAGTTTATTAGTTTGAGTCATCATTCTTAGACACAGTTAACTATATTGTTACAGTGTAGTTAGTTAACAAATAAATCAGGGAATAATATTTCAGAGGAGGATAATATTTATTAGGGAATAAATTAGGGAATAATATTTTTGATTCTGTCAAGATTGTTCGCCTTCTTGAATGAGTGATTAGTTATTGAATAAATAGCATCAAACAGAATAGTTGTTATAATTCAGAGCATATGAATCTGCATTATATGCCTTAAATGGTTGCTTATAATTCAGAACTCTTTGAACGTGTCGGAACTATGATGATATTGTGACTTCTGATAGAGAACTGTTGCATCTGATTACTAGAAGCTGTTAACGTTTCAAAAGTGGGATTAGATTTGTATTGATTTTCATATACCTTAATGACATTGAAACAATTATAGATTGATATACATTGCAAGAATGCATTCTTCATATGTGGTTCTTTTTGTTGACCAGCTATAAATGAAAATTTTCATCAGAAGAAATGAACACAGAAGACTTGTGGCTGAATGACTTGTTTATTTTGGCAAAATATATTTGAATATTCTTCTGTTATTTGTTTAGTAATTTTATTAAGTGTAGAGGCAATTGCCATGATTGTCTTGGTTTCTAGAATCTGCATTCTTTATGTGTTTTCTGAAAAGATTCCTCTCTCTTCTCAGGGATACATTGTCTTAAATAGACCATGGGCTTTTGTGCAGTGGCTGGAAAAGGCTACAATTGAGGAAGAGTGCGTGTTTTTACATGTGATGATTTCATTATCAGTTTCATCAGACCTTAAATCAGTTTTTAAATCATGTTAACCTTTTTCCTTGATGCAGATATATATTGATGGCAGAGCCTGATCACATATTTATCACTCCCCTACCTAATCTGGCACATGGAGGATACCCAGCTGCATTCCCATTTTTCTACATTAAGCCAGCTCAGAATGAAAAATTGTTAAGGAAGTTTTACCCAGAGGAGATGGGACCTGTGACAAATATTGATCCAATTGGCAATTCACCTGTCATTATCAAGAAGGTAAAAATCTCCAAGGAACTTATTTATAGATTGGTCTTGATATAAATTATGTTTCTGGGCAGTTAATGGTATCTGAAGTAGTTGGGCTTGTTTTCCAATTGCTTGATGTTGACTATTGATACTTCATTAGATCTGTTCTCAGATGATTGTATTTGTTCCTTTGCTGTCGCCCTTAATGTCATTCCCTTTACATTGTCTCTATTATTGTTTGTTGTAGATTTATATGGTTTCCATTAGATTTAAATGAGGTGCTTCTATATTGGATGAATTTTCTTATACAGGATTTACTGGAAAAAATTGCTCCTACTTGGATGAATGTTTCTTTAAAAATGAAGGATGACCCAGAGACTGATAAAGCTTTTGGATGGGTACTAGAAATGTAAGTATCGGTTGTTTAAATGGCTTTTTATTTTAGAAAATTTTAAATCATTTGCATAATTTTTGTTACTGACATGTTTTTCAAACCGGAGGTATGCTTATGCTGTTGCATCTGCTTTGCATGGTGTGCAACATGTTCTTCGGAAGGACTTTATGCTGCAGGTTTGGCGCCTTATGTTTCAAATGTTTTCGAGAAGTTTTTTTTTTTTTTCTTAGATTTAGGTGCAGCATTGATAAGACTTGTTGCATTTTAAATATTTCAGCCGCCATGGGATCTGGAAATAGGGAAAAAGTTCATAATTCATTACACCTATGGATGTGACTACAACATGAAGGTCAACTGTTTTTATGTATTTTGAAATTCATTTTTCTTGCTATTCCAGATATTACCATTGACATGTTTTAATTTTTACCTTTTTTCTAGATTACTTTTAACTTTATTTGTTTTTCATTTAACATTCAGGGTGAGTTAACATATGGTAAAATTGGCGAGTGGCGATTTGACAAGAGATCATATCTACGTGGACCAATAGCACGAAATCTCTCCTTGCCTCCTCCAGGGGTCCCAGAAAGTGTGGTATGTCTTTATAAATATCAGTTCTAAGAACTGCTACTTGTTTCTATCAAAAGAAAGAACTGCTACTTGCTATATTGGATGAAGAGCTTGTATTTTGAAAACCTCATGTTTTTATAAGCTGCAACTCTGGTTCGATTCACATAAAATTTTCTTAGTGTTGAGGTCTGGCTTGCTTTGTGTGTGAATATTTTATGTTTTGACTCATTCGGGTTGGGGAGAATACCTCTTTTGGGATATGGGTAGTGTGCTCCCCTGGAATTGTGAGGAGCATGATGGAGAGTAGAGACTATGTACTGTTAAATTAGGTTTGTGTAACTCAACTGGATGCCTAGTATTGACATTTTACAATCAGAAATTAGCAGACAATGAAATAAGAAATGATTCAGAACGATATATATGGTTGAGGAGAAAGATCAGAAGTTGAAATGTATCACAGAGGAAAATATGAAATGTATTGGGTTGGCTGGTGCACGAGTTCTGTAGATCTTGTGAATTGTTTTGCTATAGAGAAAAATGTTGAGTAGGAATTGATCCTTTTCACCGAGGAATGGGAACTTCGTATTTGTTCAGAAGTGAAGAGAACAATGAGCATAGGGACTTCGCAAACTTGGACTTGTAGTGAAAAACGGAGATAAAGCAATACCTTGATTATGTAAAACAATCTTGGATCTCACAAATAATTATTTCTTAAGGGGGTTTTGTGTATAGTATCTGTCTCCTAAGGTGGGTTATCCAACTGTGAATCCGCATAACTTGATTGGTAATTTCACCTTCTACATGCTCTCTATAGGTCTAATGATTGAGGATGTTGCCCATCCAATAGCGACCAAACTTAGGGAAGCCATATTTGCGAGTTTCAGTAAACTAGATTGCAATTCTATCATTCTGTACCGTACTTTCTTAGCATGTAATGTATTGCATTTTGTGGTTCGTCTGAGACAGTCTTTGTTTTCTTGGTGACTATGCTCAGTAAAGCTGAGCTGAGCCATATGGCAGACTGTTTGAGCTTGACTCCGCCAAAATAAGTTAAAGATCAGCCTGGTCAAAACCTAGCAAATCTGAATTTTGTTTGAGAGGAACTTGAGCATGATAACTGAAGAAAAACAACTCAATAGCTCGAGTTTGGGTTGAGGTAACTTGATTATGCTATTGAGGGACTCTAGTTCTTGAAGCATATTATCAGGCCATAGCTCCTTCTCCCCACCCCATTTTCTCCTCTTACAAAGGAATTCTAGTAAAACATTTTAAAGCCAAAACATTAGGTAATCTTGCTCGCAAATTTCATTGGAGGGCAGATCCCAAGTTGAGTCTTGAATCTCTTTACCTCAACCAGTTTGACAACTCGTTTTTTCGCACTTTTCTGCATATGAATTCATGCATTCATAGTTCAATATCATGACCCTTGTTACAAAATGATCATGTGCTCTCATTATTGTGTCTGCAGGTGACCCTTGTCAAGATGGTGAATGAAGCAACTGCAAACATTCCTAATTGGGACGCAGAATAAACGTCCGACATGATACAAGGGAGGAATCGCATACGGAAAATTTATTTTGAGGTAAAGGAAGTTCTTTTAATCTATGTAGAATCTGGACCTGAGATCAATTGTTTAAATGCAAGCTATAGATAAACCAGTTAACTATATATACATAGAAGCAAAATGTTTCATTGATCCAACAATATTTACTATAAATGAGTAAGAAATATCCGACATCGGCTCATTCTTAATACAGACACTTGCCTCGATCAACATCAACATTAATCCATTTTTTATTCAATCACTTATTTTAGCAAACATTAACATTAATTGACCTTTAATACGGATACTTGTTTTGACCATCATCGACACCAACCAATTTATAATATCATTAAGAGTCAATCAATAAAATTTTTAATTTTTAATTTAATAATTAAAATTTAATGTCAATTTTAAATAAAAAAAATTTGCAAATCCTTACTTGATAATAATCCACTAGAAAAATAATTATCACCGTTGAAAATTTAATGAAGATGCCATTATTCAAGCCGGATTAAGAAACAGTGAAACAAGTGAACACTCAGGCTGCCTTTTTTTTTTTTTTTTAAATTTGATGTGTCGGTGAGTTGTGGGTTGTCCTGGAGCCTAAGTCACGAGCCTGACAAGAAAATGTGGTGTGAGACGGTCAAGCACTACAATTTATAAGTTGAAAAGTTGTCGCATTATTTGTTATCCAACCAGTTTCTATTCTTTTTAAAAGAAGACTGGTCGACAAAATATAATGTCATTTTCATCGGTCAATTTCTACGTTACTTCATCATGTTTGTTTCCTATATATAATTATTATTTTCCAAAATGGCTAAATTTTAGCTTTTAACAACAATAATCTTTATGTGAATAATAGTTTAATTTATTGATAAAATAATAAAATTTTAATTTAAATAATTAAATCTTAAAATGATTATAACCTTACAAATTTTCTTTAAATCCACCATCATAATCATTTTGCTTTGGCCGAGTCACGGATGGAAAATTATAAACCTTTGCCTATTGTAATAAGGGGAAATTATTCCTTCTTTGGGCAATGAAGTTTTAAACTCCGATTAATTAATAAGGTGATGCATATAAAAATATAATATATTTTAAAAAAATTAAAAATATATAAAAAATAATAAATATTTATCAATTTTTTAAACTCTTATTATAATAATATAATAATATTTTTGGGTTTAATAATTAAAAAATACTTAAAAAAACTATTATATTAGGTAATTTATTATTACAAATTAAGATCGAATAAATTTATTAGAAGTTAAATTATTTGTTTAATGTATTAATTTAAACTGAATCGAATCGAATCGAATTTAATTTATAATCATATTTTATTATTTAGATAATTAATTTACAAGAAATGCGTCTCGTTTTGGGTTTATTTATTTTTTTATGAAATTTATTCAGTCTCTAATTTGAAAAAATTACTACATAATTTTGAAAAATGACAAAAAAAAAAAAACCTTGATAAAAATAATTGAGAAGCAAAGAGGTTGGCAACGTGGCATTAGAATATTATTGGTGGGCCCGGCCACTAGAATATGTTCTGTAATGTTAGGCCCAGGCAAGGGCTATTGTTCTGACAAATAAGGCCCGTGAAAACTGCGGTGCGTTGAACTTAATTACCTAGAAATCGCAATTCAATCCAATTTTTCTGACCATTATGCATCATGGTCCCCTTTGAAGATCCCCAAAAAATTTTTTTCCCATTTTTTTCCTGTTTGGCTGGCCCAATTTCTTAATTCCATCTTCATCGATTATACTTAAATATCTTAATTTCGAGTTTTTTTTCAGAAAAAATCATAGTTTGAAAAGAAAAAAATTTAAACTTTAAATTTATATAAATATTACTTCTCAAGAATAAATTGAAAATGAGTAACTCTTGTACTTAGTGTAAGTGGAAGCATGAAAGCTTTCATGCATGTGAGGAAGTGTCGGCGAAATCAAAGAGGGAACCTCTCACTCCCTCACCTCTCCAGCAAAGTACTCTCGTGACAGTCCTTCAGTGCATGTAAAGTAAAGGAAAGGTGAAGAAATCATAAATCAGCAGAGGGACAAGAGGAAATGGACAAACGAATTTGGAATTTACCGTATTTTTATATAATATAATTGAATTTATTATATTATCGATTGAATTCAAATATTAATTTTAATAAAATTTATCACTATAAATTTTTTATTAATTTTTTAATCACAATTATAATAATTTTTTTAATTATAATTATAATAATTTATTATTATTATTATTATTAATTTTATCGAAATTAATTTTACTGTCTATTTAAATGAAATTTAAGAGAAATACATTAAAAGCAAAAATTTTTAATTTTATAAACGAAATTAATAAAGTAATATATATATTTTAATGTATATTTTAAAAATAAAAATGTATTATTCTATTAATTAACTTATGAAATTAAAAATTTTCATTTATAATATATTAAATAATTTCTGTATTATTGATATAAAAACTTATCCACCATATTTATGAAGATATTTTCTTGCCTTCTCTAGCGTTGAAGCAATATTAAGTAGACGACGTTGAAGTTCTTTTATGGGATGCTTCTACTTTCTGGCTCAATGGGGACAAAACGCACAGGGTTCTTGCAGAAGATTTTATTGCCACGTAAAATTTTTCACATGTTTTGTCTCTCTGCCACGTTCTTCTTCACACTTTTACTAATCTGAAAATAGTAAAAAGTTCTCCGTTTCCCTGGAAAGTTATTAATAATGGACGGTGCAGCTTCTCAAAATGTAATGTATAACGAAATAAGAAAAAAAAAAGATAAAGTATCAATATCTGTTTAATTAATTAATTAAAAATCATGAAAGTTTGAATTTAAGTATTTTACATTTAAATTCTAAAATATAATTATTTGTAGTAATAAAATATAAATTTACCACTTTACTTTAGTGATCCAAATTTATTAGTAATCTTTCAACTAGTTTAATTTTATCACTATATTTTTAGTTTTGAAATAAATTTAAAATTATAGATCAAATTTTAAAATAATTAAAGAATATTTAGTGAAAAATTTTGTTGAAAAATATATTGTTATTAAAAAAATTCTGAAAAAAAAAACACATGTAGGAAAAAAAAGGCCAAGATCAATTGAAAAGGTATAAAGTTATATTATATATAGTAAAAAATGTTATGATGAAAAAATGAAAAAATAAAATAAAATAAATTTAGATTATCGTGTTAGAATATTCTCCTAGAAAATAGGTATATTTGTGAAAATTAACTACATGTTGAAGCTTATTAAAGTGTTAATTATAATTCACATGCTGAAGTTAGGCTTCGAGATCGAACTGTTTTAATTTTGTATAATTTTTTTTTTTCATTATGGGTAAAGTACAATTCAAGTACATTTAAAAATAGGTCAATAAAACTGATAATTTAAGTTTCATTTTCTTTCTTTAATTTTTTATTTACTTTTACTATTTATTACCTTTCAAATTTTAATTTATAAAAAATAAATGCATATCAAGAAGTTAATCACTATATATTTTTCATACATATATTTGATTAAAAATTAATGAAAAAATAAAAATTTAAACAGAACGATCACATAATCAAAGAAAATAAATAAAATCAGTATACATTTTTTTAAAATTTAAATAAAATTAAATTTCAACATTAAAATTAAAATGTAATACTTTATCAATATATCACGTTGTTATCGACAAAACCAACAAGCAAATATTTATAATAATGTCAAATGAATCTTTTTTTTTACAAAAAATTTAAAATAAATAAATTATTCAATCCTCTGAATTAAAATAAGATATATCGTATTCGATAATTTAAAATAAATAAATATAATTTATACATTCGAGATGATTTCAATAAATAATTATTAACAAGACTCAAATCAAAGCCTCTTCGTAATCTTAACTAATTATGTCAAATGAATCTCAAATCTTAGTAATGAATTAAAAAAAGCTAATGTGAACCTCATGATTATCTTCCAAAATTCATATTTAGTTGTTTTATGCCAAAGTGACAAATTGAGAATAGTAGCTTCACATGCTACTTCAATTGAGTGGTTTATTCCTATCAATGTCTAATAGACAGAGCCAGCAAATGTTTGCTTTTGCTACAGCTGAGCTTGACTGCCCTATTTTATATTTTTTTCTTTCTTTTATTTTTTGGATTTAATAGTATTTTTTATCTCTAATTGTTTTTTTTTTTAATCTTTACTTTAGTTTAAAATTTTTTATTTTATTATATTTAATATTAAAATTTAAAATTTTTTAAAAAATTGAAGTTTTATAATTTTAATATCGTAAAGTAAAAAAATTATAGAAACAATTTTAAAACAAAAAACAAGATCTTAAGTAGATATGGTAATTTTAAATACGATATAAAAATGATATAAATAAAAAATATAAAAATAATACAGTTTAAAATTTTAATAAAAATTATAAATAGGTTTAACAAAACCAAAAAAAATATATTTCATTTTTTTAGGTTGACATTAATTATAATATATAATTATAAAACTTAACCATTTGCACTAATAAAATATAAATTTACCACTTTAGTGATCCAAATTTATTAGTAATCTCTCAACTAGTTTAATTTTGTTACTATATTTTTAGTTTTGAAATAAATTTATCATTATAGTTCAAATTTTAAAGCAATTAAAGAATATTTAGTGAAAATTTTTGTTAAAAAATATTTTATTTATTAAAAAAATTTTGAAAAAAAAAACATGTAGGAGTAAAAGGCCAAAATCAATTGAAAAGGTATAATGTTATATTATATATAGTAAAAAAAATGTTATGATGAAATAAGGAAAAAATAAAATAAAATAAAATAAATTCATATTATCGTGTTAGAATATTCTCCTAGAAATTAGGTATATTTGTGAAAATTATGTTATTAAAGTGTTATTTATTATTCACATGCTGAAGTTGGGCTTCGAGATCGAATTGTTTTAATTTTCTATAAAAAAATTTCATTACGGGCAAAGTACAATTCAAGTACATTTAAAAATAGGTCAATAAAACTGATAATTTAAGCTTCATTTTCTTTCTTTAATTTTTTATTTACGTCTACTATTTATTACCTTTCAAATTTAATACATATAAAATAAAAGTATATCAAAAAATTAATCACTATATATTTTTCATTAACAATAATAAAAAATAAAAAACTTAAGCAAAACAAACACATAGTCGAAGAAAATGAATAAAGTCAGCATACATTATTTTTTTTATATTTTAATAAAATTAAATTTTAATTATTAAAATTAAGATATAATACTTTATCAACATATCATGTTGTTATCGACAAAATCAACAAGCAAATACTTATAATAATGCCAAATGAATATTCTTTTTTATGAGAAATTTTGAATAAATAAATTGTTCAATTTTTAGAATTAAGATAAAATATATTGTATCTGATAATTTAAAATATAATTGTAAATCATACATTTGAAATAATTTTAATAAATAATTATTAATAAAATTCGAATAAAAAATTTTTTAACAAAAAAGATAAATTTTAACCAATTTTATCAAATAAATCTCAAATCTTAGTTATGAATTAAAAAATACTAATGTGAACAATCCAGGAGAAAATGGCTCAAATATTGATTCAAATTAACCTGAGACTGACAGCTTAGAAATTTGAGAAGAACCTCACGATTATCTTCCAAAATTCATATTTAGTTGTTTTATTCCAAAGTGACAAATTGAGAATAGTAGCTTCACATGCTACTTCAACCGAGTGGTTTCTTCCTATCAATGTCTAATAGACAGCCAGCAAATGTTTGCTTTTGCTACAGCTTTGCTTGACTGTCCTATTTTATATTTTTTTCTTTCTTTTAATTTTTGGATTTAATAGTATTTTTTGTCTCAAATTGTTTGTTTTTTTTCCTTTTTTACTGTAGTTTAAAAAATTTTATTTTATTATATTTAATATTAAAATTTAATTTTTTTATAAAATTGAAGTTTTATAATTTTAATATTGTAAAATAAAAAAATTATAAAAACAATTCTAAAACAAAAAACAAAATTTTAAGTAGACGTGATAATTTCAAACACGATACGAAAATAATATAAATAAAAAATATTAAGATAATACGATTTAAAATTTTAATAAAAATCATAAATATGTTTATAAAATAAAAAAAAATTTATTTTTTCATGTCGACATTAATTATAATACGAATTTTAATATAAAATACGATACGAATACATAAATTTTTAATATTTTACATGATATGAATATAAAAATCATCAAAATTAATTTTAGACATATAAAAAAAAGAGAATTTTGACACATTTCAAAAAGAAAATGAGATGGAAAAGTACATAATTTTGTATTATTTTTAGATTGAAAAATATAAAATTTTCTTTTCATATAATAAGTTGCCGAAAAATTAAAAATAAAAAAAGGAAAAGATCTCAACGTGAATGGGGGATCTAGACATATACCCCATTATACAAAACAGCCCAGAAAAGCAAATCAGCTTTTTCTATTTACCAAAAAAAAAAAAAGCAGCTTTTTCTCCGTCCATTATGCATCTTTCCAATATAATTCTTCATTCTGTAATTTTTTAAATCAAAGGAATTAAACCAAGATCTTACTTTAAATTAAAAATTTATCGTAATTTAGCAAAAAATATTATAAAATAGACACACAAGTACCCACTTTACTTTCCATTTTGGGGGAGAAACAAAATAATGTAAATCCTTGTTAGTCGTTTGATCATGATTAGAGATGTAATCGAGTCGAATCGAATCGATGTAGTGAGAAGTTTGAGTTCAAGCTCAAACTCGACTCAAAACTCACGGCTCGATACTCGATCGAGTTTTATTTTTCTAGCTCGAGTTTAATTTGTGATCGAAATCGAGCGATTCGAGCTCGCTCGATTAATACGTAAAAATAAACTCGATTCGTATATTTGACAAGAGTTTGATTATTTATGCTCGAATTTGAACTCGAATTCGAAATATTTTATTAATTAAATAATAAAAATATATTTAAATATAAAAGCTCAATTAGGTTTATGAGCTACTCGAATCGGGTATAAGAATACTTAAATTCGACCCGATCGATAAGTTGAGCTACTCGAACTCGACTCGATAATAATCGAATCGAATTCGAGTTTTTTTCGAATCAAATTCGAGTAACTTACGAGTACTAATATATCATTTACATCCCTAATCATAACTACATAATAAATCTAATTTATTAGATACTATTTAATTAATTAAGAATATTCTAATGATGCTAATCTTTGTCAAAATATTTTAATTCTGCATGTGATTGTGAGTGATACACACGTTAATTCTCACTTATTAGATCCCAAATCTCTGTCAAATAAAATAATCATCCTCATTAATATTAGTTTATATATGCTCTTTGTACTTCTTTAAAAAAATATATATATTTATTTATTTATTTATTCTTTTACATGTAAAGCCCAGTTGGACCATTAATGAGAGCTAAATTCTTTTTGCCTTATAAAAATTTTATTTGTTTTTTTTTTTTTTTTAAGTAGTAATCTAAAAATAAAAGAAGTAAATTTGTTAAATGTAAAAAGTGACAGTATTAAGAGTTACCTTTGAATTCAAGATTTTAATTTGAGAGATTTTAAAATTAAAATCTATAACTTTTATTGTTGAGGTTATTTAGTTTGAAACTCCTTTTTATATTTATCATTTTTTTACCTAGAATAATATGCATAACTTAATTTTTTTTATCTAAGATTTTTGGTGTCCGATAATTATTTTAAATTTTAATTATTTCAAAATTAAATCGGATCGAATTTCATAAAAAAAATAAGTTCTTTCAACGCTTATTTTTTTCATTCATAAAATTTAAAATTGAGATCATATTTAAAAAAAAAATTAAACTCTTTATTACTCGAATCAACAAACATTAATTACTATAACTAATTATTTATGATTTGAAGCTACTTTTATTTTATTTCTTAAATTATCTTTGGACTCACCCGATCCCATTAGTGACAGTAATTTACTTTATACTTATTTGTCGAGAAGGTATTACGTCTTGAAACCTGACAACCCCTGAACTGGATTAATAGAAAATCGAATATTTTGATTAAATTAACCTAGATTTCTGTCGGTAAATCTATATTTCCCTTGTAGCTAGGTTTAAAGTTATAAATAGCTTAGAAAGAGAGCATATTTCCCTTGGTCCCAAGGAAATGGGAGGCCATGGTCAGCCCTCCACCAAAATGCCTACCATGCTAAGGCCTAGGGTAATGAAAATGAGTTTTCACAATCATCATTAAAAAAAAAAAATCTCTGCAAACCTTACCAACAATGTAATGCTTTGACAACTACATATCCACATTATATGCAACAAAAACATTTATGAAGGGTTATAATATTTCATCTCTCAAGGTAAGTTCCATATATCTTTACCTATTCCAAACTCAAGATTTTGGGCATCTACTCTCATAAAAAAAGAATAAGCTATTAGCTAAGTGAGCTCTTGCTGTGTTGGCATGAGGATTGCTGCATTTGGGAAGGTTGTGAGGGTTCATGGCAGAGGGTTAAGGGCAAATTATGAAGGTAAAAAAACAAGAATATGCTGCTTTTTTTTTTTTTTGGGATGTGGAAAAGGAATTGGTAATCCCCATGTTAAATGATGCAAATTGTATGAACTAATTAGCAATCATGATCATGATCATGTTCACTTTCTTTCTTCTCAAGGGGATAAAATTTGCTGTGGGGAAATCCCTTTGCATGGTAAATCTTGGGTATTATTTTTCCTTTTCCTCTTTATTTCCCCTTTGCCTTTTGAATTCTATGAAGAATATGTTGAAATATATAGTAGGTGGTCACCAGAACTCGCTAATTACAGGCAAAATCTTTTTTCTTTCTTATCTCTTTACTTTTTCCTTCTTTTTTCTATTGATTTTGAAGGACTCGTTCTTTAAACACGAAATACATAAACTTACTATTCAATCAAATGCTCGAAAATATATTTTTTTTAAATATTAAAAGAGTATAATAGATTGAATTTAAGATTTCTATTTAAACTTTACTTCATTATTAAAGTTAAATTTAAACCAGAGTTTCAGTTTCGCATCCTTGATTTACAATTTTAGTGAATCTATTTATACCAAGTTTGGTTGTTTGTATCCCCTCAATTGCGCCTACGTTTCCTCCCTTAAGGTAGCTACAAAAATAATGCAGCCAAATAATTCTCTAGGGACTCAAATGTTTTTTTTTTTTTTTTAAATTTTTAAAAAGATCGTGAAATCCTTTGAATTCATAATGCCAATTTTGATGATATGTCAATTGATTTAAAAATAAACAAAATTTTTTATCAACAGTAAAATAATTATCTTATCACAAAAGCCACTTTTTGGTGCTTGTAAAGTGGCAATCAGATCCCTTAATTTTTTCAATTAGATTGGCATGCAATAGTTGATTAGCACACAAAGAGACAATAAAGAAAAGTTAACCCAAAGTTTATTTTGCACTGTCCAAAGAGCATATCTTGAGATCTGCTCAATCCCCGATGAACTATATTTCCTCCTACAATGTAAAATTTTTCTATGGAATTTCAGCTAAAGCTTGTCCTAAATCATCCTCCAAGTCTCTCGTACTCACAAATACTAGTCTAAATTTTTTTATTATTTAGTAGTAAGCAATTTGTCTAATACATCTCTTCAGATCGATTCAAATAAATTTAATGATGTCGAATTTAATAAATTTATGAAAAATTATTTTTTAATAATTTTTCAATGGATTTAAATCCAAAAAATAAGAAAAAAAAATATTTTTTGTCACTTGAACTAAACATTCGTTGCTAAATATTTGTCTAATTGATAAAAAGATGAAATCCTTCTTTTTTTCAATCAAAATTTGATTTTTGTAAGATATATTTTGAACGTAAAATCACAAATATATCAAATATGAAATCTTAAAATCATTTAAAAAATTAGGCACATGTAAAACACGAGCATACCATAACCTAATGTATTATATATATAAATTTCTCTTTTTCTTTCTATATGAAAAATAAAAAAGAAATATTAGGACAAGTAGATACTATTTCCAGGTAGAATTGGACAAGAAGGATGGGAGGTACAGCCTTAAAAGCAAATGGAAGACAGTCTGTTAGCAAAAACAACCCACTAAACTACATGTCATTCCACTCCACTTAACATACTTCCCCACTTATATAAACACACTATCTCAGTTCCTAAACCATCAAAGAAAACTAAACTTTGATTTTCCTGCAAAACTATGAAAACCCATCTTTTTTCTCTAGTTTTCCTCTTCTTTTCACTAGCCCAAGGTCTGAACCCCATATGTGACACCCAAGACCATGGCTCAAACCTACAAGTGTTCCATATTTACAGTCCGTGCTCACCCTTTAAACCTTCAAGGGCACTCTCATGGGAAGAGGATGTACTCCAAATGCAAGCCAAGGACCAGGCAAGGCTGCAATATTTGTCAAGCCTGGTGGCCAAGAAATCTGTGGTGCCAGTAGCTTCAGGCAGGCAGATTGTGCAGAGTCCAACTTACATTGTCAGGGCCAAAATTGGAACACCACCTCAAACCATGCTTATGGCCATGGATACTAGCAATGATGCTGCTTGGATACCTTGCACAGGCTGCCTTGGCTGCGCTTCTAGTGTTTTTGACAACGCTAAATCCACCACATTCAAGACCCTTGGCTGCCAAGCTGCTCAATGCAAGCAGGTAAGCTTTCATTTCTCAATAGTTCACAATTATCTCTTACTTCCTGCTTGTCACGTGTTTGGCTGGCGCGAGCAAAACTGGTCACTAAACTATTCCATAATAACAATTTTTGTTGGTAAAACTACTATCTATAAAGCTCACGGTTAGCTGTTTAGCAAAATGGGAAAATTTTCATTTCAGAAATATCTTAAAACACTTGCATCATGTGATAATTTCAGGTACCAAACCCCACTTGCGGTGGCAGCGCGTGCATATTCAACATGACCTACGGTGGTTCAACCATAGCAGCGAACCTTTCTCAGGACACGGTCACCTTAGCCACTGACCCTGTCCCAAGCTACACCTTCGGCTGTCTCCAAAAGACATCTGGCGGCTCTGTGCCACCACAGGGCTTATTGGGCCTTGGCCGAGGCCCATTATCGCTTCTCTCACAAACCCAAAATTTGTACAAGTCGACATTTTCATATTGCTTGCCTAGCTTCAGGTCACTTAACTTTTCTGGGTCACTGAGACTTGGGCCAACTGGGCAGCCATTGAGGATCAAGTACACCCCATTGCTGAAGAACCCTAGAAGACCATCACTTTACTTTGTGAATTTGATTGGAATAAGAGTTGGAAGGAGAATTGTTGATATCCCACCAAATGCATTGGCTTTCAATCCTACCACTGGTGCTGGTACCATCATTGATTCTGGTAATGTTTCCTCTTTTTCTACGAAAAATTTGATGTCTTGAGGTTATCTTTTGGCAAATTAAATTATTAGTAGGCTCAATTTTGTATTTGTTTATGTATTTATTTGTCGTTGCGTTATGAGTATATCACTGAACTTTGCTATACAATTCAGGAACGGTTTTCACCCGGCTAGTGGAACCAGCCTACGTAGCCGTCCGAAACGAGTTCCGTAGGCGAGTTAAGGTAGCCAACGTGACATCTCTCGGCGGATTCGAAACATGTTACACGGTCCCGATCTTGGCACCGACAATAACGTTCATGTTCACCGGCATGAACGTGACACTGGCACAAGACAACCTACTAATCCACAGCACCGCAGGCAGCATCACATGTTTGGCCATGGCATCAGCACCAGAGAACGTGAATTCAGTGCTGAATGTGATAGCCAATATGCAGCAACAGAACCATAGGGTGCTTTTCGATGTGCCCAATTCGAGGTTGGGCGTGGCCCGTGAGACCTGTACCTAAAAGTACCTTGGTTCCATTCTAGTAGTAACTTTTGGCAAAGAGTGTGGGAGATTAGATATATCTGATAAAAAAAATCTTTAAAGTTTTTTTTTTTTTTGTAGTTTTTTGTATTTGTATTTGAGGGGTGAAGACAAGTCTAAGTCACGGGCTTTCTGTTATCTTATTTTATGTCTTGTTTTATATTGGGGTGATGATTAGTTTACTTGCTTGGCCTTAACATGTCATGGTCTTTGAGATTCTTAACGTTACATTTTTCATCGTGTTGTTATGTCGTTTTAAAATCGGATTAAAACGAGTAGACTTCTAGGAAGCCTAAGTCTATCTTAGCTGTGACAAATTTCAGTTTAATAAAGTAATTTTTATGTATCTTTTCTTACTGTTTGAAAATTTGAATCTTTTTGCTACTGTCGTAGCATTCTTAGTTACTGAAAGATTTTTAATCCTAAAAATTATAAAATTGGGCTCTCAAAATGTCTTAGGAATCAGAGAAGATTCATACATGATTAATGGTAGAGAATGAAGATGTAATCAGCTGGCCTGCTCCTGTTTGATGCCATGATACTTTCACTTTTTGATAGAGAATTACATTCCAGATCATAAAGATTTTGAAGTGGAAATTGTTGGCACTTGATGCATTCCTCTCTAGTTTTCTTGGTACTTGGCAGTGGAAATTCTAGTGCCAAACAAAGGCAAAGATACAATGATATCTATTTTTCCAGATACTAAATACAAGTCATGAACAGCTGAATAATGTGAGAAACAGAAGGACAAAACCGTCTTCATCTTCAGACATTTGTCAAAAAAACTGCCACAGGCAGAAAATGTGAATTGACCAGTCATGAATGTATATCAGAGACCATTCGATGACCAAATAACTCCCCAATATCATAAGATGTCAGCATTCTCAGTTTAAGCATACCAGTTCCATATCCTTGATCGGCAAACTTGCATCTACGAGTCAGAAAGGAATTGGGAAAGCAGTTTTAGACTTCAATATCATGTCCCTTTTTGCACTGATGAGATATGTGGTTCTCTGGAATCATGAGTTCCCTTTTAAGAAATGACATGCTGCCTGGAGAACTTCCTGGTTCGTACGTTGAATGGGGCTCAGAACATAGAGTTATCATCCTGTCAAGTAAGGCCAAATTATTATGTTGAAGTTTCAGTAGAAAAACAAAAACATTCATGGTAATTCAATATTGTTGATGCTTATGGTGCAAAGGCAGAATGTAACAATACCAATAAAACATTGGTAGAACAGCTTGTTCGCGATAACTGGAGCTGAAGAACTCCATTTAGTCCAATTACTGATGATTCAGACAAGCATCTTCTAGACAGCTGAAATCAAAACATTCCACAATAAAATGAATTGAATGCATTCAGTAACACGCATGACATACAAATCATAACTCGAACAGATCACTAAAAACCTACGAAGTTTTGAAATACCCGGCGGTAATTTTCGCTAGCAAAAGTTCCAGGGATGGGCAGCGCCAAGGGAAGAAGAAATGACTTTGTGTCTTTAAAGTTTAACACATTTTATTTAGCCGGCTTGTTATGTGATGCCTCACAGGCTATGTCTTTGACCTCCATTCCTCCACTAAACTGCAATTTCCGATTGATGAAATCAGATTCCTTATTACAGATATAACACTGTAAACAAGATAGGGCTAAAGATTGCCATTACCCAAGAAAGGCTTTGAAGAGTTTTTTTTTTTTTTTTTCTATATATTACTTTATTTTTAATGTATGTGCCATATATCTTGTTCATCATGAATAGGGAATCTCTATTCTCAAAATAATGTATTCAAAAACAGAAGGTTGATTCAAAGAAGAATATAGAATATGATTCAAGGCATTCACTGCTGTTCTGCAACATCATCTTACTGAAATTAGCTTCCTTCAAGAAGTGCCTGGAAAGTTAGAAGCAATATTTTAATTAGTCATCTTATAATTCTCTGAGTTCTGTTTGTCATAAATCATGTACTAACAAAAGAGCTATACTTATAAGCACCTTCAATATTTAAGTTAAATTTACTGACTGAACAACAAAGACATAAGAGAAACCTGATATGTTATGGTTCAAATGGAAGACTACTTCAAACTTGTTTTTAGGAAGGTTGAAATAGTATAAGGTTATAGCAGAAAACAGACTTTAATGCTCCAGACAGAAACCTGGGAAGGACACATCATAATTACCATGCGTCTTGGAAAGCAGTATTACTACTATTGTTGTTAACAACACCTTCAAAAAGAATCATTTTTCAGGAGTTGAGAACTTCTAATATTGGTAAAAGGGCTGCTACAGGTGACGAAAATCTCAGTGCAATTATATAATTTCTGATCAGAAACAATAGTCTGGCATTGGTGCAAATTCTCACCATCTGCTTCTCCATGCTTTCCTCCTTTGCATCTGCAAAAGCACAAGCCTCTGTCACTTGGAAGTGAAACCAACAATCTCTATCATTCTATGTATAATATATAAGCTGAATGTCACTAATTGAAAACATAACTGAATAATTCAACAAGGTTGTTAAAATTCATTAGTTGCCACAATGAGGAACTGACAAGAGTTTACATCAATCCTATAGCTTTGAAGATTCCTTTAGTTTTTATGACCAATAAACAGTTAATAGTTAGACTTTCTGTTGATTTCACAGAGAGTTGAGATGCAGATCATTATTATTGCCATCTTTTTTCCTATTCACAAAAGGTGAATAAACAAGCATATCGGCATTTAATTACTGCATACCAGGCCATATTCTGGATGGTTTAATAATTTTTTCATATTTTACATGTCCAACGGCACCGATCCAATGATAAAAATCATCTGAAAGTCTATAATGATACAAAGTTAACTTTAACCTCAAATTGACATACCTGATTTATTTACAATTGGAATGTAGATTTTCTGATTTTGCCCCTCCCCCTCTTGCATTATCGATAAATCAACTTTCAGCTTTCCTCCTCTGGACCATATTGGTCATATCTTGTGCTCGAACAACACAATGTATAGCCAACTTTTCAGTTTAAACAAAATTTTTAAAATCATTTTATGATACTAGCACAAGAAAATGGGTATGCAATATACCTAAAGGTATGTATCCTTTCAATCTACATGACTAGAAATGATGGAGATTCTTTAGAAAGCAATGACGTTGTCACTGATTTTAGTATCACTGCTGCTGCTGGTGATATTGTTTGAACTGGTGCTGCTGCTGACAACTGAAGAGTTAACTTTGTGGCTTAATAAATTGACATTCCTTCACTTTAAGTATAAGAAAATAGAATCATACAATTTCCCGAACTGCATGCAAAAGAATTGAAAGTAAATATTTTTAACAAAACTCAAATTTCACGGAAACTGAAATAATTGAATAAACCAGGACATATGACATATGACATATGGATGGAAAACATTCTTTTTTCTTTTTCAGATAAAAGAAACTAAATTTCATCAAAGGCAAGAGAAACAAATCCAAACTACAAATCTAACTTCTATAAATGCCAGAAACAAAACAGAGCCCACAACATCATTATCAGCAGGTGGAAAAACCAAAATTTTTTGCATAGATTTCTACAATACAAGTGCAAGCAACACTGTACATGAAAAAAAATCAGAAATTAATTATAGTAAATTGGCAGTAGGTGGGACTTGCATTCATTAATGACCAACTCTTCAAGTTGAAGGGAGTACAGGATGAGCAAAGCTTCGAGTTTTTGACACATATAGAAGAACACAGATTTTGTCAAAATTGAACTATAATACATTGAAGACGGATCAGCTTATCTGGCCATTGAGGTAAATATTTAATATTTTCACACTCCATGATTTCAATAGATTCAAGACAAGTATCATCCCCAATTTCCTGTGCTACAAATCCCAGCTTTGGGCAATCCATGATACTCAACAATTTAAGCCAAATGGGTAACTTACTGCTTGATGATATTGATTACAGAGCTTCACAGTTACTAACTTTAAGAGATTCAAGGAGAGATGTTCTGCCGAAATGGACATTCTCCCCATCATCCAATAGGCACCCCAAATTTCTTACATTGGCCACTCACAAAACTTCTAAGAGTTAGAGGCAAATAATCCATTAAAAGCGAATCAAATTTTGGGCACTTTTTAATGTCTAACTCTCTATAAGACAGATGAGGTTGTGCAAGGTTTTTGATAACCATGTCCCATTTCTTTGTCCATGAATGGCCACTTTCTCATTAATTTCTCAGTTCATCTTAGAGAAATAAACTTAAAAAATGGCCTATGTATATCAATATGATCAGTACAATGGTTGAAGAATATTACAATTTAGATTTTGATTTTTTTCTTGTCATCTACATGCATAGACTCAGATGGAATAATCACCTGCTCATGAAAAGCAAGACACCAATATTTACATGGAAAAATCCCTTGTTAATAAGAAAAAATGGGAGGCTAGAACAGTCAATGCTCTTCCACTACTCAAAATAATAGTAGTACACTGATGAGAATGTTACAACAAACTATCATCAAAATGCTAAATTTCTTGCATAACAAAAAGTCTAATTTTGCATCCACCTTACTGCTGAAATCAGTTTGGAGATACACTTTTTAGAAAAGGAGATTGAGTTTTGAGAGTTTTAGACCTTTAGAATGATTTGAGTTTTTCATCCTGTCATAAAAGGCCAAAGGATTGTGTTGTTTGGAGGAGAAACATAACTTAAAACATGAGTTTTCGAACATTAGTAAAATGCTTACATGGCACAAGGAGACAGGCAAGGCAACAACAGAGATAAAAGATTAATCGGTAGAACATGTTGTGGAAAATACTGCCTTTGGTCCCATGAAAATCAATGATGATACAAACAAATACTTCCTGAAGAACCAAATAATGATTGGTGATATGAAATGAAGACACTCATCAGGCATATATCTAACACAAAAGAGATAGAAACCAGAAAACCTGCAGCAGTTGTTCTCACCACCAATATTTTGAACTTTGAAGGGCGTAAAGACACAAGTGAAAGCAGAGGACTTTCTATTGAGAAGAGCCACGGGTTTCAAGCTAGATCATGCTCTAATGCCAAGAAGCTTATGTCTTATTGGCTTGGATTGAACAGCAATGCTTGGCCTAAATCTTGAATTAAGCTTCATCTGAATCTTCTCCTTTGTGAAAAAGTACATGTGGAGATTGGTAAGAAGAAGAATAGTTGTAAAATATAAGCTGAGTGTTGTTAATCTATCCAAATCCATAATCTCTTAAAAAACTTTATGTATAGGTCAATTATAAAAAAAATAAGTTAAAACTCATGACCTAGACAATATGAAATCTTATGTATGAAACTACAGAGTAAGGATAAGGCTGCGATTTACTTGATGGTACTGCATTTAGAGCTTAACACCCTCTAATTTCAAGAGATTCAAGAAATGATGTGCTTCTGAAATCGATATTCTCTCCATCGTCCAGCAAACACCGCAATTTCTCACATTTGTAAATCATCAAAATTTCTCACAGATTGTACAACATATTGGACTGCTAAATAACAGAAAAATATAATTCAGATATGTATTATAGTTACTTCCATCTTGCTTTAAATTGAAGGCAGAGAAATTAAGGCATGGAAGAAAAGAGCACAAGATAACTTGATAGAAAATGGTCTATAGCAATCTTAGTGTAGACAAATTTTATGTTTTGTCCACCTTATTATAGCACTGATTCCTAGTATTACAACGTAATGTACACTGTTATTACAAAATGGCAAGTCAACTATCAGAAAACAAATAAATACCTCAAAGTAGGCATACCTTGTTCTTCCTCCACTATAGAGATCAAACAATTGTTTTACTCCTCTAGGTCATGAAGGTGCCTACCATCAATTTCAACATGATGTATGTGAGCTATCTTCGCCCACTCTTGCCCTTTATCCTTTTTGCACCGTTGTTTTAGTCGAGGACAATCATCAATATGCAATTGTAACAGTGAGAGAAGAAGGTTTGCTTTTGGAAGGGATGTGAGCTTGGGGCATATGGCAATCCACAAAAACTCAAGAGAGTTGAGGTTTTGAAAACCCTTGGAAGATAGGGATTTCAGAACTGGAAAATCTTCTATGGTGAGGTTAGTAAGAGTGGCAGGCAGCATCATTCCTATCTCTTCATGAGGAAATGACAGTACATCTGGACATCCACCTTTGATGGATAGGACTCTAAGGGAGGTCAGTCTATGCAATCCCCATTCAAACAGTGGCTTACAAAGCTTGAAATTGGACATCCTAAGAGTTACCAGGCTGGTAGAAAGGCCCTCTTCTGGGAAGGATATGATATGTGAAGGATATGATATGTGGACAATTTGATATCTCCAATTCTTGAAGTGAGGTGAGGTTGTGAATGAAGTTGGGCAAACCCCTCAGTTCTTCGCATTTATAAATGCGGAGCACTTTGTGGTTGGTGTTGGGCGACCCATTTGCTGGGAAGGAAATCAGACATGGACAATATTCCACTACAATTGCCTGAAGATTGCTGAGCTTGTCCAATCCTTGGGGGAAATGTTTAACACTTCTACACCAGCTACTATGAATAAATTCAAGCAAAGTGTTGTTGTAAAATTCTTGCCCTGTGGATTCCAGCTCAGGGCAATTCCTAATTGTTAGGTGCTTAAGCCCTATAGGAAACTTGTCACTTGATGATAAGGATGCCAATTTTGAGCAATCTCTGATCTTGAGATGTTGAAGATTAAATGGTAGCTCATGTCTTGATGATAAAGATATGAGAGATGGACATGATGCAATCTCCAAATGCTCAAGGAGGAAATCATCGGTATTGATAATTTCTCCATCTAGAAATAGTGCAAATTGTTATGATTACTGATCACCAGGTTTTTCAGAGTAAAAGGTAACTTAATCTCTGAAAAAGAAATCAATTTCGAGCAGTTTTCAATCTGTAGCTCCTGAAGATATGTGAGGATGTGCAAGGTATTAGGTAGCTTCTCAAGGCTTTCACAATACCCTATTATCAAAGACCTAATATTGCAAAGGGCAGCTCTACTTCTTCCTCCTTTGCCCCCAGGGAAACAAGTCATGGACAACTCAAAATTTCCAAACTAACAAGGGACCTCAAATGGCCTAGCAATCCCACCTCATTTGGCCACAGTAGGTCAGCTCCTTACAGCCGTTAATCATAAGATTTTCTACTGCTGTAAACATTGGCATCAACCTTGCAAATTTTAAGACCCTTGAAAGAAAAACAATGTTCAAGGAGCAAAGGTAAGGTTAGCAGAAGTTTTGAGAAGCACCTCTTGCATCCATCAATTTCTAGTTCAAGAAGCTTTGGAAGACTTGAAATTGAAACATCCAACTGCTTGCATTCACGAACCACAAGCTTCTCTAAGGAAGGAAGACGATTAGGTAACCTTTCCAAGAGTTTTGGACGTTCGACAATAAAAAGCTCACCGAGGACGGGGAATTTTTCATTTTGGTCATCAACTTCACAAGGGTTCCACTCCTTCAAAGCTGGCATATTCTCAAAAGAGTCTCCAATGACAAAAATCCATTTGAGCAATTCTCTCCATAGAGTTCAGTGCCAATACTCTTTATGCCATCCATCCCCCTAATACAAAGGTTTCTCAGCAATGGTAGTTTTCCTATTGAAGGCAACAATCTACAATACTTACAGTATTCAAGACTTAAAGACAATAAACATTTGAATGAAGGGTCTCCTACCCAAGCTGGGAACGTTGTACCACCATAATATTTTATTTTAAGCTCTTTAAGCTCTTCACTAGGCTGAAGCCAATTAAATACATCTCTTTCAACACTTTCTGATCTTAAATAATTAGCAAACTCCATACCCCAATTTATCTCTAGCCGATTCAGACCTGGCTTCTCATGCAACTTAGCCTCCAATGCATCTCTAACTTCAACAACATTCTCCAATCCTGAAATCAAAAAGTTCACCTTTCAGATTTGATAAATTCTTCAGCTCTTTTATTTGATACCCATGCCATTGGCCAACAAAAAAATTTGATAACGTTCGGAGCTGAACTAGTCCACCAATTCTGACAAGCATCCCTTCTATAGAAGTTGCACCAGTGATATAGAGATGGCGTAGGTTGATCAACATGCCCATTCCTGAAGGTAACTTCTCAAGATTAATACACCAGCACAATATCAAGGTGTCTAAATTGGAGAGTGTGCTTATTGAAACTGGTAAAGTTTTTATTCTAGTATGAGAAAAATTTATGTATCGAAGATGCCTGAAATGTCCAACAGAATCTGGTAACTTGGTGATGTGGTACCTTCTCAAAGAGAGCACGCTTAGATATTTCAATTTGGGCAATAAATCAGTGAGAACAGTGCTGGTTAAGAAAGGTTGTGGTCCATAGCTTGCCAACATCAAAGGCAGGAAAGACCGAAGATGCTTCATTTCACAAAAGGGCTCAAATTTTTTTAACTCCATCAAACCACTCACCCACGTAAGATGAGTGGCGAACACGTTTTCGAAATTTGAGCTGTTTGTCACCCTCTACTCTAAAGCAAATTTCTCCGGCAACAGATTGAGCTAGGTCATTGATAAGATCATGCATTACAAACCGAGATCTATCCCTGCTAGATACTTGAAACAATGACCTTGACACTAAATCTCGAAAGTACTTGCTACCTAGATCTTCAATTTGCATTCTATCCTCTGCTTGTTGTAGAAAACCTTCTGCCATCCATAGTAAGACTATATCCTTCTCCCCGAATTCATAATCCTTGGGAGTATGGCACAACATGCAAAACATTGCTTTAAATGCGGAGGAAGATGATAATAGCTCAACCAAAGAGCTGGAATTATGCCACTATTCTCTATTGGTATATCCCATAACTTGCTCTTCAATACGTCTTTCCAAGCATCGTGGTCCATGCTAGTCCATAGTAGGCCTCCAATGGTTTTTGCTGCTAAAGGCAGGCCATTGCACTTTCTCACTATCTCCTCACCAAATTCCCTTAAATTTGGCTGTCTGCTGAAATCTCTTGCTCCTAATGCATGTTGAGTAAAGACAGACAAGCAATCATCATTTGATAACTCTTGCAACGAAAAACCTGGAACGGTGCCCATAACTGATGAAACAAGGTGACTACGAGTGGTCACAATAATTTTACTTGCTGGAGCCCCTACTTCAAATGGAGAACCAAGGATGGTCCAATCATTGTAATTATCATTCCAAACATCATCCAAAACTAGCAGAAATTTCTTCTTGGAGAGTTTCTCCTTCAATTTTGCTTGAAGCAAATTTAGACCGTTGAGATCACATGTTTCAGAAGTTATTGACTGCAAAATAGTTTTTGTCACCTTAACAACATCAAAATCTTCAGAAACACATACCCATGCTTTGAGATCAAAGTAATTTTTTATGTCATCATCATTGTACACAAGTTGAGTAAGTGTTGTTTTCCCAATCCCCCCCATGCCAATTATGGGAATAACAGAAACTCCATCATCACTACCATCGTTCCTCAAAACAATCTCAAAAATCGCCTCCTTGTCATTATCCCTAGCATAGACATGAACTTCATTAACCAAAGAAGTAGTTGGTAAACTTCTCTTTGGCCTTACACCAACATTCTCCCTCAATTCCAAGTTCATTTTTTGTGTTACCAGTTCTTCTAATGTAGCAGTGATCTCTTTTATCTTGGACAGCATCTTAGTATTAAATATCGCAGCACTTGGACTAAAACATAAAGCAGGAATCCAGTTATGTATCTTACCCGCGCCAGCTGAATGTTCCTGTATCAACTTGTGCCCCAAAGCTTCTGTGGCAAACTCGTCCAACAAGTCATCCACGTCGTAAGCCAAGTCCTGGAGCTTCGCTAACCAGATTTTGACGGACCCATTTTTCATCTGCTTCTCCTCTGCATCATCAAGCACTGCACGGATACTCCGTAACATCTTTTCCCACTTATTGATCTCACCATAGACTTGCTTTTCACGAGCAAACTTGAGCGACTCAAGGGAGTCAAACTTGCTAAATAGCACCCCAAAGAAAGCAGATAGAGCAGCCTCTGCAACAGCTGACATTGCTTTTCCCACTTCTTGCGACAAAAGGAAAGAAATTGGAAGAAATTTTAGCATGGAGAAACAAACAGTGAAATGAAAGAAAAAAACTAACTTTGCCAAGTTTTAGTCTTTTTTAAGTACGCAAAATGAAAATGACAAAAAAAAAAAAAGGCACGTCTTTTTGTCCACAGTCAAACATTGCGGACTTTCGACGAGACTTTGGTACAATTAATAGGTTTGAAATTAGGGTTTTGGCCTTTTGCAGAAAAGATGAAACAGCAAATATCGGCGGCTGTGGTTGGACGCACAAACAGTAACGTTTTTTAAAAATATAAATGATATATTAATATTTATAAATTATTTAAATTTAATTTAAATAAAATTTAAATTTAAATTAATTATTATTTAATTGAATTTAAATAATTTAATTGATTAATTAAATTAAATTTAAATATTTTTATATTTAATTCGAATAATTTATGAGATTAATTAAAATTTTATATTTTAATATATTTTAATTATTTTAATTAATAAAATTTATTAAATTTAAATATAAATAATCAAATTTTTATTGAATATAAAAATTGAATTTGTTTTATATGTTAATTGAATTTAATCAAAAAAATTTGAATAATTTTTTTTTTTCGAATTAAACTCAAATTAAAAAAAAAATTGATCAAATTCGAATTAAATTTTAAATATTAAATTTTAAATCATCTTTTAATTTAATATTATATTGACTCAAACTCAATTAATTTCTTCGTAAAATCTAATAGGTCAAATACATTGGACAAAACATTTTCTCCCTGTTATCCCTACTATTTTTTTCCTCTCTATTATCGTAATCATGGTTGTTTTGTTTTTTATTTAAAATGGTCAGAATTTGATCACTTATCACTAATTAACGAATAATTAAAGTAAACCTAGCAATTAAACGATAAATTATGACATGTTAAGCTCAAATCTTATTTTATTTTTAATGATTTAAAAAAATTATAATTTTATAAAATTAAAAAAAAAAACAATAATGTTTTAATGTGCTTAGTTAAAAAAGAAAAAAAAAAGATAATTTCTATCTCTTGTGAAATGCAAAAAATACCAAAAAATAAAAATTTTTCTCAAAAAAAAAAAAGAAAAACATAGAGAGATAGGAAAAGATCAGTAGTTAAACAACTCTCAAGAGGAATTTTTGTATTCGGTGATTGTAAGACTTATATAATATAACAACTTCAATATTGTAATTTTATTCAACGATCAGTAATTTAAGTAAATTTTTTTTTTTTGTTAAACTAGTAAGTGAATATATAATTATGTTCATATAAATCTTGTTTGCTTGAGTTTATCTTTTGTTGGAATTCAAGCTAGGTTAACTTGAATTTTAGTTCATTTTGTACGTTCTTTATAAGATATCGAAATTGTTTGATATGTTCTTGTATGCTTGCAAAAATTTATAAAAAATTATGTATAATTATATAATTTTATTATATAATTAATGTCATGATAATTCTTAGACATTTTGAATAAAATGTCATTAATATTTTGCAATTTGAATTTTTTTTTTTTATGATTTTCAGGTGGGGTATTCTAATGCCCGACCCAAGAAATTCAAATTCGACAAAATTTTAAAAATTAACAGTTATTTTTCAAAATGAAAAAAGAACATTTTAATGCTCCTCAGAGTGTAAACAATCCATGGAGTTAAGGGTTTTGTTAGATTTAATTATTTTCAAAAATTTATTTTATTTTATTAATTTCTCATTATTTTTTTATTTATTTTGATTTATTTAAAAATGAAAAAGAGATCTCGAAATTACAAAAAGAAAGAGTCGGGCTTGAAAAAAAATTAAAATTTTAAATTATGTTGGAATTAAAAGACTTGGTTGGAACTAAAATCTTAATCACATGTATAATATATTTAACTTGATTTTTGGGAGAAACCCGAATAAAATTAGAGTTAAACTCTAAAATCCGTGTGAAAGTAAATCAGAGGAAGCTCGTATAGGAATCAATAGCAATTGATAGGCAAAAAAGGCAAAGCTGCAACAATTTTTAGCTATAATTATCTTTGATTTTGGGATTGCTTGGTTGTGGGCTTATGCTTTGAGGGTTTTTCAATCTCAATTCTTTGAAGATTTTTAGGGAGATCTGAATTGGTGGAACAAGAGATATAAAAAACGACATTAGTTGTTTTGAAGAAATAACAAAATAAAAAATTAGAGGTCAATGATTGCTTTTGAATTATATGTTGTTTGTCTTACATAGAATCCAAAGTATAAGTCTTAAAACCATGATATTTGATTTTGATTATTTGATTATTGCCAGCACTTCCAAGTTCTAGGTATCATACTCGATTATTAGTTTGCTTCTTTATGCATATATTTTTGTTTATTTATTTTATTTTTTTCACTTAAAAAATCTAAATTATTATTTTTTGTGCAATTAAAAAAATTTAAACATAAAAATAAATAAATTTTTCGATAATGGAATCTCTTCAACATGTTACTTAAATACTTTTAAAGTAAAAAATATTTTTAGGGGATCGATAGAGGTGTTGAAAAAACCCAAAAATATTTTTAATATTTAATTATTAAAATAAAAAAATAATAATAAATAATAAAATAAATTAAGACCATGTTAATTAAAGTTAAAAAGATAATTTAAAATTAATTGGTATGAATTATAGGCATCGTGAGTGCGTTATAATATTCTTTACATGTAACTAACCCAACTATGTTTAAAAAATCAAGACTTATTCTTTTGAGGGATCTTAGTCAAGTTAAGATTTTTTTAAAAAGAGTATTTTACTTAGGTAACCAAACATATATAATTAAAAAAATTGGTGTCAATTCCATGCGATGTGTTTAATGAATTAGTTCTCTCATTTACATCTTATAATATAGGGCATTTGAATATCCCATTTGTCTTGCGGTTGGATTCCCATATGCATGTTGCAACTGTGGAGGGAATGCAATTGATTTGCATTTAATTTGATATTGGTTTTTATTTATAGGAATAATAATTATAAAATTTTAAAAAAATATATAAAAGAGAAATTAATTAAAAATGTCAAACTATGATACATTAAAAAATTATTTCGATTAAAAAGATTTAATTACATTATTAATGATCCAATGATCAACTCATAAAACATATAAGTAATAAAATCATTAACATACATATATAGTTAATATATTAAAACAAAAAATGAAAGGAAATAAATAACAAAAAAAAAAAAAAAAACTTCAATGACTAATTATGATTATCTTTTATGATTTCATTTATCAATAGAAATTATATATACAATTGTTTTTACAACAGTTAAATAAACAAACTTCATATAATTATTTTATTTTTATATGCACTAAGCTTTGATCTTGTTCTATTTGTATTTTTATTTGATAAAAAAATCATTCTATTTATAAAAAAAGTCTAATAATAAGAGAAGCTATTTAAATTAAAATTTATAAAAAATTACTAATAATATTTTAATCAATGACTTTTAATATTTTGAAATTAAAATTTTATTAAGGGTATTTTAATTAATCACTTTTAGAAAATTTTCAATATAATTATAAAAAATCTAATAATAAAAAAATTAAAATTAAAATTTATAAAAGAATTTACTAAAAATATTTTAACTACTCACTTTTAAAATTTTTTTAAATTAAAATTTTATTAAAATAATTTTAATTAATAACTTTTAACGCTTTTTTAATATGCAAATCCAAACAACCAGCCAATCACAAAGTCTAATAGAAAAACAAAAATATCCATGGTAATTCAAAACTGTTGACGCTTATGGTGCACAGGCAGAATGTAACAATAGCAATAAACATTGGCAGAGCATCTTGTTCGCGCGATAGCTTAAGCTGCAGAACTCCATTTAGTCCAATCACTGATGATTCAGACAAGCATCTTCTCGACAGCCGAAATTAAAACATACCTTAATGACATGAAATGAATGCGTTCAGTATGAACATGCCTGCGACACAACTACCATTGAAGATTTCTGAGGTTGATACAACGGCTGATAGTGGTGGCGAAAAACTCAGTGCAGAACTGAATTATAAAACTTCTGATCAGAAATAATAGTCTGGCATTGGTGCAAATTCTCAACTTCTGCTCCTCCATACTTTCCTCCTTTGCATCTGCAAAAGCACAAGCCTCTGTCACTTGGAAGCGAAACCAACATTGAGTATCATTCTATTTACATATAGACACTGAATGTCACTAATTGAAAACAGACCTGAATAATTCAACAAGGTTGTTAACATTCATTAGTTGCCACAATGAGGAACTGACAGGGTTTATATCAATTTTATAGCTTTGAAGATTCCAGTTAATAGTTGGACTTTCAATTACCACACACCAGGCCGTATTCGGGATGATTTAATAATTTTTCATGTTTATGGGTCCAAACAGTACTGATCCAATTATAAAAATCATCTGAAAGTCTACAATGAGACAGTTATTTCAACCACATATTGACATACCTGATTTATGTACAATTGGAATGTAGATTTTCTGATTTTTCCTCACTTGCATTTTCGATACGCTGATCAACTTTCAGCTTTCCTCCTCTGGATCGCATTGGTCGTATGATCATGTTCCTGAGCAACAAAGTGTATAGCCAACTTTTCATTTTAAACAAAATCTTTAAAATCATTTTCCAATACTAGTGCAAAGAAATAGAAATGCAATTTACCTATAGGTATGTATCCTTCCAATCTGCATGACCGCAAATGATGGTGATTCTATAGGCAGCAACATCGTTGTCATTGATGTTAGTATCACCCCGCTGCTAGTGACATTGTTTGAACTGGTGCTGCTGCTGATGACTGAAGAGTCAACTTTGTGGCTTAATAAATTGAAATACCTCCACTTTAAGTATAAGACAATAGAATCATAAAAGGTTTAAATCTTCTAGTTGATCATTCATGTATGAATCTACCATCAATCTCTACACGAGGTATGTGGGCGATGTTGGACCATTGTTTTCCCTTATCCCTTTTGCACCTTTCCTTTAGCACTGGACAATTCCTTATTAATAGTAGCAAAAGCGAGGGAAGAATTTCCTTCCTGGGTATGGATTTGAGCTTTTTGCAATTGTGGATCCACAAAGACTGAAGAGAGGTGAGGTTCCGAAAACCATTGGAGGACAGCTTTCTTAGATTTTTGAAACTATAAATATAAAGATGGGTGAGAGAAGGTGGCAGCTTCATATTCATTCCTATCTCCTCTTGTGGAAATGACTCTGCATCTATGCAACTACCATCAATGTCAAGTCGTGTAAGAAAGGTGAGCCTGTGCAATCCCCACTCCATCACTGCCTTACTAAAATCAGGTTCATAGATTGTAAGTGATGTTAGGTTGGTTGGCAAACCTCCTTCTCCCATGGATTTCAGCCTTGGACAATTTGCTACATACAAATGTCGAAGAGAGTAGAGGTTAGGCACAGCTTGGAGTTTTCCACATCCAACGAGCCACACAGATTTGAGGTTGGTGGTAACGGGCAACCCACATTCAGGAAAACAAACCAGATTTCCACAATTATGGATTCTAATCATTTGAAGACGGCTGAGCTTGTCCATTCCTTCTGGCAAATATTTAATATTTTTACAGTTCCTGAGGAAAATTGATTCTAGACAAGTACCGTCTCCAATTTCATGTGCTAGAAATTCTAGCATCGGACACCAATGAATATCCAGCCTTTTGAGCCTCACAGGTAACTTGCCACTTGATGATAATGATTTTAGAGCTTCACATTCACTAACTCTGAGAGATTCAAGAACAGAAGTGCCACTGAAATTGATGTTCTCTCTGTCATCCAGCAAACACTGCAAATTTTCACAGCTGCCAATCACCAAAGTTTTAAGAGTTGGAGGCAAGTTATCCATTGAAAGTGAAACCAATTTTGGGCACTTTACAATCTCTAACTCTGTAATACATGTGAGGTTGTGCAAGGTTTTTGATAACTTCTCTAAGCCTGCACAATCTTCTATTCTCACATGTTCAATGTTGCTTGGTAGTTTTAACTGCTGAAGCTCTTCTTTTTCCTCCTTTTCTGCACCTATAGACACAACCTGTGGACAATTTTCAAACTTCAAACTACGAAGAGATCTCAAAGGCGCCATCCACCCCCACTTTGTTTTCCACAGAGAAGCCAGCTCCCCACAGTCGTTAATATGGAGATTTTCTACTTTCATCAATTCTAATATTGCCATTTCCACTGCTACACATGTAAATGCTGAAATGTTGGAAAGAATGATTTTCTTCACTGACCAAAGATCGATAGAACTCTGAAGCACCAATCCTTTGCATCCATCAATTTCTAATTCACATAGCATTGGGAGGTCTGAAATTGGAGCTACCAATTGTGGACATTCATTAATCACAAGTTTCTCCAAACAAGGAAGGCAATCCGGTAAAGTTCCGACCAATTTTGGACAATTCTCAATAAAGAGTTGTCGGAGGCAACAGAATTCTCTACCTTTTTTATCAAATTCACGAGGTTTCCACTCTTTCCATTCAGCCATATCTTCAAAACACAATGTCTCTAATGATGGAAATACATTTGGCCAATTCTCCCCATAAAACTCATTGCCAACTCTAACTACACTATGCATCCCCTTGATATAAAGATCTTTTAAAAGTGGTAGCTTTCCAACTGCGGGCAATAATCCACAATTTCGACAATCTTCAAACTTTAAAGATTGCAAGTATTTAAATGAAGGACTTTCTATCCAAATTGGAAATGCTATTCCCGCATAATACTTGATGGCAAGTGCTTTAAGCTCTTCATGAGGCTGAAGCAAGTTCAACACTTCTCTCTCAACTTCTTTCTTCCTTGTACTTTCATTGAAGTCTGTACTCCAATTTAACTCTATATTATCAAGGCCAAACAAGCTAGATAGCTTAGCTTCCCATGCATATTGAGGTTCATCCATATTCTGCAATTCAGAGATAGAAAGCTGACCTTTGAGTTCTGATAAATTTTGTATCTCTCTTATATTCAATCCATCGCCTCGTCCCACAATAAAATTAGACAATGCTCGAAGATTAGTCAGCCTACCGACTCCATTCGGCATTTCCTTTATTAAATATGCACCAGTAATATCGAGATGATATAGGTTGACCAAATTTCCTATTTCTGAGGGCAACTTCTCAATTAGCTCACAAAACCTGAATAATAGAGTCTGTAAATTGTGGAGGGCACATAATGAATCAGGTAAACTTCTAATTGCAGTATAGGAGAAATTCAAATAGCGCAGATGTTTCAGATTTCCAAAATAGTACGGAATTTCTGTAATGTGGTACCTTTGCAAAGAGAGTGCCCTCAAGTGTCTCAACTTCGGCAGCAGATCAACAGCAACATTATTACTTAAATAGTAAGTCTCTTCCAACATCAGCGTAAATGGCAAGAAGGTTCGCAGACTTGTTGTTGAATAAAAGGTCTCAAACCTTTTGATACCATCAGAATGGCCAGCAATATAAGATGAGTGGCGAACATGTCTTGGATATTTCATTTGTTCATTTCCCTCCATTCTGAAACATATTTTTCCAGCAACTGATTGAGCTAGATCATTAATAAGGTCATGCATTACAAAATGAGATTTCTTCCTTCTAGATACTTGGAAAAATGACCTTGATACAAGTTCTTTAAAGTACTTGCGACCCAAATCTTCAATCTGTGCAGTGTTTGCTTCATTTAGGAAACCTTCTGCCATCCATAGTAGGATTATTTCTTGCTCTGTAAATTCATAATCTTTGGGGATTATAGAGCAAAAAGCAAAGCATTGTTTCAGTTGTGGAGAAAGATGATAGTAACTCAACCATAGTGCTGGAATGATGCCACTCTTCTCTTCAGATAAATTCCAAATCTCACTCTCTAGTATGTCTTTCCATGCATCATGATCCATCGTACTGCGCAATAGCCCTCCTATAGTTTTAGTTGCTAAAGGCAAGCCACCGCACTTCCTCACAATCTGCAACCCAATTTCTTTCAAGTCTAGATGATCACTAAAATCTCTTGCTCCTAATGCATGATGAGCAAACATACAGAGAGAATCATCATCTGATAACTTTTGCAATGAAAAATCTGAAACAGTTTTCACAATTGATGAAACATTGCAACTACGTGTTGTTATAAGTATTTTGCTTCCTACCGCTCCTGCATCAAAAGGGGATCGAAGCTTGGTCCAATCATCATAGCTCTCATTCCAGATATCATCCAAGACAATAAAGAATTTCTTTCTGAATAGTTTTTCCTTCAAGCTGACTTGAAGCAAATTCAAATCATTCAACTGATGACATGGCTCATGTGTGATTGATTGAAGGATCGTTTTTGTTATCTTAACGACATCAAATTCCTGAGAAACACATATCCAAGCTTGGATGTCAAAATGAGCCCTTATGCTGCAATCATTGTAAACAAGCTGAGCAAGTGTTGTCTTGCCAATTCCTCCCATTCCAACAATGGGAATCACTGCAACTCCACCACCAATATCATCATCCCTCAAAACCAAATTTAGTATTGTCTCCTTGTCTTTTACTCTACCATATACTTCAGTTTCATTCACCAAAGAAGTACTAGGCAGCCTGTTCGGTATATCTATCGTCTTTGGCTCTCTATTGCTTATCAATTGCAAGTTACTCTTTCTTGTTTCTAACTGTTTCAACCTTTTGGAGACATGTTTTATCTTGGACATCATCTTATTGTTAAACATGATAGCCTTGGGTTGTAAACTAGTGCAGAAAGCAGGAATACACTTTTTTACCTTACTTGTGCTGGCTTGGCATTCAATACTTTTCATCAATTTGCGTCCCAAAGCATCAGTTGCAAACTCGTCCAAGATGTCATCCACGTCGTAGGCCAAGTCTTGGAGGTCAGCCAACCAGATCTTCACCTGTTGCTCTTTCATTTGTCTGTTCTCTGCATCAGCAAGCACTGCATTTATATTCTTCAATGTGAATTCCCAGTTCTCAATCTCCTTGTGAACCTGCTTTTCACTAGCAAGCTTGAAGTCAAAAGAGCTGAACTTGTTAAACAGCGCCCCAAAGAGAGCAGATAGAGCAGCCTCTCCAATACCAGACATGATCAATAACTTTGAAGGACAATCAAAGAGTAGGAATTGAACAGAAGGAAAAGAGTAGCAATTAGTTTTCTGAAAGCTGAAGAGTTTAGGCAGTGTTTGGTAATGGCGAAAATGAAAAAAAAAATAGCAATTTCTTTCTTGTTTTAGCTTGAGATGGAAAAAGAGACACAGAACTGGCTAGATGGGTTTATTGTTTTGTCTCCTAATTTTGCAATATGAACAGAGCTAGGTCCACACGGTTTTTGGCGTCTTAAGTTAGGACTCCTAACAGGGTTTCCATCATTCCCTCGATGCTGCAAGAGCCAATAATGATAGAAACATAAGCATGGATGTTGGAAGTCAGCTGCCAGCCCAAGACCATGACCCAAGATGTGTCAGAAAAGCCCCTAGCTGGACCAAAGATTTTGTCATGGGTTGAGAATAGAATTTGTCATAGTGCATGTAATTCTTTCATTAGCTGATGACTCAGACATATATTTACTTTAGATGTACGGTTATATTTGTTTCGGTTAGATAGAAAACAATGATGATAGTGAAACAACTACGGTAGTGACATATAACGATGACATTGAATTCTGTGCTGAGAATGTATAACATATATGCTCCAAAATGCTATGAGAATTACTCCCAGATTTAAAAAATCTTTGTGCCAATCAAAGTTACTGGGAGAAGATTACGTATTTCCCCAATACCAGTCATGATCAATTACTGGACAATGTGTCCCAAAGCATCAGTTGCAAACTCGTCCAAGATGTCATCCACGTCGTAGGCCAAGTCTTGGAGGTCAGCCAACCAGATCTTCACCTGTTGCTCTTTCATTTGTCTGTTCCCTGCATCAGCAAGCACTGCATTTATATTCTTCAATGTGAATTCCCAGTTCTCAATCTCCTTGTGAACCTGCTTTTCACTAGCAAGCTTGAAGTCAAAAGAGCTGAACTTGTTAAACAGCACCCCAAAGAGAGCAGATAGGGGAACCTCTCCAATACCAGACATGATCAATAACTTTGAAGGAAAATCAAAGAGTAGGAATTGAGCAGAAGGAAAAGAGTAGCAATTAGTTTTCTGAAAGCTGAATAGTTTAAGCAGTGTTTGGTAACGATGAATATGAAGAATAAAAATAGCAATATCTTTCTTGTTTTAGCTTGAGATGGAAAACGAGAGACACAGAACTGGCCAGATGGGTTTATTGTTTTAAGTCTCCTTTTGCAATATGAACAGAGCTAGGTCCACACGGTTTTTGGGGCCTTAAGTTAGGACTCCTAACAGGGTTTCCATCATTCTCTCGGTGCTGCATGAGCCGATAATGATAGAAACTTAAGCATGAATGTTGGAAGTCAGCTGCTAGCCCAAGACCATGGTCCAAGACCTGTCAGAAAAGTCCCTAGACCATGGATTTTGTTATGGGATGACATTGAGTTTGTTACAGTGCATGTCATTCCTTTATTAGCTGATGACTTGCACATATATTTACGTTAGATTTAGATGGACAGTCACATTAATTTCGGATAGACAGAAAACAACGATGATAGTGACATGTAACGGTGAACTTGAATTTTGTGCTGGGAATTTACTCCCAGATTCCAAAAGTCTTTGTGCCAACCAAAGTTAATGGGAGAAGATTACATATTTCCCCAATACCAGTCATGATCAAGTACTGGACAATGTGAGAAAATTAAAAAGTCAAAACATTAGTAATTCACCAGGGTGATGAGTTTATATATCTCACAAAATCATTAAAAAGTTGTTACTAAGCTGGGAATTTTTTTTTTTTTTTGGATAAATGCATTTTATTCATCCAAAAGAAACAGCCTGCAATAGAGTAACATGTTGCAAAATATCAAACATTACAACAATAATCATCAAAACATCAAGAAAACAGAACTTAACAAGTTCAGGTAGAAGTAGAACCGAGAAAAAAAGGTAGCATAAGCAGCATAATCCTTTGAGCACTACTCTTACAACGAGAAACACAATGAAATCTGACTACTGCATATTCAAAGGACCAGACAAGCACAACTCCAATTTCTTTTTGGAATTATGAGTCTGTTTGAAATTTGAATGATAGTTAAGTGGGGGCTAGAGAGGAAGCCAAAGATGTTTCCTGTATGAAGCCACTGGATATTTCTTGATAACTTTGGGATGGCTAACTTTATTTGCTTTGGGTGGAGTGTTGTGCCTTCTAAATATTGATTAGCAAGTCTGCGTTTTGGGAGATGTTGGCAGTTCAAGTTCATTGGTCCGTGAAGGTTACAGGTTTGTTATTTTTTTAGAGATGATTCATGTGTTTTTAGAGTGTTGGGATTTTTGTTTGCTTTTATTTTCTGATCTTTTAATTAAGGTTTGGGTTTTCAGAATTTTTTTTTCAGTGATTTAATATAGGTTTGCTTTTGATTCTCTTATTTGATTTTTTATAAGATTAATATTATAATATAAGATATAAAATTTGGTATGTTGTTGTTGTTGTAATGATTTAGTTTCAGAGTTCTTTTGCTCACCGATTTATCTAACCGATATTTGTAACCAAAAAAAAGGAAGACAGAATTTTACGTGGAAAATCTCAGAGGAAAACCCCGGAGGAAAAACCACGGGACAATTGTGCAGTCATATGTTTCACTATTCAAGTTGTGGGATTACATAAATCTTGTCTAAGTTTAACCTGCAGTCATCACCTGTGTGATAAAAGCAGCAATCTGACCAAAAGTGAACTGTTCATGAAGACAAATCATGCAGTCACAAACACCATAACAATGTCTGATTGTTCATTCAAAGACGGTATCTCTTTCCCATCCTTTTTTCAGTTATCCACCCATTTACAAACATCCATAAACTATGCGGGTGTCAAGCAACGAAGTCTTCCAAACTGGCCATGTCTCCCCAACATCCTCACTTGTTTTGGGAGAAAGGGTCAAGAGATCCACCAATGCCCAAACATACAACGAGTTGTAACCTGGAAGATTAAAAGTTGCTTCCAAAGTTCTGATATGTAGCAGGCCCAACACAACGATGAAATCAGTTCGATAATGCTGCCAGGAGAACTTCCCCGTCGTTGCATCCTGAGAGAGCTTTAGAATGCATGAGTTTTGTCCGTCCTGTCATAAAAGGTTGCCAAAGCATCATGTTGTTTGGCCGAGTAACAAAAACTTTAACACAGTAATTCTCTCAGACTTATAAAATTGTGAACCTTGGATACAGGTTAGATACTGTGGTGATCTTCATTCTAATTGAAATTTTTATGAAACAAGACATTACCATATAGTTACCTGGCTTCCAATGGAAATGCATTTCTTCCACAAAATCTTTACTAAATAACTTGAAAGTTGGTATCGAAAGTATCCACACAACCATTGATTCTGCAGGGGACAGTTGACAATGTTTAGCTATAAATTCAAGAAACCAGCTCTCTTCGGGAAGAGATGAACAAGGTGGGAACGAAAGCAGGGCAGCATTATTCCTATTTCTTGTAGAAAAGACACTACATCCTTCCCAACATTCTTCAGCACCATTTGAAAGTCATATGTTGAAGGTGGCTGAGCAGAGTCCTTGCTCAGACAGCTCGTAAATGGTGCAGAATTCCTTTCCTGGGAGAAACTTTGAATTTTATAACCGATTCAATACCATACAAAAGACATGGTACAAAATCGTGTAAAGATCACTTCAAGAACAGTCAAAACAATAGAGAACCGAAGAAATAAGCTATAAGTTGTAGGCAAGCATCACCAATTAATCAAAACAAAGAAAACATTGAATTTCCTTAGAAAAGTCATACCAGAATAAAAATCAGTATGAATCACGAAACAGTGCCAGAATAACAAAGTTGTGCTCTTTTTCCTTCTTTTCCAGTTTATTTTTCCCACCTGCTTCACTGTACAATCAATTTCTAGAATTAGTTCCAGTCGAGAGAAAAAGTTTAAAACTTCCTTTTAAACAACATACATAAATTGAAAAATAAAAGACCACAATTAATGCGAACAAACTTGATTTATTGAACGTGATAGCATGTTGGCCCAACCTTAATAGAAAAAATCTATAGTTATCTGTTCTGGTGCAATGACAATCATTATTTCAATGATCTTCATTTTAATAACAATAAATATTTTATGAAAAATGATATTAGTTTTAAACTATCTGGCTTCCAACATCCAGAATGCATCAGAAGTCAGGACCATCTCTCACATGGTACTCCACAAAATTATTTGAAAGCTGGTAATTAAGATAATTAATAGCCTGAGGCAGACTACAAATAAAGTGACAATATAAGATAATAAAGGTAAAAATTTACTCAACTTTTGAAAGTAAAAATATATAATGATTATATTCTCAAAAAAGAGAATAGATTATAATGATAAAGAAGATTTTCTAGTAGGCATACCTAGAGTGAATAAGAGGATAAAAGTTTGAGAACTCACGTTTTTTCGGTCCGGAGACGTTGAAAGCCATTGGAGAGAAATCCCTCTTCTAATATCAATCCTGTCTCCTCGTGTAGAAGCAAGACAAGGCCACATCCAAACATCAATCAACACCATTGGAGACTTGTCTATAAAACCCTATTCTCGGGTTAAACATCTGGAAAAAAGCTAGAAATTTACAACCTCATTTAATTCAATACAAAATGGGAAGAAAGATTAATTGAAAGAATTAAGTGATCACTTTAAAAACGTACAAAATACATGAAACTGATGCTGCTCAATCAAACCACTGTCAGCTCAACTCTTCTGTGAAAACTCAAATTTCTAGTAGCTAAAATTTCAGAAATAGAGGTAAGGAGAGAAGGAGAAGAGAGATAGGAAGAAGTTCCAGAATAAAGGAAATGGGTGTAAAAATTGTATTTTCTCCTGTAACCACCTCCTTTTGTAATAGTTCTGTAATCATTGTTACACCAGCTGTCAATTTTTCAACAAAATAACTAACATGCTGAGTCATATATACTGACTGTAAAAAAAAATATAAATGACTACTAAATGACTAACATGGCCTTCTTATTCAATTCAACTTGTAACAACTACCTTCCCCTCGAATTAATCCATGTCCTCAAGGATTGAAGCAAGGAAACTTTTTCTGTAGCTCATATAATCCTTCCTAGGTTGCATCTTCTGGATAACTGTTACTCCACTGTACTAGAACCTCTGTGATTGCTCTACCTCTTCTCTTACTCAGTCTTTTATCTAGAACTGCCACTGGTTCCTTGGCCACCTTTCCATCTGCATCAATCATAGGAAGATTAGATTGTGTTGGAACCTTTCTAATGTGCTTCTTCAATTGTGAAACATGGAAGACAAGATGAATTTTGGCTTCAGCAGGCAATTCTAGTTTGTAGGCGACAGGTCCTATCTTCTCCAACACCTTGTAGGGGCCAAAGTACCTAGCAGCTAACTTAAAACAAGACCTGTTGATGACAGATTGTTGTCTGTATGGCTGGAGCTTAACATAAACTAAATCAGCAATCTCAAATTGCCTATCAACCCTATGTCTGTCAGCTTGTTGCTTCATTCTATTTCGAGCCCTATCCAAATGAAATTTCAAAATTTTGATTGTGGCCTCTCTCGCTTGCAAACTTCTATCCACTTTATCCACTTTAGAATCTCTAGGTAGATATGGTCGATGAATGGGAGCAGGTTGACCATAGACTGCCTCATATGGTGTAGTTTGAATGGAAGTGTGAAAACTAGTGTTATACCACCATTCTGCTAAAGAGATCCATTTGGACCAGTGCTTAGGTTGTTCTCCTATCATGCACCTTAGATATGTCTCCAAACATCTATTGAGCACTTCAGACTGTCCATCTGTTTGAGGGTGATAAGTAGTAGACATTTTTAGCTTGGTTCCTAATAATTTGAACAATTCCTTCCAAAATGAACTAGTGAAAATCCTATCTCTGTCAGAAACAATGGTATTAGGTACTTCATGCAACTTGTACACATTGTCTAGATAGGCTTAAGCAACTGTAATGGCAATGAAAGGATGAGCCAGAGTGATAAAATGGGTACATTTACTTAATCTATCCACTACCACCATTATAACATCTTTCCCAAATGACTTAGGCAAACCTTTTGTAAAATCTATAGACACATCAGCCCATACCTTATCAGGAATTGGTAAAAGTTGTAACAAACCTGGAGAGATAGTTTCATATTTGCATTTCTGATAAATTGTGCATTCTCTGACATGCTGTCGAACTATTTTTTTCATTCCTCCCCAATATTCCACATTAGCTATTCTCCTCATAGTTGCCTTTATTCCAGAATGCCCTCCATCTGCTGAATCATGAAAAAATGTCAATAAATCCTTCCTTAACTCAAAATCAGCTCCCACCATAAGTTTTCCCTTCCTTCTCAACTGACCTGCTTGCCAAGTGTACTTAGGAGACTGTCCTGGGTTGTTCTTGAGCTTATGTAACAAATATATCAACATTGGATCTTTTAACCAAGACTGTTTAATCCTAGCCATTAGATCATTAGTTACAAAAGATAAAGTATATAACAAGGCTACAGGATTTAGAGAAAGAGCATCGGCTGCCATGTTGGTAGAGCCCTTCCTGTAGACAAGTTCATAATTAAATCCCATCATTTTGACAACCCAAAGTTGTTGAGTAGGTGTGTTTGTTTTCTGGTCCAGCAAAAATTTGAGACTTTGGTGACCTGTTTTTATCTGGAAATGCCTACAAATTAAATAAGCACTCCATTTCTTCACTGCAGCCAATATGGCCAACATCTCTTTTTCATAGATAGACATGCCTGATGTTTAGGAGATAAAACTTTGCTAAAATAAGCAACTGGCCTACCATTTTGACTCAACACAGCACCAATTCCACAACTTGAAGCATCTGACTCAACTACAAAAGTTGAGTTGAAATTTGGCAGTGCTAGAACATGAGCTGATATTATAGCTTGCTTGAGCCTTTCAAAAGCTATTGTTGTTGTTTCTTGCCAATTAAAGGCATTTTTCTTCAATAAATCAGTCAATGGTTTTGCCATAGTTCCATATCCCTTAATAAACCTGTGATAAGACCCAGTGAGGCCCAAGAATCTTCTTAATTCTTTAACAGACTCAGGAATTGGCCACTGTTTAACACATTCAACCTTAGTACTATCTATAGCAACTATTCCCTTATTGATCACATGTCCCAAATACTTGATTTGAGTAGCACCAAAGTCACACTTTGAAAGCTTAACAAATAAATGGTTGCTGACTAAAACATCAAACACATGCTGTAAATGTGCTAAATGATCATTCCAGTTTGGTGAATAAACCATGATATCATCAAAGAACACCAATACAAATTTTCTAAGAAAAGGTTGAAATACACTATTCATTAAACTTTGAAATGTAGAAGGTGCATTAGTCAATACAAAAAGCATAACTAGAAACTCATAATGCCCTTGGTGAGTCTTGAAAGTTGTTTTATGAATATCTGCAGGATTCATTCAAATCTGGTGATAACCAGATTTGAGATCCAGCTTAGAGAACCAGCAAGTAGCAGATAATTCATTTAACAACTCTTCTATTAAAGGAATGAGAAACTTATCTTTAAGTGTGATCTTGTTCAACTGCCTGTAGTCCACACAAAGCCTTCATGAGCTATCTTTCTTTTTCACTAGAACCACTGAAGATGTGAATGAACTGTTGCTATCTCTTATAATTCCAACCTCTTTCATTTCTGCTACTATTTTCTCAATCTCATTTTTTTGTACAATTGGGTACCTATAAGGCTTAATCTTTACAGGTTGAGATTCATTTATCAAAGGTATCTTATGATCTTAAGGCCTTGGTGGAGGTAAATTTGTAGATGTCTTAACGACTAGTGAGTATCGTAGTAACAATTCCTGCAAATCATGTGGTAATTCAGTTTGTTGACTAAACTGGTGTAACTCATCTCGAGAATGGGAAACTCCAATACCAGATATCATTATTAGTCCACTTGTTTTACTAACCACCTTCAACTTAGCAAACTGCTTACTTGTAGCCATATGTACCTGAGCAGCCTCTATTCATTGCAGTTTATACCAGTTGTTTGCTACAGCAAATTACATGCTCAGTAAGGAAAAATCCCATAGAATAGGCCCTAGTGTCTGGAGCCATTGCACCTCGAGTATTGCTTTATAGCCCATTAAAGGTAGCATAAAGAAATCAATATGTTAGACTAGGCCTTGAACCTCCTAAGTCAATGCTTTACATACATCCTAAGTTAATATTTTGTTACCTTTAGCTACAGTGACACTGAATCCAGTAATCTTCTGAGTGTTACATCCCAGTTTCTTAATCAATAATTGATCAATGAAATTATGGGTACTTTCAGAGTCAACCAAGAACACTACTGATTGGTTTTTTATTCGACCATATAATCTCATGGTCGTATGACCTTTAACTCCAATTAAAGCATGTAAGGAGATGACATGCCTATTCTGTAATTCATGGTCTTCCTCTTCAATCTCCTTTAAATTGACTACACAATCACAAAACTTTTTAGTATTATTATTATTGTCTTCCCTTTCCTCAATAAACATCTGGTACAATTGAGCCTTAACACACCTGTGGCCTAGTGTAAACTTAATCCCACACCACATATAAAGTCCTTTCTTCCTCCTGTCATCTCTTTCCTCCCGGATTGGTATTTTGATAACATTGAATTTTACTATAGTTGACTCAGGTTTACTGGTTGTGGGTTTGTAGGTATTTATGGTATTGGTTAATTTAGCTGGTTGTAATTTAAGAAAGGGGTTTTTGGGGTTGCTAACAGTGGGGGTAATGTAGTTTTAGAGGTATAAGGATTATTATGGGATATAGGAGGAGTTGTTACAGGATTCTTGTAAGGTATATAAGGTTTTATGGGTACATTGTATATTAGGGACTCCATCTGTTTGGCCAACTGGTAAGCATGGCTTAAGGATTTAGGATAAAACATTCTAACAGGCTTAGAAATCTCAGGCTTCAAATTTCCCAAAAATATACTGAGAGCATTGTCATAAGAAATGGAGAGTAAATTTAATAAACTCTCAAACTCCTCATAAAATTCATCAACTGTATTGTATTGCTTCAACACCACTATTTCTAAAATAGGATCAAAGAACTCAGATTTTGCAAATCTAGTCTTCATTTTAGTAACATAAGTGAGCCAGCTTACCTTTTGAAGACTTATTTGATTCTTCATGAACCTCTGATGCCACTGTAAAGCTCGTCCCTCCAAATGCATCATCACAGTCCTCACTTTCTCATTTTCCCAAGTTTGATCAACTTCAAAAAATTGTTCGATCTTTAACAACCATCCCCTGAAATCGTCTTCATCAAATTTTAGGCATTCCAACTTAGAGTACTTAGTTGGTACCCTTGCAACTTCCTTTGTTTCAGCGAAAAGGGGTCTATGAATAATGACCCAGCTACCTTCCACATCACCCATGAAAGATTTCTGTTCCTAGCTGATGGTGTTGTTGACTCCCCTATCTCAACTTCTTGAAGTGAGCTTTGCCTACTATTCATGATCTTTTCAAACATGCCACGCATTTCTTCTGCAAAGGAATCAATCTTATCATTAAGTTGCTTGATAGATGTGTCAAATTTGGCCTCCACCCTCTCCAACTCCTTTTGCATCTGGCCCATGTCTCTCTGCAACCTAGTTGTCGTACCCTGTGTCATTACCAAGAACTGAGGCTCTGATACCAAGAATGATGCTGCTAAATCAAACCACTGTCAGCTCAACTCTTCTGTGAAAACTCAAATTTCTAGTAGTTAAAATTTTAGAAATAGAGGTAAGGAGAGAAGGAAGAAGAGAGACAGGAAGAAGTTCTAAAATACAGGAAATGGGTGTAAAAATTCTATTTCCTCATGTAACCACCTCTTTTTGTAATAGTTCTATAATAATTGTTACACCAACTGTCAATTTTTCAACAAAATAACTAATATGCTGACTCATATATACTGACTGTAAAAAAAATATAAATGACTACTAAATAACTAACATGGCCTTCTTCTTCAATTCAACTTGTAACAGAAACCAAAGAAATAACCTATAGATTGTAGGCAATCAATATTAACTTAATTACAATAAAGGATGAAATCAACAGAGTTAATATTAAATTAAAATCAATTAAAATAGTAATTAATTCTATATTAAAATACCTGAGTCACAGATGATCTAATTCTTCCACTTAATTAGGAAATGGGTTTATCACATGGATATACCAGTATGAAGAAAAAAACTAAAAAGTTTGAAAATTGAAAAAAAGAAAATTCACTGCTCGATTGGATCATGGTTGAGTAGATATATTTATATATTAAGAAAAAAAAAGAAAAAAAATCAGTTAAAATAGTAATTAATTCCAAATTAAAATACCTGAGTCCTTGATACATGCTCTAATTATTCTTCCACTTTTGATCATTGAAATTCATCGTCAATGAAAACACATGGTATGTGAGCAATGTTGGACCATAGTTTTCCTTTGTCCCTTCTGTATCTTTTCTTCAGCCCTGGACAACTACAAATAAATAGTTTCGAAAGGGAGGGAAGCATTTCCTTTTTGGAAAGGGATTTGAGCTTTGGGCAAATACAAATATTCAAAAATTGAAGAGAGGTGAGGTTTTGAAAGCCTTTGGAGGATAGCTTTCTTATAATTTTGAAATTTCTGATTTCAAGATGGGTGAGAGAAGGGGGCAGCTTCATATTCATTCCTATCTTCACCTGTGGAAACGACTCGACATCTATAAAATCACCACCATCAATGCGAAGTTTTTTAAGAGAGGTGAATCTATGCAATCCCCACTCCATAACTAGCTTACTAAAATTGGGATCATACTTGACAAGTGATGCCAGGTTGGGAGGCAAACCTGCTTCTCCAATTGATTTCATCATTGGACAACTAACTATTGTCAACTCCTGAAGAGAGTATAAGTTGGGCAGAACTTCAAGTTTATCATATTCAAAGAGGGATAGAGATTTGAGGTTATAGGCTGACGAGCCACTTTCTGCGAAACAAACCAGATTTGAACAATTATGGTGGCGAATATTCTGAAGACAGCTCAGCCTGTCCAGTCCTTGGGGTAAATATTTAATATTTGTACACCCGAGGAGTTCAATAGATTCAAGACAAATATTATCCCCAATTTCATGCGCTACATAATCAAGCTTTGGGCAGCAGATTGTCAAAGATTTAAGCATCACAGGTAACTTACCTCTTGATGATAATGATTTTAGAGCTCCACAATGGTTGACTCTAAGAGATTCAAGGAGAGATGTGCTGCTGAAATTGATATTCTGTCTGTCATCCAGTAAACATTGCAATTCTCACAACTGCGGATCTCCAAACTTTTAAGAGTTGGAGGCAAGTTATTTGTCAAAAGTGAAACCAATTTTGGGCACCCCACAAGCTCTAACTTTCTAAGACATGAGAGGTTCTGCATGGTAGCTGATAACTTCTCTAAGCCTTCACAAATTTGTATTGTCAAATGTTCAATGTTGCAGGGTATGCCTAATTGCGAAAGCTCTGCTTGTTCCTCCTTTGCAGCCCCCATAGACACAATTTGCTGCCAATGTTGAATCTCTAAATTACGAAGAGATCTCAAAGATGCCAACCACCCCCACTTTGTTTGCCATAAAGAAGTTAGCTCCTCACAACAACCCCAGATACTGAGATCTTCTACTTTCATCGACTCTAACGTCATCATTTCTTTTGTTACACATTGAAACTTTGCAATGTCGGAAAGAAAGATTTTTTTGTACCAATCTGCATTTTTTATTTACTGAAAACCCTAAAACCAATTTACAACTACATTATCAAGATTTTTAAGGAAAACCTTAAAACCAATCTACATTATCAAGGCCAAACAAGCCAGATAACTTAGATTCCTATACACATTGAGGTTCATCCACATTCTGCTATTCAGTGATAGAAAGCTGACCTTTGAGTTCTGATAAAGTTTGTATCTCTCTTATATTCAATCCACCACCTCGTCCCACAATAAAATTGGACAATGCTCGAAGATTAGTCAGCCTACCGACTCCATTTGGCATTTCCTTAATTAAGTATGCACCAGTAATATCGAGATGATATAGGTTGACCATATTTCCTATTTCCGAGGGCAACTTCTCAATTAGCTCACAGAACCTTAATAAAAGAGTCTGTAAATTGTGGAGGGCACATAATGAATCAGGTAAACTTCTAATTGCAGTAAAGGAGAAATTCAAATAGCGCAGATGTTTCAGATTTCCAAAAGAGTACGGAATTTTTGTAATGTGATACCTTTGCAAAGAGAGTGCCCTCAAGTGTCTCAACTTCGGCAGCAGATCAACAACAACATTATTACTTAAATAGCAAGTCTCTTCCAACATCAGTGTAAATGGTAAGAAGGTTCACACACTGGTTGTTGAATAAAAGGTCTGAAACTGTTTGATACCATCACACTGGCCAGCAATATAAGATGAGTGGCGAACATGTCTTGGATATTTCATTTGTTCATTTCCCTCCATTCTGAAACATATTTTTCCTGCAACTGATTGAGCTAGATCATTAATAAGGTTATGCATTACAAAATGAGATTTCTTCCTTCTAGATACTTGGAAAAAGGACCTTGATACAAGTTCCTTAAAGTACTTGCGACTCAAATCTTCAGTCTGTGTAGTGTTTGCTTCATTTAGGAAACCTTCTGCCATCCATAGTAGGATTATTTCTTGCTCCGTAAATTCATAATCTTTGGGGATTATAGAGCAATAAGGAAAGCATTGTTTCAGTTGTGAAGAAAGATGGCAGTAACTCAACCATAGAGCTGGAATGATGCCACTCTTCGCTTCAGGTAAATTCCAAATCTCACTCTCTAGTATGTCTTTCCATGCATCACAATCCATCCTACCGTGCAATAGCCCTCCGATCGTTTTAGTTGCTAATGGCAAGCCATCGCACTTCCTCACAATCTGCAACCCAGTTTCTTTCAAGTCTAGATGATCACTAAAATCTCTTGCTCCTAATGCATGGTGAACAAACATACGGAGAGAATCATCATCTGATAACTTTTGCAATGAAATATCTGAAACAGTTTTCACAATTGATGAAACATTGCAACTACGTGTTGTTATAAGGATTTTGCTTCCTACCTCCCCTGCATCAAAAGGGGATCAAAGCTTGGTCCAATCATCGTAGTTTTCATTCCAGATATCATCTAAGACAATAAAGAATTTCTTTCTAGATAGTTTTTCCTTCAAGCTGACTTGAAGCAAATTCAAATTATTCAACTGATCATATGGCTCATGAGTGATTGATTGTAAGGATCGTTTTTGTTATCTTAACGACATCAAATTCCTGAGAAACACATATCCAAGCTTTGATGTCAAAATGAGCTCTTATGCTGCAATCATTGTAAACAGGCTGAGCAAGTGTTGTCTTGCCAATTCCTCCCATTCCAACAATGGGAATAACTGAAACTCCATCATCAATATCATCATCCCTCAAAACCAAATTCAGCATTGTCTCCTTGTCTTTACCATATACTTCAGTTTCATTCACCAAAGAAGTACTAGGCAGCCTGTTCCGTATATCTGTTGTCTTTGGCTCTCTAATGCTGATCAATTGCAAGTTACTCTTTCTTGTTTCTAACCGTTTCAACCTTTTGGAGACAAGTTTTATCTTGGACATCGTCGTATTGGTAAACATGACAGCCTTGGGTTGTAAACTAGTGCAGAAAATAGGAATAAACTTTTGTACCTTACTTGTGCTGGCTTGGCATTCAATACTTTTCATCAATTTGCGTCCCAAAGCATCGGTTGCAAACTCGTCCAAGATATCATCCACGTCGTAGGCCAAGTCTTGGAGGTCAGCCAACCATATCTTCACCTGTTGCTCTTTCATTTGTCTGTTCTCTGCATCAGCAAGCACTGCATTTATATTCTTCAATGTGAATTCCCAGTTCTCAATCTCCTTGCGAACATGCTTTTCACTAGCAAGCTTGAAGTCGAAAGAGCTGAACTTGTTAAACAGTGCCCCAAAGAGCAGCCTCTCCAATACCAGACATGATCAATAACTTTGAAGGAAAATCAAAGAGTAGGACTTGAACAGAAGGAAAAGAGTAGCAATTAGTTTTCTGAAAGCTGAAGAGTTTAGGCAGTGTTTGGTAATGATGAAAATGAAGGAAAAAAATAGCAATATCTTTCTTGTTTTTGTTGGGAATATTGACTCAAATCCAATAAGAGATTTGTTTGGGATTTGTTAGAGATTTGTTAGATATTGCTTGATAGATAAGAAGACTTGCAAAAAAAGAATTCTAAGAGAAAGTGGATTCTTAATAGGTAAGTTTGACTTATAAAAGAAGAATTCTAAAAGGAAAGAGATTCTTAATAGGCAAATTTGACTTACAGTAGAAGAATTCTAAGAGGAGAGAGATTCTTAATGGGCAAGTTTATATGATTATAAATAGGTGAAGTCTCTACAGGGTTAGATATGAGAAAAAGATGTAAGAGAGTTGTAGGATTTTGTGGGATAGACATCCCATAGGAGTATTGGGGCTCTACGTCTTATGGGTGTGTATGTTTGTTTGTGAGTGGACTAAAGGAGATTGAGAGGGTCCACATAGGTATGGTGTGTGGGAGCACATTGGTATGTGTTTGGTTATGTTGAAAGGATGCACAAGGGTTTGGGTTTGGGTTTGTGTTTGTTTGGGTTGAGAATACTCCATAGGACTAGAGGAGATTGAGAGTGTCTTATGAGTATTGATTGTTGAGTGAAGTTGATGATTTGATGTAAGTTTGTAATTCTCTACAACTAGTGGATCTTTTTTCTCATCCGTGGATGTAAGTCAGTTGGACCGAACCATGTTAAATTGTTGTCTCTGGTGTGTTTGATTTATTATTTGATTTCGCTTCCGCTGGTGTGATTGGATTGGAGGCTTTTAGCCCAACAAATGGTATCAGAGTCGTGGTGTTCCCCAACAAGTGGTATCATAGCTGAATGTTCAAAATGTGAGAAGACTTGAAGATTCAAGACGTAGAAAGAGCAGAAGGTTCGAGACGTGAAAGAGCTAAAAGTTCGAGATGTGAGAAGAGCTAAAGGTTTGGAAAGTGCATGGTTTGAGACGTAGGAAGAAGCAAGTCCAGAAGAGCTCGATTCGAGAGAAAAGTTTGAGTTTAAGTTTTGAAGATTGAAGATTGGTTTGTATGAAGCGTGAAGACACAAGAGAAGAGAAAATGATTGTGAGACTTCCATTGCAGGTGGAGCCAAGCATGTCTAGCATGAAGATAGATGATTGATGAAATTTGAGTCAAGGTGGAGATTGTTGGGAATATTGACTCAAATCCCATAAGAGATTTGTTTGAGATTTGTTAAAGATTTGTTAGATATTGCTTGATGGACAAGAAGACTTGCAAAAAAAGAATTCTAAGAGAAAGAGGATTCTTAATAGGTAAGTTTAACTTTTAAAAGAAGAATTCTAAAAGGAAACAGATTCTTAATAGATAAATTTGACTTACAGTAAAAGAATTCTAAGAGGAGAGTGATTCTTAATGGGTAAGTTTATATGATTATAAATAGGTGAAATCTCTATAGGGTTAGGTATGAGAAAAATATGTAAGAGAGTTGTAGGATTTTGTGGGATAGACACCCCATAAGAGTATTGGGGCTCTATGTCTTATTGGTGTGTATGTTTGTTTGTGAGTGGACTAAAGGAGATTGAAAGGGTCCACATAGGTATGGTGTATGGGAGCATAAGGGTATGTGTTTGGTTATGTTGAAAGGGTGCACAAGGGTTTGGGTTTGTGTTTGTTTGGGTTGAGAATACTCTATAGGACTAGAGGAGATTAAGAGTGTCTTATGAGTATTGATTGTTGAGTGAGGTTGATGATTTGATGTAAGTTTGTAATTCTCTACAACTAATGGATCTTTTTTCTCATCCGTGGATGTAAGTCAGTTGGACCGAACCACGTTAAATTGTTGTCTCTGGTGTATTTGATTTATTATTTGATTTCGCTTTTGCTGGTATGATTGGATTGAAAACTTTTAGCCCAACAATTTTAGCTTGAGATCGAAAAAGAGAGACAAAACTGGCCAAATGGGTTTATTGTTTTATGTCTCCTTTTGCAATATGAACAGAGCTAGGTCCACACGGTTTTTGGGGTCTTAAGTTAGAACTTCTAACAGGCTTTCTATCATTCTCTTGGTGTTGCAAGAGCCAATAATGATAGAAACATAAGCATGGATGTTGGAAGTCAGCTGCCAGCCCAAGACCATGGCTGAAGACGTGTCAGAAAAGCACCTGGCTGGACCAAGGATTTTGTCATGGGATGAGAATAGAGTTTGTTATAGTGCATGTAATTCTTCTATTAGCTGATGACTCAGACATATATTTACCTTAGATTTAGATGTACGGTGATATTAGTTTTGGTTAGATAGAAAACAGTGATGATAGTGAGACAACTGTGATAGTGACATGTAACGATGAAATTGAATACTGTGCTGAGAATGTATAACATATATGCTCCAAAATGCTATGAGAATTACTCCCAGATTCCAAAAGTCTTTGTGCCAATCAAAGTTAATGGGAGAAGATTACGTATTTCCCCAATACCAGTCATGATCAAGTACTGGACAATGTGAGAAAATAGTAAGGAAAAAAAAAAGTCATAACATTAGTAATTCACCAGGGTGATGAGTCTATATATCTCACAAAATCATAAGAAAGTTGGAACTAAGAGCTTGGAAATTCTTTTTTTTTTTTTGGATAAATGCATTCTATTCATTTCTGCAACAGAGTAACATGTTGCAAAACATCAAACATTGCAAACAACAATCATCAAAACATCAAGAAAACAAAACTTAAAAGTTACAGGTAGAACCAAGAAATGAAGGCAGCATAAGCAGCCAAGTCCTTCGAGCTCTACTGTTACATAGAGAAACACAATGAAATCTGAATACTGCATATTCAAACAACCAGACAAGCACAACTCAAGCACAATTCCAATTTCTTTTTGGAATTATGAGTCTGTTTGAATGACGGTGAAGTGAGCGCTAGAGAGGAAGCCCAAGATGTTTTTGTATGAAGCTATAGGATCTTTCTTGGTAACTCAATCGTTTGGAGATTATTTGGGGGATGATTTGTTTTCCTTTTTGGAGGTTCCTAAGAGATGCTTTGATTGATGTGCTCAATTTTGGATGGCTAACTTTATTTGCTTTGGGTGGAGTGTTGTTTCTTCTAAATTTTGATTAGCAAAAGATGTTTTGTCTGAGTTTTGGGAGATGTTGGCAGTTCGAGTTCCTTCGTCCGCTAGGGTTACAGATTTGTTATTTTTGGAGTGATGATTCTTATGTTTTTAAAGTGTCGGGATTTTTGTTTGCTTTTGTTTTCTGATCTTTTAACCTAGGTTTGGGTTTTCAGAGTTTTTTTTTTTTTTCGCCGATTTAGTTTGCATAGTTCTTTTGTTCACTGATTTATCTAAACAATATTTGTAACCAAAAAAAAAAAAAAAAGGAAAGCGAGACACCAAATTTTACGTGGAAAACCTCGGAGGAAAACCCCAGAGGAAAAAACAACGGGACAATTGTCCTGCCAAATGTTCCAGTGTTCAATCTAATGAGATTACACACGTCTTGTCTAAGTTTAATTTACAATCATCACCTGTGAGATAAAAAAGAGCAATTTGACCAAAAGTGAACCGTCCGAGGAGGCAACTCAAGGAGTCACAAACACCATAACAATGTCTGATTGTTCATTCAAAGATGGTATCTCTTTCCCATCCTTTTTTTGGTTATCCACCCATTTACAAACAGCCATAAGCTATGCAGGTGTCAAGCAACCAAGTCTTCCAAACTGGCTATGTCTCCCCAACATCATCACTTGTTTTGAAGAAAGGGTCAAGAGATCCACCAATGGCCAAACATACAACGAGTTGTAACCTGGAGGATTAAAAGTTGCTTCGAAGTTCTGATATGTAGCACGCCCACCATATTGATGAAATCAGTTAGATAATGCTACCGGAAGAACTTCCTGTCACTGAATCCTGAGAGAGCTTTAGAATGCATGAGTTTTGTCATCCTGTCATACAAGGCCGCCAAAGCATTATATTGTTTGGCCAAGTAACAAAAACTTTAACACAGTAATTCTCAAAGACTTACAAAATTATGAACCTCGGATACAGGTTAGATACTGTGGTGATCTTCATTCGAATTGAAATTTTTATGAAACAAGATATTACTATGTAGTTACCTGGCTTCCATTGGAAATGCATTTCTTGAGCAAAATCTTTACTAAATGGCAAGAAAGTTGGAATTGAAAGTATCCACACAACCATTGTTTCAGCAGGGGACAGTCACCAATGTTTAGCTACAAATTCAAGAAACCAGCTCTGCTCGAGAAGAGCTGAACAAGGTGGGAACGAAAGCAGGGCAGCATTAGTCCTATTTCTTGTAGAAAAGATTCTACATCCTTCCCAACAATCTTCAGCACCATTTGAAAGTCCTATCTTGAAGGTGGCTGAGCAGAGTCCTTGCTCAAACAGCTCGTACATGGAGCAGAATTCCTTTCCTGGGAGAAACTTTGAATTTTATAACTGATTCACCACCATACAAAAGACATGGTACAAAGTCGAATAAAGATCACTTCAAGAACAGTCAAAACAATATAGAACTAAAGAAATAAGCTCTACAGGTTGTAGGTAAGCATCATCAATTAAACAAAACAAAGAAAGCATTGAATTTCCTTAGAAAAGTCATACCAGAATAAAAAATCTATATGAACCACGAAACAGGGCCAGAATAACAAAGTTGCTCTTTTTCCTTCTTTTCCAGTTTCTCTTTTCCCCCCCTGCTTCACTGTACAATCGATTTCTAGAATTAGTTCCAGTCGAGAAAAAAAGTTTAAAACTTTCTTTTCAACAATGTACATAAATTGAAAAATAAAAGACAATGATTAATGCGAACAAAATTGATTTATTGACTGTGATAGCATGTTGGCACATTCTTAATAGAAAAAATCTATAGTTCTCTGTTCTGGTGCAATGACATTCATTATTTCAATGATCTTCATTTTAATTAACAATAAATATTTTATGAAAAATGATATTAGCTTTAAACTACCTGGCTTCCAACATCAAGAATGCATCAGGAGTCAGCACCATCTCTCACTTAGTACTCCACAAAATTATTTGAAAGCTGGTAATGAAGAAAATTAATAGCATGATGCAGATTACCAAGAAAGTGACAATATAAGATAATAAAGGTAAAAATTTACTCAACTTTTGAAAGTAAAAATATGTAATGATTCTATTCTCAAAAAAGAGAACAGATTATAATGATAAAGAAGATTTTCTAGTAGGCCTACCTACAGTGATCAAGAGGATAAAAGTTTGAGAACTAACATTTTTTTCGGTCCAGAGGTTTTGAAAGCCTTTGGACAGAAATCCCTCTTCTAATATCAATCCTGTCTCCTCTTGTCGAAACAAGACAAGGCCACATCCAACAATCCTTCAACACCATTGGAGACTTGTCTATAAAACGCTCTTCTAGAGTTAAACATCTGGAAAAAAGCTAGAAATTTACAACCTCATTTAATGCAATACAAAATGGGAAGAAAGATTGGTTGAACCAAATAAGTGATCACTTCAAAAACATACAAAATACATGAAACCAAAGAAATAACCTATAGATTGTAGGCAATCAATACTAACTTAATTAAAATAAAGAATGAAATCAACTGAGTTGATATTAAATTAAAATCAATTAAAATAGTAATTAATTCTATATTAAAATACTGAGTCACAGATGATCTAATTCTTCCATAGGAAATGGGTTTATCACATGGATTTACTAGTACGAAGAAAAAACTAAAATATTTGAAAATTGAATACAAGAAAATTCACTGCTCGCTTGGGTCATGGTTGAGTAGATATATTTGTATATTAAGGAAAAAAAAAAGAAAAAAATCAGTTAAAATAGTAATTAATTCCAAATTAAAATACCTGAGTCCTTGAGACATGCTCTAATTATTCTTCACTTGATCATTGAAATTAATTGTCAATGCGTACACATGGTATGTGAGCAATGTTAGACCATAGTTTTCCTTTGTCCCTTCTGTACCTTTTCTTCAGCACTGGACAATTATAAATAAATAGCACCAAAAGGGAGGGAAGCATTTCCTTTTTGGGAAGGGATTTGAGCTTTGGGCAATTCTCAATACTCAAAAATTGAAGAGAGGTGAGGTTTTGAAAGCCTTTGGAGGATAGCTTTCTTAGATTTTTGAAATTTATGATTTCAAAACGGGTAAGAGATGGGGGCAGCTTCATATTCATTCCTATCTTCACATGTGGAAACGATACGACATCTATAAAATCACTACCATCAATGCGAAGTTTTTTAAGAGAGGTGAGTCTATGCAATCCCCACTCCATTACTACCTTACTAAAATTGGGATCATACATGAAAAGTGATGTCAAGTTGGTAGGCAAACCGGCTTCTCCAATTGATTTCATCATTGGACAATTACTTATCCACAACTCCTGAAGAGAGTAGAAGTTGGGCAGAACTTCAAGTTTCAGACATCCAGAGAGCGACACAGATTTGAGGTTGGAGGCAGGCAAGCCACTTGCTGGGAAACAATCCAGATTTGAACAACCTCCAAGGTCAATACATTGAAGACGGCTCAGCCTGTCCAGTCCTTCGGGTAAATATTTAATATTTGTACACCGGATGAGTTCAATAGATTCAAGACAAATATTATCCCCAATTTCAAGTGCTATGTAATCAAGTTTTGACCACCAGATTCTCAAAGATTTAAGCCTCACCGGTAACTTACCGCTTGATGATACTGATTTTAGAGCTTCACAATTACTAATTTCAAGAGATTCAAGGAGAGATGTGCCGCTGAAATTGATATTCTCTCTGTCGTCCAGTAAACATTGCAAATTCTTACAACAGAGGATCTTCAAACTTTTAAGAGTTGGAGGCAAGTTATCTGTCAAAAGCGAAACCAATTTTGGGCACTCCACAAGCTCTAACTTTCTAAGACACATGAGGCTTTGCAAGGTGGCTGATAACTTCTCTAAGCCTTCACAACCTTGGATTGTCAAATGTTCAATGTTGCAGGGTATGTCTAATTGCACAAGCTCTGCTTGTTCCTCCACCTTTGCAGCTCCCATAGACACAATTTGTGGCCAATGTTGAATCTTTAAATTATGAAGAGATCTCAAAGATGCCAACCACCCCCACTTTGTTTGCCATAAAGAAGCTAGCTCCTCACAACCATCAATACTGAGATCTTCTACTTTCATTGACTCTAACATCATTTCTTTTGTTACACATTCAAACTTTGCTGTGTCTGAAAGAAAGACTTTTTTCACTGACCAAAGATCACTAGACTCCCGAGCACTACTGCCTTGCATCCATGAATTTTTAATTCATATAGCATTGGAAGATTTGAAATTGAAACTACCAATTTTGGCAATTACGAATTACAATTTTCTCCAGAGAAGGAAGGCTGTCGGGCAAAGTTCTAACCAATTTGGGACAATTTTTAATGAAGAGTTTTTGGAGGCAACTGAATTTTCTACCTTCTTCAACAACTTCACAAGGCTCCCACTCTTCCCATTCTGGCATATCATCAAAATGTAATGTCTCTAACAATGGAAATACATTTGGGCAATTGTCTCCATAGAATTCCTTGCCAACACTAATCACACTGCTCATCCCCTTGATGTAAAGATCTTTTAAATATGGTAGCTTCCCAACTGCAGGTAATAATGCACAATTTCGACAATCTTCAAACTTTAAAGATCGCAACTTTTCAAATGAAGGATCCCCTATCCAAATAGGAAGCAATATGCCAGCATAATGCTTGATGGCAAGCTCTTTAATATCTTTATGAGGTTGGAGCAACTTCAACACTTCTGTCTCAACTTCTTTCTTTCTTAAATCTTCATTGAGGTCTTTACTCCACTTCAACTCTAAATTATTGAGGCCAGACTTGCTAGAAAGCTTAGCATCGTGTACGTATTCTGCTTCATCCACGTTATGCAATTCAGAAATACAAAGCTGACCTTTGAGATTTGATAAATTCTGCATCTCTCTTATATTTAGTCCATCTCCATGGCTGATAATAAAACCAGACAATGCTCGGAGATTTTTTAATTCACCAATTCCACTTGGCATTTCCTTTATAGAAACTGCACCATTAATATCTAGAGAGCATAGGTTTTTCAAAATTCCTATTTTTGAGGGCAACTTCTCCAGCTTCTCACAAAATTTTAACAAAAGAGTCTCTAAATTGTAAAGGGTACATAAAGAATCAGGCAAACTTCGAATACCGGTATAAGAGAAATCTAGATAACGTAGATGTTTCAAGATTCCAATAAAATCTGGTATCTCGGAGTTGTGGTACCTTTTCAAAGAGAGCACCCTCAAGCATTTCAATCTCGGCAGTAAATCATCGAGAACGTTATTGCTTAAGAAGCACTCATCATACTGCATCCGCATCTTTGTGTCAAAGGGCAAGAAGGTCCGTAGAGACTTTGCTTCAAAAAAGGTCTCAAACTTTTTGATTCCGTCATAGTCACCGATGACATAAGAGGAGTGACGAGTGCGACTTGGGTTCTCTATTCCCTCATTTCTCTTCCTTTTAAAATATGTTTCTCCTGCAACGGACTGAGCCAGATCATTAATCAGGTCATGCATTGCAAACAAAGATTGAGCCTTGCCAGATGCTTGAAAAAATGACCTTGACACCAATTCCTCAAAGCACTCCCTACCCAGATCTTCAATTCTCCTTTCAGTGTTTGGTCTATTTAGAAAACCTTCTGCCATCCACAATTGGACTGTTTCTTCCTCACTAAATTCATAATCTTTAGGAAATAGAGAGCAGTAAGCAAAACATTGCTTTAATTGTGAAGAAAGAGAATAGTAACTCAACAAAAGAGCTGGAACTATGTTACTTTTCTCTTCAGGTAGATTCCAAATATCACTCTCTAATATAGCTTTCCATGCATCATGGTTCACCCTAGTGCGCAATAACCCTGCAATGGTTATAGTTGCCAAAGGCAAGCCACCACACATTTTCACAATCTCCAGGCCTATCTCTTTCAAGTCTGGATGCTCAATAAAATCCTCTCTTTCTAACGCATGACGAGCAAGTACAGAGAGAGAATCTTCATTTGATAAGTATTGCAACAAGTAATCCGCAGTAGTTCTCATAATTGATGAAACATTGGAAGTACGTGTTGTAACAATTATTTTGCTTCCTGGGACCCCTGCATCGAAAGGGGGTCGAAGCTCCAACCACGCACTGTAGTTCTCGTTCCAAACATCATCCAAAACAAGCAAGAATTTCTTTCTGGATAGCTTCTCCTTTAGTTTGACTTGAAGCAAATTGAACTCCTTTTCATCGCAAGGCTCAGAAGTGACCGATTGTAGAATTGCTTTTGTTATCTTAACGATATCAAATTCCTCTGAAACACATACCCATGATGTAAGATCAAAATGATCTTTTATGCGGTCGTCATTGTAAACAAGCTGAGCAAGGGTTGTTTTCCCAATTCCTCCCATGCCAACAATGGGAATCACAGTAACTCCACCATCACCACCATCGTTGCTCAAAACCAAATCAAGTATCTCCTGCTTCTCTTTGTTTCTACCATGTACATAGGTTTCATTCACCAAAGAAGTGCTCCGCGGCCTCCTTGGCATTGTCATAGACCTTCCAACACTGATCTCCGTTAGCTGCAAGTTACTTTTCTGTGTTGCTAAACCTTCCAATCTTCTAGTAATCTCTTTGATCTTGGACATCATCTTATAATTAAACATGATGGAACTTGGATGTAAACCAGTAGGCCTACCCTGTGGTACCATACTGGTGCTGGCTTGATGTTCTTTCACCAACTTGCGCCCCAAAGCTTCAGTGGCAAACTCGTCCAAGATGTCATCCAAGTCGTAAGCCAAGTCTTTGAGGTCAGCCAGCCACATCTTCACAGCACCACTCCGCACTTGCTTCCACTCTGCATCAGCAAGCACTGCACGGATATTCTTCAATGTCAGCTTCCATTTCTCAATCTCCTTTCGAACCCGCTTGTCAGCGATAAACTCGAACTCGGAAGAGAGAAACTTTGCAAACAAGGCCTCAAAGAAAGCAGATAGAGCAGCCTCTCCGATGAAAGCCATTATGAATAGCTTTGATGAAGGAATTATGAGAATAATTGAAGTAAAGAGAAAATCAGAGAGTAGGGATTGAAGAAGAGGAAATGGGTTTGCAGGTTGTTTTAAGAAAGCTGAAGACTTTGGGAAGTATCTGTGAGTCTTCCTTTCGGGTCTAATAATGCTGGGCTATTGGTAATTTTCTTTTATATATTCGCATTGGATTCACATTCACAGGGTCACCGCTTCAAAGAAAAAGCAGTACCCCTCTCAGCTCAAGATGAAATTCACTGGAAAGTATTGAGTGGTGGGTCCATTAGGTTGGTTTGGGTCTCCATTTCCAGTTTTCCTATTATTTTCCAAGGTGTCCGTTAATTGAGGTGAAGACAAATGAATAGAGGATGGTCCACACGGTTTGTGGGGACTTGGGTGGGGTTCCTAACCAGTAACCACCGATTGTAACGTAAAATTCAATGAAGGAGAAGTGAGCATAGCATTATTTCTACGTACTTTCTGGTCTTCAACACTCGTTGGCTCTTATGAACCGGCCCAACTTGACTTTTTCAACAGTTTCATATTGTGCTTCTACTGTTAACATGTTACAACCGGAGACAACAAATACGGCAAATTCAAACAACCAGGCAACAGCAATTCCAATTTCATTTCCCTCTTTGAGCGAATTAAATACAAAATTTGATAGATGATATGAAGCAGGATACTAAATTTTACAAGGAAAACCCCTTGGTAAATGGGAAAAGCTATGGAAATTCAATCCATTCAATCTTCTACTACTCAAAATAATGGGATTAGACAAGTCTTGTCTAGAGGATATTGCAAGTTCTTGCATAACATACTGTTATCACTTCATAAAAGTGTGTTAACAAGAGCATTCTGAACAAAAGTGATCTGTCTGTGGAGATAAATCAAGCAGCCAAAGTTGTCTCTTGCTCATCCTTTTTCTTTCCATTATCCACCCCACCCGTTTACAGACATCCATGTCACTTTTGGAAGTTTACAATTTCTCTAGCTAATCTACCAATCTGGCCATGTTTTCTAAGGGGCTCCCCAATATAATCGCTTGTTTTGGAAGAAAGGATCAAGAGATCCATTAATGCCCAAACACATAACATAAAGATTCAAACGATTTTATTGAGAAGAGAGTCAAGTTTCAAGCTTGGTCGTATTCTAATGCCAAAATGCTTGTGTTAAAGTGCACTTCGATTGATTCTTGATTTAATTCTTAAATTAAGCTTCACTGAATCAGGTTGCTTGCAAAGAAAAAGTTAAAATTGGAGATTGGTGAGAAGAATTGGTGTAAATAATTAACAATTCATTGTTGTTTAGCTTAGATTTACCATACAATGATCAACTTCGTTTATATTTTAAATTTCTTGGCTAACATATAATCATCACCTTAATTATAAAATGCTCTAACAGGAGCAATCTCAACAAAAGTGAACTGTTCGTGGATACGAATCAAGCAGTTACAAACACCATAACCATTTCTGATTGTTCATTGAAAGATGCTTTCCTCATCCGTTTCTCCTAATGCATCCATGTACAAACACTGTTGTAGGTTTCAGGCTATATGACTGTAGCCACCATCATGTATTAAGAACTAGATATTCTTGAATCAAACATCACCAACCATGCTTTTCAAAGTGCTTTATCACTTGTTTTGGAAGACAGGATTAACTCGTAGACATGATAGTTTGTGTACTTAGTGTCATATAAAATAATAATAATTTTTATTATGTTTACATGAAAATATGATATATATTTTTTAGTTTAGTTAAATCTCATATATGATCGTTAAAATCTTAAATTATATTGTCTTCTTATTATTTTATATTATATCATCATATCGTGATTTAAATTATAATATCTAAATTAAAAAATCCAACAATGTTTAAATGTACAAAATAGAATTATAGTTAAACCAAAAGCTTAGTACTTTTCTTCAGAAGTTCCAGTGTGGGATTCCAATACACTACTATGCATCTTAACAATGAAACCAGTTAGGAACTACCCATTTTAAAACAGGAGATGCAGCCTACACAACTTCCCACCACTGAATCTTGAGAGTATTAGATTAGAATGTGTGAGTTTCATTCTTCTTGGCATAAAAAGGCAAAAGCATTCTGTTAACTATGTGGGAGTAAGTAACAAATACTGAACTCAGTAAATTCTTTGTAACTCTGAGATGCTATAAGGAGGTAGAGAACAACAGAGACATATTAAAAACTAATTGATAAAAAATCTGATGAAAAAACTACTATTATACTACTTTTGGTCCCATCCAATCAATGATGGCAAAAACAAATACCTCTTGTAGTGCCAAAATAATTGGTGATGTGAAATCAGCACTCATTTTGCCTAGACACAACTGAGATAGAAACCAAAAAATTCCAACTGTTTTCGGCTGCAGTAGTTTGAAGGAGATGAAGAGTCAAGTGAAAGAAATGACCACTTTACAAAGAAGAAAAGAGATGGATTTCAAACCTGCTCATGCTCTAATGCCATGAAACTTATGTCTTAACATCCACTAGGATTGATACTTGATTTAATTCTTGAATTATGTTTCAATGAATCAGAGAAAAGGTCTCATCTATGAAATTAATAGGATGGCAATGGAGCAAACAAATGGATATTTTAAAAAGAAACACAAATCTTTTTGAAAATATTAAAATATGACAATTAAATCAAACATATATATTTTTTATTTTTCATTTATATATTTAAAAAGATGAATTAAAACAAATTGAACGTTTGTTACATAACAACACTCTAGCATAAAGAGACACAAATCTTTTTGAAAATATTAAAATACAACAATTAAATAAATCATAATTTTTTTAATTTTTCATTTATATTTTTAAAAAAGATGAATTTCAAAACAACGTGATAAATTTTTTTTATTTATCATTCAAAATGGCAGCAACCTGAAACAATAAATACTACTTTATTAAAGATATTGTAAACAAATCACTTTTAAAATTTTTTAAATAATTTCAATCATTAACTTTTAACACTTTTTCAATATGCAAACCCAAAGTCCAAACAACCAGCCAATCACAAAGTCTAATTTCTGTTCCCTCTTTGTGCAAATTAAGTTGACCATTTCATATATTAAAGTGATGTAAATCATTACATACCAATGTAATAAAATGAAATAATCACTGGCTCTTGAAAGTAAGACACAATTTTACCTGAAAGAAACCATGGCAGGCTAGACCGATGAATATTCTTCTACCACTCAAAGAAATAATAGTTCACTGAGTACTCTTCTCTAGTGTAACTTCTAACTAGAAAATGTCACATGTTATCATCAAAATGCGATATTTCTTGGTAGAACACGTTGTTGAATGGCTATTCTAATAATACTGGTTCTAGTGAACAGGCTGCAGTATAAGTGGCAGCAACCAAGCAACTAAACAGCAGAAGAGTAAAGTAACAACATGCAGCAGAAGGGTAAATAGCAGTTACCTATCTGCGTTTAAATACAAGCTAGCAGCAGCGACTGAATTCATCCATCGCTGATCCCCTTTTTTCTAGTAGTGACGCCTGCAATGCACAGATAGCTTAATTCCTGAATGGTTTAATTCTTCCAGTTGATCATTCATGTATGAATCTACCATCAATCTCTACACAAGGTATGTGGGCGATGTTGGACCATTGTTTTCCTTTATCCCTTTTGCACCTTTCCTTTAGCACCGGACAATTCCTTATCTATAATAGCAAAACTGAGGGAGGCATTTCCTTTCTGGGAATGGATTTGAGCTTTTTGCAATTGTAGATCCACAAAGCTTGAAAAGAGGTGAGGTTTCGAAAACCATTGGAGGACAGCTTTCTTAGATTTTTGAAACTATAAATAAAAAGGTGAATAAGAGATGGTGGCAGCTTCATATTCATTCCCATATCCTCTTCCAGAAATGACTTTGCATCTATGCAACTACCATCAATGTCGAGTCGTGTAAGAAAGGTGAGCCTGTGCAATCCCCACTCCATCACCACCTTATTAAATTCAGGTTCATGGATTGTAAATGATGTTAGGTTGGCTGGCAAACCTCCTTCTCCCATGGATTTCAGCCTTGGACAATATGCTACATACAAATGTCGAAGAGAGTACAGATTAGGCACAGCTTGGAGTTTTCCACATCCAACAAGCCACACAGATTTCAGGTTGGTGGTAACAGGAAACCCACATTCATGAAAGCAAACCTGATTTCCACAATTATGGATTCTAATCATCTGAAGACGGCCGAGTGCAGGTGTCAAGCAACGAAAGTCTTCCAAACTGGCCACGTCTCCCCAATATCATCACTTGTTTTGGAAGAAAGGGTCAAGAGATCCCACCAATGCCGAAACATACGAGTTGTAACCAGGAAGATTAAAAGTTGCTTCCAAAGTTCTGATATGTAGCAGCCCCACCATAACGATGAAATCAGTTCGATAATGCTGCCGGAGAACTTCCCCGTCGTTGCATCCTGAGAGAGCTTTAGAATGCATGAGTTTTGTCCGTACTGTCATACAAGGCTGCCAAAGCATCATGTTGTTTGGCCGAGTAACAAGAACTTTAACACATTAATTCTCTCATGACTTGTAAAATTGGGAACCTTGGATACAGGTTAGATACCGTGGTGATCTTCATTCTAATTGAAATTTTTATGAAAAAAGACATTACCATACAGTTACCTGGCTTCCATTGGAAATGCATTTCTTCCACAAAATCTTTTCTAAATAACTCGAAAGTTGGTATCGAAATTATCCACACAACCATTGATTCAGCAGGGGACAGTAGCCAATGTTTAACTACAAATTCAAGAAACCAATCCCTTTTGAGAATAGATGAACAAGGTGGGAACGAAAGCTAGGCAGCGTTATTCCTATTTCTTGCAAAAAAGATACTACATGCTTCCCAACATTCATCAGTACCATTTGAAAGTCATATGTGGAAGGTGGCTGAGCAGAGTCCTCCCTCAAACAGCTCGTAAAAGGTGCAAAATTCCTTTCCTGGGAGAAAATTTGAATTTTATAACCGATTCAATACCATACAAAAGACATGGTACAAAATCGAATAAAGATCACTTCAAGAACAGTCAAAACAATATAGAACCAAAGAAATAAGCTCTACAGGTTGTCGGCAAGCATCATCAATTAATCAAAACAAAGAAAGCATTGAATTTCCTTAGAAAAGTCATACCAGAATAAAAAATCTATATGAACCACGAAACAGTGCCAGAATAACAAAGTTGCTCTTTTCCCTTCTTTTCCAGTTTCTCTTTTCCCCCCTGCTTCGTTGTACAATCAATTTCTAGAATTAGTTCCAGTCGAGAGAAAAAGTTTAAAACTTCCTTTTAAACAACATAAA